TTTTGGCAACCTCGGTTTAATGAAACGTGCCACGAACATTCTGGATTCAACTGGTACCCTGTAACGTGTACATACAAATATCCTTACTCTTACGTACACCAGTACAACCCCAAAGAGCTCAGCACACAGATAAAGTTGGCGAAAATGTACACTTCTACACAATTTTGCACATGCGTGTTACAGCGAAATTTCCCCCTCGGAGAAGCTAGCACGCCGGAGAAGTGAGACCGTCACAGCGGCAGTGGCATTGAAAATATTAATCCCTGAGGCAAAGAGTACTTAAAATCTATCTGCTTAAAACATAAAGCTGGATAACTGAGTCGGTAGAGCACTAGTGCGGTAATCCGGAGTTGGCAGGTTCAATCCCTACTCCAACAGGGTTCGACCTTAAGTAGTCCGCTCGCCAATTGTAAATAAAAACAGCAGCGTACTAGTCAAAACCATTCCCTAAGTAGTCCGCCTGGCGAGTTGAAATTATTGTAAATAACATTGTTGTTTATGACATTATGGCGTGTCATGGCCTAGCGGTTAAGAGCACCAGACTCATGCTCTGGTGTTTCAGAGGCAACTGTGGTGTGGGTTCAAGCCCGGGTGGACACTTGTGCCCTTAAGCAAGGCACTTAACCATTATTACTTGGTTCTTCGGATGGGAGGTAAAGCCGTAGGTCTCTTGTGTTGTGTATTGCAATGCATGTAAAACAACCCAGTGACACTTATCGCTAAGAGAAGGGGTTTGCCTCAGTGTTTCTGGCCTCCTGTATAAACTTCCACGCGGGGTATTTAGGAGAAAAACCAAGAACATTCTGGCGCAAAAATTTTGATATTTTATTGCGGACTAGTGAAAAGGCCCGTGGACTTAATAAGTGTCTGTTTCACTAGTTTGGCTGGCTAGTGAAAAAAAAAATTAAGGGCGAACCCTGCACTACAGTCAATTTCTGTGTTTGACTTGAGAATTATTAATGAAATTTTTACAAAAAGCTTCCGTTTTCAGTTTTTCTGTTAAAGATTTTGTTTGCCAGTACTGTAAATATGAGCAGACTTGTATGTAGATTTTGCAGCAAAATGCATTCAGATAAAATAGGAACTTAGAATTGTTGGGCATATTTTATATTCTTCTGTTAAATTGTATGACAGCTTAAAGACTTAAACTTGCCTCCTTTTGTGAGAGAGTATCATTTTTACGGATTGCAAGTAGTAGCGAATTCAGCAGCATTACACATACATGTATTTCTTCTAGGCTTTGCATACCGTTTGAAATATGTCTGGCCAGCAGCTGATTTCATGTAGCAGTAAACATTGATGTGTATGTGAATAATTTTCTTTGCCAAAGGACTGTAACCACATGCCAAATATACATGTAGTACGCTTGAAAGAGCTTCAAGTTTCGTAGTTTTAATATTTTCATTGCCAATTGTGTGGTATTTACTATCTGTTTGTTCACACTTAACGCATGTAATGCAGATACGAGATACACGTTTTTAGCATCCTTTATTTTAAAGGTTAAAGGGAATATACAACGTTTGCAAAAAATCTCAAAAATAAAACTACCAAATTATTATGAAATACTGGTACATGTACTTTGCTAGACTAAGGCCCCCCAAAAAAGTCTCCGGTTTCTGGTATGCGCCTGCGTTGCCGTAGCCATGCGCGTCGGCAAAATGGAAAAAAAAAAATTTCAATGTAAGATGATGTCTCAAAACCGCCAAACTCACTGGTTTGACTGGAATCCTGCTGCTGCACAATTTTAATGTGTTTTTAGATGGGGTTACGATCGAGTATAAGCTTTATGTGGCCTCTCTGGACTCCCATATATTTGCACTAAATTTAGTCGGGCACCATTTGCAGTCATCAGCCGACATTTGAAGCAAAAAAAATCCGGTGTAAAAAAAAAAAAAGCCGCGTCACCGCACCACTTTTTGGGCAAGCTCCATACCAGAAACTGGACACTTTTTTTTTGTGGCCTTACTAGACTAAAACAGCTTCTTCTTTTTTTCATATACTACCCCCAATTTACCAAATTTAGTTTAAGTTTGCAATCGGAAAAATATCCGTGAATGATAACTATTTTTCCTGAATGACAAACTATACATGTAGATCATACCACAAGAGCGTGCAAATTAAAATGGTACATTAATCAACATTTTGGAAGGGAGGGCTTTTAACGGAAACTTTGCTTTGCGTCAAGAAATGTGAGGACGCATTTTCACAGCTTTCTCTAAATGTATATCTACTGAGCCGAGTATTTGACAGGTTTGTTTTTGGATAACCTGCTTCAGATGTATTGTATAGTTCTTTGATTCGGCAAAAATACTTAAACATGTGATTGACAAATTTAAAATTAAAGTTACCATGGATACATACCGATTAACTAAACTATAAAATCATGATTTCACCATTGTTATCTATTTAAAAAAAATTAACAACTGATCATGTTTTAATGTTTTCTAAGCTTTCTACTTAAAAATGGACAGAACATACACTGTACCATCTAAAATATTGTTTTGTGTGGCAAAATGCTCAAACATAACTAGGCATCTATTGAAAGCTTTTAAGAGCAAGTCATTTGTACCACATTGTCTGTTTTGTGAAACAAAACAATGTAGCCTTACTGTTTAACTTGCTCTGGCATATATCTTAAATAAACAGTTCAAGAATATTGTACATTAATATTTTTGGCACATCCAACCAAGTTGGCAATATTTTTGGGGGTAATTCTTATATTTCTTGTCTGATATTTTGAAGAGTCTATTTCCAACTTGTGACCTGTCCATTAGAAAAAGGTGAACATTTTGCATCGTTGTGAAACTAACAGTGTAGCATTCAACTGTTTTTAAACTTCTTTTTCACCTTATTGTATTCTTAATCAGTTCACATCGGAGGACGTGATAACACGCACTGGCTGTTTTTATACACAGGCACGGCCTATGGGTTAAGACGTCAAGATTGCCTCGACTCGCCTCCGGGTGACGTAGAAACACGCTAATTCCTCGTGCCTTTTGTACACACACACAAAGTCTGTGAAGTTTGTGGAGGCAGACTGTGTGTTGATCTTGTTGTTCAACAATTTACGCTCCAGTGCACACCTCGGAGTATTGACATATGTGACCTGTTCTGTCAAAATCAGACTTTTCTGGGCATAAGGTCATAAAATGATATTTTTGCATATTGTCTTTTCCTTTTAATAGGTGGTTTATTTTTTGAAACCGGTCATTCCTGGGCAGAGTTATGCTATTTTGAAGTTCATTGTGTCGGAAAGTAGAAAACGGAGAAAATGGCCACAAACGTCACAAAACAGTCATTTCTTTAACTGATATACCTTAACAAATCATCAAAAATAGTATATCTAGAGTTCAAATTCGGGTTTCAAACTTTTATATTATATTTTAGACATGTTCAGGATTACAAATATGCAAAAATGTGAAAATAAAACAAAATCACCCCCTCAGCGTTTTTTGGCCCTATCTCAATTTCAACCTCTGCCCAGAAGCGTCTGCTTTTGACAGAACAGGTCACATATGAGAAATATCGTACAAATACTGTTGAAGTGACTCTTTTGAATCAGAATTTGTAGCATTTGGCTGTATATCAGAAGTTGGCTGGGAAATTTTGCCTTTTGCGAAATTGAAATTTTCGGCAAAAATAAATCCTGGCGCGAAGTGGTTAAGTTGTGTTTGCCATTGAAATTGCTTTTGGGCAGTCAGAAGAGAGCAGGATTCTTACGGAACAAAATGGCGTATATCGCGTTTTGGAAATTACTCTTCATTTAGAAACAGCCAATCATATTGAAATATTTTTGCAATAAAGATGCCTCTGTTATTTCTTTCTCAAACTGTGAACAGTACTATTTGATAAATTCGTGAATGAGAATGGTAATTTTTACAAAAAAAGTTTAGCTTTTTCGTTTACCTCTTTTGTTGCTAAATTGTAGGCAACGTATGTTGCCCACTTGCCGTCAAATGTGTGCATTAGTTTATTTTCCTTAACTTTTCTATTGAGTACATGTAATTTAATCATTTCTGCAATTAATTTGATAATGCATAATAAGAAAACCTGATGTTTATTTTCTAATGTCATTTGTGTGTAGTGTTATTTTTTTCATTGTGAAAAGAAATTGTCAAAATACTGATTTGTTTTTGTCTTGAATTCCTTGAAATATTCAGTTCTGTCTTTGGAATTTCATATTCATTTATTGATTTATATATATTTTATTATGTCCGTTGTATTTGATAAGAATAAAAATGATTCCGCGCACATCAAATCATGCTGAAATAAAACTAATGGCAATCTCAACTAGAAAATCCTCTTTCAGGAAAAAATTTTAAAAAAAAAGTTCACCATTTATTTTTCTCCAAATAAATGCATGAGTCTTGGTCAATGTCAGGCACAGATTAAGGTAAGCATTTGTACATAAAAACTGACATCGTACTGATCACTCTTCTGTGAAGGATTAAGTCTTGCGAATTTCTAACGGGATTCAGGACGATGTATTGCAGTGTACATATCGTTACCTTATCGGAGGGTAACAAACCTGCTACTTCTGCTGTGGTTGTAATTAGCAAAGACCTAGAAACAGCTCAAGACAAAATATTTGTACATGGCGTCATATGAAACTTGGACTCCAATGAAATCTGATCTATTTTACTTGAGACTCAAAAGGCTGGGTGATACTCCACATGGAAGCGAAGAGAATTTCATGACGTAAACAGTTACAGTTTCATGGTGACGTTCGCCGTTACCCTAACGAATTTGCTTTGCACAGAATTTCATGGGAAGTATGACCGGCCTTAACTCTCACACGCGACTGGTCACTGTTCGGGTTCTTTCTACATACATACTGAGGCATGCGCAATACAACCAATGACTCTGTACCTCATGGTCCAAACTTCACACTTCAACAGCCTTATGTTTTCTTTAGAGAACCTATTAAGTGGCTGAGTTCAATTACATGCAGCCAGCGTGTTTGAAAACTTTTCTTTTTTTGTCCCCTCTCCACCTTTCAGAGCTGATATGGAGCCCCAGTTGTCCACCGCATGGAACACCATCGGCAAACTGCAGAACCGGAAGAAGGAGCTGCAGGAGGAGCTCAGCCAGGTCAGGTCGGAGGTCAAAGTTCAGCAGGACCTCGCCGAGGAGGAGCGGCAGAAGAGGGTGGATGCAGAAACGAAAGCAGAGGAACTGAACGAGGAGTTGAAGAGGTGGGTTGATGATAGACTAAGCAACTTTAAAATTTGGTACCATAACCAAAGAAGTTTGGTGGTACCCACCGCTACGTCAGTCTCGAACTGGCCAGCTGACCCCAACAAGCTCAGTGGTTGAGTGGTAAGACGTCTGCACTAGTAAGCAGGAGGTCGTGGGTTCAAGTCCTACCTGAGGGAAAGTTGGTTCATACTTCATGCTGTGAAATTCGCCGGAGTTGATATGTGTACCACTTTTACGAATTCGCAGCGCGAAAAATTGCCCTGACGTCACAAGTTCGCGTTCACTTTTGCACCGAGTATGAACCGTCCTTAAAGGGAACATGCAATAAAATTTTGATTGCATTTTTTTTGCTTAAATCAATAAAGGATGATGTTCTTAACAATATTTTGTGTATGGCGGTGTTTATTTTCTAAGATAAATGGGGGAAAATAATTTGTGAACATGTTTGGTCAAACTACTCCGCCCCACAAAGGGAAGCTTCATTAACATAAAACTTCGCGAGGGGTATGACGCAAGCGAAGGCAGAGACTTGCCGCGCTGCGGGGGCACCGGCATTGCGGCGTGCATCATAATACATGTACATATACATTGCGGCACTGAAAGTTTTTCTGGTGTTTCGTTCGGAATCGAGGAGAAATAACACCCGATTTTCGGCCATGCCGACAAGGTGTGTGGCTGCTGGGTGTAGCAAAACTACCAAGGATGGAGTAAGCCTTCATTTGTTTCCAGTAAATCCGAAATATCGGAGCATTTGGAGAGCCAAAGTGAAGGTAAATACCAGAGCAAAGTGGTCCGGGCCCAGTGAGTTCGCGGCCCTCTGCGCTGCACTTTGAGCCGTCGTGCTTTGATGCTGGTCTGTACAGCAACTTGGGCATGCCCCTAAAAAAACATCGAGTCAGTGTTTGAATCATTAGAACTCTGATTGGAATCGGACGAATCTGTACCATTTTCATCGGATTCGCTAAGGAAAGAAGAGGACGGTCTTCGGAACTTTTACGGTCATGACGGTCGTCGTTGTGTTCATTTGACAACGGTGGCACCGTGGCACGTCCACGTGTACTGTACATATCCCATGTACATGTACATGTAGACACATTCGTACGTGTGCATATAATGCCACGTACGGGTACGCGGCGGCTGCACATACACACAGCACAGTAGCTTCGCTAATCCGTCTCGTACCCAGACGTCATTTACGGGCCCTGGATTTCTCTGCCTTTGTTTATGTCATGAACAGCGCCCTCATTTGGAGTTGCCGCGAAAATCAAAAAGGGGGGGTTCAATTTTGGACGGCAAATTACCACACTAAACGTACACCAGAACCATTTCTGCTTTTAATTCACATTTAATACACATAAATGAATGTATATATAAAATAAAATACGTTATGAAAATTTTGGACTGCATGTTTCCTTTAAGCTTGTGAATTTTTCTCACAAGCCCTTGGACAACAGTGTTTCTAAATAAGTCAGCGAAGAGAAAAACCCAGTGTAAAATTTCCAAAGGTTTTGCAATCCATTTTGTCCGCAAGTCGTGTTTCTGGAATTGACTCCACACTTCCACGACCCCCCAAAAACTGAAAACCTCAAATCCACAACTAAATCCACTGATTCTAATGTTCATCGGAATTTCTAAGCACGTCCAAAAAGGGAATCTCAGAGAAAAATAGCTAGTTAGAGAGATTCCATTCTTCATAAAACGTTCAGTCATATTTACAATTCCAAGTTTGGATTGTATTTGATTCTGGTGTAAAGTGTCCAAATCATATTGGAGATGGTCTTAAAGATCTTCAGCCCTTAAAGATCACAGATATCTCTGTGGCTATGTAACTGTGGCTTCTTCAAAGTACTTTTCGATTATTCATCTGATGTTGACTACACTGCATTATTTGACATTTTCTGAATGCCATCCTCACCACAGGGAATTTGGACAGAGTGTTGCTGAGGTGAACCAGCTACAGGGAGAGCTGTCTGTCGCTCGGCAGCAGATGGCTGACTTCAAGACGAAGCTGAGGCAAAGCGATGAGGAGCACCTGGAGGAGATGACCGAGGCGGAGGAATCTGCCGAGGAGGCCATCAACCAGCTTCACCAAGACCTTGAGGCTGCCAAGGAGGAGATCAATCAATTTCACCAAGACATTGCACTGGCCAAGCAGCAAACAGCAGAGGTGAAGAATGTGCTCCTTGAGCGAGAGGGAGATCATAAGAAGATGACGGCCACTGCTGAGGAGTCTGCCAAGGCAGCCATCAACCAGCTTCATGAAGACCTCGAAGCTGCTAAGCAGCAAGTCCAAGAGGCTCAGATCATGTTCCTAGAGCAAGAGGAAGACCACAAGAAGAAGGTAGCTGCCATCCAGGAATCCAATCAGGCCATGAAGCAAGAACTATCCACAGTTCAGCAGGAGGTGGCAGATGCCAAGAGGCAACTCCAGGAACAGGAAGAAGAACATCTCAAGGAGATGTCTACCATGAAGGAATCCTGCCAGAGCATCCGCGAGGATGTGAATCAACTCCAGAAGGAGCTTTCCATCTCCAGGCAACAGACGGTGGATGCGGAGAGGCGTCTCCGGCAAGGAGAAGAGGACCACCTCAGGAAGCTGGCAGCCTTGGAGGAATCCACCCAGGCCGTTAAGCAGGAGTTCAGCCGGCGACTGGTGGACACTCAGACACGGCTGTCCATGAAGAATGCAGAAGCACAGAGACTGCTTGGGGAGCTAGAAGGCACTAACGAGCAACTTCAGGAAGAGACTTGCAGGAGGAAGGCCAAGGAATCGGAATTTACTTCTCTGAAGAAGTAGGCAAATGTGCATCTCTTTATTTCAAGTTCTCAATTATTTTCAAAGCGATTTCCTAATCAAAGTAGCTGACATGTACTAAAATAAAATCGAATGGTTTTTCTAACAATTGTAGCTTAAATTTTTGCATATCACAACTTCAAATTATAATCAGTTTTGTAATACATGTACCTGTCAAAAATGTCATCTTTTACATTTGGGAAAACCCATTTCAGCACTCACAAAGAATTGGAGGCATCCCTGAAAGCAACAATCTCCAGCCTTGAGGAGAAGACTAACCAGCTGGATGCCAATGGCTCAGACATGCAGCGAACCATCGCCAACTTGACGCAATCAGAGCAGAATCTGCTGGCTGCTAAAACAGACCTGGAGAAGGAGACTAGTCAGCTCAGAGCTAGTCTTGAGCACAAGGAGCAGGAGGCAGTCATGCATGAGAAATCTGCTGCCGAGACTAAGTTGCTGCTGGAGGAGACAACTAGCCAGATGAGCGCTAGAATCCATGAACTAGAGGATGAAATCAGGTACGTTGACTTTTCGTAACAATCGTAAGGAGTTAGCGTACCTTGTAGAAAATCTAAACTGGGGGATTTTATTTCATCTCGAAAAAGGAATATTCTAATTAATTTTACTGGTCGATCAAATTTTATTTTTTTCCAGTGTTCTTAAAAAATCTGAGGTCGCTCTGAGGTCGCACAAGAATTTTCTCCAAGAAGAGAACTCCAAGATGAAGGACAAAGTCTCGGAGCTACAAGAGACCAGAAGTAGCCTGGAGCAGGAGACTTGTCAGCTCCAAGACAAACTCAGCAAGATAGAGGAGCAACGCGAGATGTTTCAGAAGTCGGCCGGGGAGATGAAGTTACTACTTGAGCAGACAACTAGTCAGATGAAGACACGGATCAGCGAGCTCGAGGAAGAAGTCAGGTGAGTCAACGAGAACTGCTGTCACTTCAAAATTTCTCTTGGCGTCTGATTAGCACCACCAACATAGGGCTGGATAGCTCAGTTGGCAGAGCACAGGAACGGCAATCCGGAGGTGGCAGGTTCAAACCCCACTCCTGTCAATTTCTTTGTTCAACTTAAAAAAAAATAATGAAACAAAATACTGACTGGAATCGGCATAGCACAGATTTGAAGACGCTTCATGCGCAACAGTTCTGTTTTGAAGCTACCGCGGCTGTAAGCTTGCCCAAAATAGAAATACCTTGGTGGAATCTTCGCACAAGATCCCCCAACAGTGGCAAAATGAAATGTGAAAGACAAGTGAATACCATTGCTGCCGTTGGCCCAGTGGTCACACGAAGACCAACTCGGTGTGTATTGTTTCTTCCTGTGCCCAGAGCCGACAGTATATCCTTTTCAATTGATTCAGATGGCTATGCACTGGCAGTCTTTTAAATAATAATAATACCGAAGTCTTATATAGCGCACGTATCTACCAACAATTAGGTACTCAAGGCGCTGGAAATTATGTCTATTACTAGAGACAGGTAAATGAAGTACATGGGAAATATGAGAACCATTATGTAGCACCTTTATAATGGTTTACAAGGTGCTGCGGCACATTAAGCAGCCACTGCCAGAAACACCGGGGCAAACCTCTTCACTTAGCGACAAGTGTCACTGGGTTCTTTAAAGTGCATTACACAACACACGGGACCTACGGCTTAACGTCCCATCCGAAGGACGAAGCAATAATGGTAAAGCGCCTTGCTCAGGAGCGCAAGCACCATGTTCCCACGGTCAGGATTCGAACCCATGCACCACGGCACACGAGTCGAACACCATAACCATTGGACCACAGCACCCCACATGCATCTTGTCTGCACAGTTGGCCGGATTTGGCCGATTCGTTGGTGTTATGGGGGTTACCTTATAAGATAGCACTGCCTGGCTCATAAGTAATGGTGAGGTACAAAGAGGATTTAAAGGCTGCATTGGTCCTCTCTCGAACAAGTAAAAACTAGTAAACTCTTTACCGGGTGAGCGTTAACTAGTCACACGTGCATCACAAGTCATCCAGTCTCACTGTTCAAATGAACGGTAAAGCCTGGTTTCCATATCAGTGTTGAGCTTACGTAGACTTCACAGACAGTACGTTGAACTGTTGGCAAAGTTGAACTGGGTTCAACTGTGCCGATCGTCTGCGAGGTAGGTTGCGTCTGTCTGGGTTATCGGCGACACTTCCGGATGATATGTTTCCATATGTCTGCGTTGCAGTTTGGGTCCTGTTTGCGTATCACTTTGCGTGTCTTACGTCGATATGGAAAGTAGGCTTAACAAAGGCCTTACTTTGTCATTCTTAATCCCCTGTTACTTTAGATCTGGGCCCAATTTCATGGCGCTGCTAACCACAGAATTCTTACGATCAACATTCTGTGCTAACCGCGCTAGCAGAACAATTCTGTGCTCACCCTGTAAGCACAGAATCCTTAGTTACAGGATGTACGCATGCGCAAAAGCCAAAATTCCTTGCTAATGCATGAAATATGCTCACTCTAAGCACTTTCTGCAAGAGTAAGCAGGGATTTTTCGCTAACTGTAAGCAGAGCCAAGAAATCGGGACCTGGCTTGTGAAGTGACTTGTGATTTGACTTGTGATTATGAAAGCTCATCGCATCTCTGCGACACACTGCCTCTCGCAAATGGGCCACATTTAATTCATGTGGCATCTGATTGTATCTTCAAATTTGCAGCTCATTCGAGGAATCGGAGACCGCACTGAAATTGGAAAACAGTCAGCTGAGACGGGAAACCGCCAGCCTCGAAGAGAACATGAAGCGAGATATCGACGACTTGAAGAGGTCAAAGAGTGGACTGGAGGAGGAGGTTAACCTGCTCTCGGAGGAGCTGCAGGAAGTGGCGACGGACGCCAAGATGCACGAAGCTGCTGCAGCGAAGGCTAAGATGCAGCTGGAGGAGAAGACTAGTCAGATGCAGGCCAGAGTGGGTCAACTGCAGGATCAGATGAGGTAGGGTCCCCAAGTGAGAAACTAGGGCTGTGCTTTTATGGGTATTTTTGGAACCAGATATCCAAAATGATCATGGTCAGTTATCCGGATATCTACTTGAGAGTTGAAAACATGAGCAGTTTGAATTGCAGTATACGGTTTGGATTTTGGAATCCTGATATTCAAAACCAACCTTTAAAAAATCAGGACTTCCATTTTTCGTGATTCATGAAATACCTGCCCATTCACCTGATTAGAGAGTATCCACCCATGATGTCAAAACCAGCGTAGGATGTGGTCATGGAGAGCCCTAATTTTGTTTTGGCAAAGCAATGGAAAAGTCATGGCAAAGCCATGGAAAAGTCATGGAAAAGCCATGGAAAAGTCATGGAAAAGCCATGGAAAAGTCATGGAATTTCATCCCACAATTTTTGTGGGAACCCTGGAAGAATGAAACTTGATTGAACTCCTACCAATAAGGTTATTCATTTGCTTTTTCTCTGTATACTATGAATGTTCAAGGGCAATCCTTGTCTTTTCTTTTACAGTATGTTCCAGGAATCAGAACAAGCGTTGAAGTCTCAAAACGAGAGTCTGAGGCTGGAGACACATAACCTCCAAGAGCAAACCGGCAGGGCGGAGGAAAGAGTCTCCGAGATGCAACAAACCGTCCACAGCCTACAGCAAACAGAGGAAGATCTGTTGACTCAGCGTTACAGCCTGGAGCAGAAGACTAACAAGCTGCAGGACAAAGTGGAGGAGATGGAAGGCGAGGTCATGATGTACGAGAAGTACGTGGCGGAGACCAAGCAGCGGCTGGAGGAGGAGACTGGTGCGCTTGAGGAGCAGGCTAAGAGCATGAAGCAGCAGCTGCGCAGGATGGAAGGGGTGGTGGAGGGCTGCCACGCGACGGAAGCCAGGCTGAAGGAGCAGCTGGAGGAGAAGACTAGAGAGTTTGAGTCCAGGATTGAAGAGGCAGAAGAAAGTTCCAGGTGTGTTCTTGTTGAATTTCTCTTTTGCAAAAGTTTTGCACGTAAGCTACATTGAGCGTTGTATTTTTGGTTTGTTGAATGTCGCATTTCAGTTGTTGTATATCTCATTTCTTTTCCTTCTAACTTTCATATTTACATATACTTAAAACTAGCCATCGGTGTCACAACACAGGCATGCAACTTTTCCTTGGATCCACGGATTTCCTGGTTTTTTACTTCTCATAAATGCCATTACAAATTGAAAAACACAAAACAAAGTCTTGTGTGGTTTGGAGATTCCTTGTTTTCTTTTTCTAAATTTACCAGTGGCATGCCTGACAACAAGAAGTTAAAAAGGAATCAACTTCTTTTGTGGTGTATGGCAAACTTGTCACAGCAAAATTTAGAATATGAATAAAACTGCTGCAACTTGCTTACTGACTGGATTATTTCTCGGGAAAGATTCGGGTAAGATCTAAAAGTAAGGCCGTCCAATTTGTTGACAGCAAATTTTCTGTTTTATTTACGTGCTATCTCCTTAGCTCTCGTTAAATACATACATGTAAGGCAAGAAAAGCCTGTTTGCTGTGTGTATTTTCACTATTAATTATACAATCCTTTTTTGTTTTCAGTTGGCGGGCAAAGTTTGAGGAGCTTCAAGCAAAGGTGGCACCCTTCAAAGTAAGAACTAAACTTGTGTGAAGTGTTTGATAGTGACGTAAATATGAATGTTGGCTTGACTTTACAGCTTTCTAATTTGCCGTGCATTCAACGGTGTGAATAAGGGAATGTACAACATTTGCTTTTGCTGCAATTTCCAGAAATGGATCGATTTGGGGGTTAGTATTTTTATAGCAAATACTGTTACACTGACTTGTTTGAAGTTTTGGGTTCGGGGATGCTGGAAAGCCAAGAAAAACAATCATGTTCTTGTAGTCTGGTTCCCTGACCCCACTTAAGAAGAAACAGAGCAATTTATAGATGTCAGGGAATTGTACGGTCAGGGAACCAGTCGAGCTGACTTGTACCCGTTTACAGATGTATAATCGATTGCAAACAAAATGTGATAAAATATGATAAAGTGGGAGCAGTATTTGAAAAAGCCAATTTTTTCCAATGCTAGTCGGCTGACCAGCGTTGAAAATTGATACAAAAATACCACTTTTCTTGAAAATGACAGCACACCAGGTGATATGATTTTACAGGATGCTTTAGACTGTTAGTTACTGACAGTCCAGTATGGTATTTCGTGTTAAGTTGGTCATCTTGTTTTTTGATGTTTGCCAATGTTGTTCCCTTTAAGGCCCCGTGGATTAATTTCGATTTGCGTGCGCCCCCGTGCGCCCCCGTGCGCACGCGTGCGCACGCAGGCAAGCTCGAACAAAGGAGATTTTGAACCCACTGGCCCGCATCGGCACGCATCGGCACGCATTGGCACGGACTTGCACGCAGTGGCACGCAAACGGGCTCAGTGCCAGGCGGTACAACATTACAAACAAACCGCAGAAATGCACAATAGACATCGTCTTGGACTTTAGCCATTGTGTCCCTTAATCCGCTCATTAGTTAATTGTAAACACTTGGCAGGGCCAAGCATGACTCATCTACTCTGGTGGTACCAATAATTACACGCGTTCCAAAAAGACAGGAAATTTTAACGAAATGATAAAAGTGCCCAGGAAAGGACAGGAAATGCCCCAAACATTACCGCGTGAGCCGGTACTTTCATTTAAAACACCGTGTAGAATTAAAATCTACTTAAAAAATCGAACTGTCTTTATCATAACTTTATAAATAAAAATGGTACGGACTGGTACACTCGTACCCAGAACTAAGTGCAGACTTTTATTGAAACAGTGGTATCAAAAGAAATTATTAAAAGCTTGCCGCACCTTGCCGCAAAGAAATTTTAAAGGTCGGGGTACAGAAGCGAAATGAGAGAATTTTGTAAACGGCGAGACGCAGCCAGACTGGTCTACAACCGCATGGTATTGTACGCTGATGGAAGTGGTGTCAGACTTACATGTAGTCTGGCTGGCGGTATTTAATAGTAATAACGCGTGCACGCATGTTCCGTGTTATGTGGAGCGGGATCGGCCATTGCCAGACGTTGTCTGACACGCGGTAGTGGTTTTTATAAACAGGGATAATGCGTGGACACATACTCTTGATTTTGCCGGGCCGGCACTGGGAACGTGAATAATACTTTTTGGGGGCCGACGACGAATCATGTCTCCATGACAGTCTCACGATCTTTACGCGGTTTGCTTGTTAATTATGTAAATGTGAGTCACAGTCTTTGATTGATTGGAGTATCAACTTCATAAACATAAACACACCTGATACATGTATTTACTTTTGAAATTTGGCATCCGCGCGGCCAGGGTACCGGAATGTCGTCAGTGCAAATTTTACTTGGGGTCGGTGTAATTCAAAATTGAAAATTTGAGAGCACATAACATTTTTTTTTATGTCAATGAGAAAATGGATACAACAGTTACAATGAAACGAACAAAACATTCAACTTCAATTGTGCATGCATGGGCCTACAGCAAATAAAATACCCATCGCCATTGCAACAAAAAAATCAACTTGACTCTCAATGGGCGCGGCCCCAATTATGAGGCCTATTACTTTATCAACATATCATGACGATACGTACGTGCAGGCCTATGACTGATGTACAGCAGTGCCTATCATGACTTTTGATCGGAGGACTATAAAGTTGAATGATGAAAATGAACTTGATGATGTGTATTCTTTCTCTTTCAATAATTGGTGTTATAACTTGAATAATGGAGTGGAACTTTCTTAAAAATGCCGATTAATATAAATTAAGAATAATGACATAAATAAAGCAGTCTTTCATATTTACAGTAAGAACGTTCGGTGTCTTTCAATTAAAACCGAAGCTCTCAACGAAAAATAAAAAGAAATATAATATGTCCGGAGCTCAATCAAACGACGCAAAAAAAGCTATGAAAATAGCCTAGCCTTACGTACGTAAAGTGTAGTACATGTACATGTAATGTCACGTATCATAAAAGAGTAATCCAGACACCATGCATTGTGGCACTGCCAGGCACCAACGTCTTTTATGTCATTGGAACTCCAGCCCTTTCATCGCAAACCTTTCATTATTTATCACAACCTCTTTGTCTGGTGCCGCCTTGGCCGGCTACCCAATTTCTTTTGTCAGCGTTAATCTAGGGATTAGTGTAGCAACCCTTGCCTGTGCTCAATAGCCCGCATAAGCACGCAATGGCACGCAGTTGCCCGCAACGGCACGCAACGGCACGCAATTGCGGGCAGACCCGTGCAGCACGGGGTAGCACGCATGAGCACGCGTGCGCACGCGTGCGCACGGGGGCGCACGCAAATCGGAATTAATCCACGGGGCCTAAGATTAATTGTTTTTGAGATGAGACTGATTTTTAGGGGATAAACTAACTGTAAAGTTCTGTGAAACATCCCCTATAGATGGGAGAGAAAAAAATGTCCAACGAGGATATGTACAAATACAAATGTCACTATGATCGTCAAAGTGTCAGTAAAGTTGCGAGGTTTTTTACAGAACACGTTAGTATTGAAGAAGCCTTTCCTTTAACATCTTAGGGTCTTGTGAACAAATGTTGCTTATGATGTAAACATTTCATTTGATATTGTTTTCCTCAACCAGGATCAGCTGGATCAGTTTGCCGCTGAGCGGACGCTGTTACTGGGCCAGAAGGACGCGGCGCAGAGCGAGATCAACAAACTGAGCCAGAGCTACGCCAAGCTGCTGGGCCATCAGAACCAGAAACAGAAGATCCAACATGTGGTGAAAATCAAGGACGAGAACCTCAAACTCAAACAGGTCAGTAGCTCACCCCCTCCACAATTTACAAAGCCCCGCCCCTTATATTGCGCAGATGTTGAGCACAGAAAGAGTTACACGAAATATGACACTTAATGAGTTCGCGTTGGAGGACGTGATAACACGAACTGGCTGTTTTTATACACAGGCACGGCTGACGGGTTTGGGTTTAATGTCAAGATTGCCTCGACTCGCCTCCGGGTGATGTCTAAACATGCTTATTCCTCGTGCATTTTGTACACACACGCAAAGTCTGTGGAGTCTGTGGAGGCGGACCGTGTGTTGATCTTGAATTGGCCATTGTGCACGGCCTATTGTTGTACAATTTACGCTCCAGTGCACACCCCGGAGTGTTGAAACATATGAGGCTTCGGCAAGATTTAGCGTACAAAATCTGTTGAAGTGACTCTTGCGAATCAGTATTTGTGGCGTTTGGCTGTATATCAAAAGGTTGGCTGGAAATTTTGCCTCTTACAAAAATCAAAATTTGCGGCGAAAATATTCTCGGCGCGAAGTGGTTAACATCTGCGAAATGGAAAAGATACATGAAATAGATTTTCATGTTGATTTCAGGGGAATAAGAAGCTAAAGATACCGGTACATTCCCCACGCTATTTTCGAGTTTCAACTTGTGAAATACTTTTTTCAACTGCTTTTTTTGGGTCTTTTTTAATGAGACATTAAACAAAAAAATCACCAACGTTTAGTAATTGAATTATTTCTTCACAAAATTTGAATTCTTAGCTGCTAGACAATAATTCAGCTCTCGCAGGGCTGGTTCATTTGAGCACAAAACTCTTTTTAAGAGGGTTGCTGACGCCCAAAATGGTCAGAAAGTAGTTTTTACATTAAAACAAAACCTACAAATTGAAAATTTGTTCGGAGAAAAAAAAATTCAGGTTTTGAAGAGTACGGGGTATGCAACTTTAAAACTGAAAAATCTCAAAATCGATTGACTTTTGTTTGATCATTTTTTTCAGGAGGTAAACAAACTCCGCGAGGAAAACCTGAAATACAAGAGCGCCCTCAGGAAGGCGCGAGATGCATCGTCGGACCGCCGTCGCTTTGACACCTCCAAGGCATTCACCAATCAGAGGTCCAAGGAGAACGCCACCCCATTGGCCGATCACAACTCGACCATTCGCTGAAATAACGACCACCGAAAGTAGATGACTTTCCTTCATACGGAGAAGGAAAAAAAATCATATTTTGTGCATCCATTCATACAGGGTGAGTCAAAAAAAGCGAAACCCAAATGTCGGGACTATTGTTTTAGTGACGTTCTACATGAAGCACTTTCTAAATCTAGGATATGAAAGTTCAGTTCATAAGCTTTCTTTTAGTACAAGAAGCATTCAAATCACTCATATACTTTTCAAGTAACGGAATTTTAAACACAACCATTGTTTTAAAGTTCTGTCCACGGATCACAAAAACAGGTGTGCATTCTTTCTGCAAAACGAAAACAATTCACACACATCCCAATGTGATTTGTTTTCGTTTTGCTAAAAGAACACTTACCTTCTCGTGACCAATGAACAGAACCTTAAAACAGTGGTTGTGTTTACAAATTCCATAACTTTAAAAGTACATCAGTGATTTGAATTATTCTTGTACTAAAAAGAAAGGTTATGAATTTGGCTTTCATATCCTAGATTTTGAAAGTGCTACATGCAGAACTTCACTAAAGCAATGGTCCCGACAATTGGGTTTTTTTTTTTTTTTTGCTCACCCTGTAGTCCTTGTAGGAGTGTTGTAATAATGTGCCTGTTTTTCTTTTTCTGTTTCATGTATTCCATCCATTACTTTTGCCACTTCTAGATCAAAACCTCCAGTTACCTCTCTTTGTAAATATTGATTATTTAAAATGTACATAATTTATTATGAACCTCAGTTTTGCCTTAACATGTCAGAACATGATTTATTTGGACACTTTTGTTTTGTTTTCTGGTTATAAGGCTTAATTATAGATATATTGTTTTTGTTATCTTGTACAAGTTTGGAATTTCAATCAGTGAGGCAACGTTTATAAAGTCCTCAGCAGCCAATAGACCTAACCATTCAGCCCCACCCACTGAAGCACGTGCGTGCATGTTGGACATTGTGATTGGATCAAAACATCATTGTGGGCAGGGCCGAGGTGCTCGGTCTATTATGGCAAACACAAAAAGATTTTGCTTGGCCAACAAAGAAAGGTCAGCCTACACAAAAAAAAACCAAGAATGGTCGCTTGCTTAAATGTCACGGAGGTGCGTTGAACATAATATGTGCCAAAATATATCAATAAGATTTAAAATTATGACCCCTCCAATGAGTGTGGACTTTCTTTTTTTGCGGTGTTTATATTGGTCATTGTGAAGCAGTCACTTTCAAGACAGTTCTGCCACCAAACAATTTTAAGGAAGTTTGCTAACTGGTAATCAAATGTTGGCAAAACGTTAATAATGTTGTATCCGTAGATAACTTGCACTGATGATACTCAACAATTTAACTGTTTAAAATTGAAATCCATTTTTCTACAGATTTTTTTTTTTTGGAAAATGCTGTTGTTCATGGATTTACACGTACTAGCTTACTTTTGATGTATATTGTGATAAAAATTATTAAGATGTCAAATTAAATTTACACATTAAATCTTCTCTTGATTGTGTCTGACTTTTCAGGTCTTGATTTAATAATACACATACACACTGCATTTTGAACAATTCATTTTTGAAAATACAATGTAGAACACACTTTTGAGTGTGATTTATAATTTTTTTTTAATGTAATTTTCACACGGACCACAAGCTTATGTTACAATGATCTAATACTGGAGTTTTTTTTGTTACACACAAATCCACACTTTGATAAATAGATTACATTACTAAATTCAGAAAAAATAGACTTTTCTGTAATATTTTTCTTTAAAAATGAATTCAATAAATACACTTCCAAAAGATTCTTTCAAAGTCTAAATTGTAGATTTACAGTGGAAGACTTAAGTTAGAGATAGTTTGTTCAGAAATATTATTACAGGATAAAAAATCAAAGAAGACAAAACAAAGTATACAAAATATGTTTTTGTAAATGTGCTAAGTCCTATATTCTCTAATCTAAATGAAATTGTGCCTTATATTAACATAATTTGGAATCATTAGGAGTCTATTTTCTGTTGATCAAAAAAGCATTTAGGCCAACTCCAAAGAATAAAACATTGTCAGTGTTTCCCACGAAAATGACAATTTTTGTCTGTTGTCCTCATTAAACCCACTTTGTAAAATTAGAAAAGTGCTGATGCCGTTTCCGATTTTGATTATCACTGTTGAGTCCACTTTTTGGAAAAGAATTATAAAGATATTATAATAATAATGGACAGATCCATTAAGTCCCGCCCTGTGATGTTTCGACCAATGCCCTCATTGATGTTCAACACTGCACGCGCACGCGATATATGACGCACGCGTCTGGAAAATGCTGTATCCGGTTCGTTAGTGTGATGTCGGTTCAGTTTAAACCACGCCCACTGGCATTAAGTAGGCATGGTAATACAGACGCGCACGCACCACTGATTATAAGCACCCATTGGCTAAATACGGTTCCAACGCTACTCCGTGTGCAGTGGGCGTGGTTTAAGTTGAAAAACGCCACACGAACTGGATAGTATAGCATTAAGGAGGCGTTGCACGTGTTGTTAAACACGTGGGCAGTGGGCGGGGCTAAAAACACGAAAATGAAAAGGCCGGGCGCCGGGCGGGGCCGGCCACGCACTAGATATCGAGACGGCATGGCACGCGTCAAAAATGTCTCAAGCCAAAAACTCATAAACGTCCTGAAAAATTCCTCACGGAAATCCTTTTAAAAGTGGAAGTTAAATGGGACGAACAGGAAGACGAGCGCACATGACATGGTGACTAATTTTCGGACCAATGTTCTAGGAAGGTGAGTGAATGATAAGTAGGCCTACATTGGTCGAAACTTTCATGGACACATTTAAAATTTGATAGTCGTGTTACATGCACTTCGCGCACATCATTTGCTACTCGCGACGTTCCTCGTAAGGAGTCCTTATTTTGATGAGCTACAAACTTGTTCCATTAAATATCGGGGAAATATTACCTTAAATATTGGACATAATTGCCTTTAAACTTGCTGTGGAAACCGTCAGCAATTTTAGTGTCTTGGAATTTAGTCTGGAACTCGACACACTGAGACACAGATGTCCGGAATTCAGTGAACACAAAATCGGGCGGAAAACTTCGAAAAATAATAATATAATTATCTTCATCCTGATGATCCACGTGCCCAAATACCTGTGTGCATTATTTCCTCATTTTGTGAGAAAAAAATATTAACAGGTTGGAAATCTCGTCGAAATATTTTTACTCGTAATTTTGTGACGGTGACGTCAGCAATTGATATTTGTGAATTAGTGGTATTTTAGAGTAAAAAAAAAAATTCGCTTCGGAAAGAATGTACTATCCAGACGCCACTTCTTTGGTTGTGTACAAAGTCTATGGAGAGTCAAGTGTATTTTCAAAGTATTTTCGAACAACTTTAGAGATATTTCTCAGTCCCAGATTCATGTCTTTTCAACATTTTTACAAAGAAAAAAAACCTTCATTGACTTGAGATAACATGTGATGAAAAAAAAGTGGCGTCAGGATGCAACATTCTTTCCAAAAGGGAATGATTAATACATGTAGTTCGAAAAATAATTGTACACTTGTGGGCCCAGATATTAAATAATTGGGATAAGTTTTTCACCAATGTTTAAATTGGATACAAGTTATTACAGTAATTAAACATGAATAGCGCCCTCACTCTTTTATACATTTCAATCTCTGGGGTTTGGAACATAAGAAAAAAGTGAAGAATTGTTAGGTCGAAGAAATACATGTTTAATAGATTTGTTAAAAAGCTGTGCTACCAAAAACCACCTGACCGATTACTCACATACCAATACACATTTAAATTCTCCTGAATTTCAAGCAGATCAAGTGAGCAAAAAGGCTGCAGGTAATTTTGTGCTGCACAGACCGTAGAAACAGAAATCTCAGGCTAAAAAAATAGGAAAACCAACTGAAATAATGTTAAGAAGATTAAGGACAACATAGAAAGGGGAAAAAGGGAAACATTTGTCATCAAGTCCTGGGCCTTCTACTCAATCCAAGGCTTTAGAACTAGATCTGGGGGTGTTTGTGCATTTTTTTAGTCAAGTCCATCACAAGTCCTCACAAGTCCTTTCCAGTCCTCGTGAGTCATCACGAGTCCTTATGAGTCCTCATGAGGACTCACAAGTCCTCACAAGTCCTCACGAGTCCTCACAAGTCCTCACGAGTCCTTACAAGTCCTCACGAGTTCTCATGAGTCCTCACAAGTCCTTATGAGTCCTCATGAGTCCTCACGAGTCCTAATGAGTCCTCATGAGTCCTCACAAATCCTCACGAGTCCTCGCAAGTCCTTACCAGTCCTCGCGAGTCCTTACCAGTCCTCACGAGTCCTTACCAGTCCTCACGAGTCCTTACCAGTCCTCACGAGTCCTTATGAGTCCTCACAAGTCCTCACGAGTCCTCACCAGTCCTCACGAGTCCTTACCAGTCCTCATGAGTCCTCACGAGTCCTTATGAGTCCTCACAAGTCCTCACGAGTCCTCACAAGTCACGAGTCCTTACCAGTCCTCATGAGTCCTCACGAGTCCTTATGAGTCCTCATGAGTCCTCACGAGTCCTCATGAGTCCTCACAAGTCATCACAAGTCCTCACAAGTCCTCGGAAGTCCTCACAAGTCCTTCAGTCTCAAGTCAAGTCACAACTTATTCAAATGAACTGTGACAAATGCATTCCTTTGTTTGTTGTTCATCACTTCTTTCTTGTGACTGGACTTGTGTAACGGGACTTGTGAGTTTGTATTTGACTGAACTTGTGATGGATTTGACTACAGCACCATGCCTGTGCGATCAGCAACTGTTCCTAGCTATGACACCATACTGCAAACTGATGAATGAACATTTTATATTCAAATTTTGAGCCTTTTTGAGAACACATACATGTAGACGTCATTCTGCAAATTAGTGTCCAAAGTGTGACATTTTTCCTGTCCCGATACCCATGTACTTTGTACTTTGCCATTCCGTCGTTATTAAAGAATGACTTCAAAGGAATTTTTGTATTTGGTACGAAGGGAGTTTGCTATTCATAATCACTGTTGGAGAACTGCATTAAGGAGTGCATTAAAATTATAAAATCATAGATGTCAGATGTAACAGGGACAGGAAAAAAAGTGGACCCGAAATTTATAGAATAACCAATATTTGTTTAGCCACAGTTAAGTGACCCATTGGGGTGGGGTCAACGGAGGGGGGGGGGGGGGGGGGGCGGGGGGGATATTTCCCCTTTATACTTAAAATAATAATCTCCTACCACTCCCAGATTCTTTGCAATGCATGTAGCCCCCCCCCCCCCCCCCCTCCTTAGAAACATTCAACTTCTGCTGTAGGCTTATATGGGTAATTTATATGCCAAAATAGAAATTAAAAAACATGCTACAAATGTCATTCATCAGTTCCATGTATGGCCAAGCTTGGTATTTAGTCTTTTTGAAACACGGCAGGCACAATAGGGCGTTATATGAAGTGAGTAAATTTGATTAGATACAATAGAGTTTACGAACTCCAAATAGCGCCCTCCTATTGTGTCTGCCATACTACAAAATTCCACAGACATCACCATCAGATCTTAGTGGGGCGTCAGTTAGTGCAGTTTTTGTGGGTTATCTCATCTAACTTTGCAAGTGACGGCAGAAATCATGCATTTTGAAAAGCGATCATGCTGTCAAAAGAATATGCGATGCGATCAGCTAAATGAGTCGTTTGTCGGGAATTTTCATTTGGAGATTCAGGCCAAAATAGGGCCACTTCATCACATCACTTTATCACATATCTTGGTGTTCAGACTTCCATAATTTTTGAACTAAAGATGGTAACAGCATGCGGTTTTCACAGCAGTAATGCTGAGATTGTGCCCTTTTCAAATTTGTTGACCAGGGTCGACAAATGACTCATTTAGCCTGATCGCATCACTATGCCATAAATGTCTTTCATTCGTCAGCAGAGATGGCTCTTTCAGGCTTTTTGTGTGTGTATAAGTGTTTACAAGACCTCAAGAGGGTCAAGTAAATGTGTGCTTACAGTGAAGTTAGACTTTTACACATGCAACATGCGGTGCAGAAGTTTCATGGACCCTTTCACGGAGACCGCCATGTTTGTGGTCACGTGGTAATCTCAAGGGGCATTGCAATAGAAATATGTCCCATCGTGGCATTGAATCTGAGCATGAACATATTTCTGTTGAAATGTCCACTGTGATTTATGTGACCACAAATATGGCGGTATATCCGTAAAACAGTCTATGCCGTTAACGCTGCTTGAGAAATTTCATGCGTATAAATCTTGAAAAAGGATGTCAATGACAAATGCGTTTCCTGAAATAAATCATGCAGTTTTTAATTAAAAAATACCCCATGCAAAGACAGTGACACACAGACTCATGCAATACACCATGAAGGATGTATTTATTTTGAGAATTATTCTGAGTGAAAAAGTAAATGACAAAAATGACATTATCGGATACAAATTCAAATAATAAATTCCTCTATTTCAAGCCCACACCTTCAAACAATACTAAAAAAAAAAATGCATAATTAAGATTTTGTTCAAAGGGCTTATTTGCATACTGCGTTAGTTTTCACAAGAGAAAGTTTAAGCCTCCGAGGAAAAGTAACATAATTATTAATTTCACTTGTTTAAATATTATTGCAATTTTCCACTGTACAAAATATATGAACACACAAACTGTACACTTTTCATTTTGTACACAAATGCGCCTTCCCCAGAATGTTTCTAACGTAAAAAAAAACCAGCTTTCAACATGATTTTTCAAACTTTACATGAGAAAAAAAAAATACTATTTGAAGAGAAAATAATTTGTACACTCTCATGCTATGTTACAAATGTTACATAAGTCATGCAGTTTTATATGCAATTGACATAAATTCCCTTAATGCTAAGGAATTAGGTTATCACACGAAGTGAATCAAAGGATGGTACTTTCAATTAAAACTTTTTTGTTGTTGAAAATCTACAGCATGCAATAATTTGGAAAATGTCTTGGTCAATCATTAATTTTTACAAAAAAGTTAATCAGATATAGCCATGCTTCATGTATGAGTTATAAAAATGTCCGCAATATGTAACCTGAAGTTGATTGGTTTTAGCTATTATTTGGGCTGCTCGGGAGTTAGCACTCACAAATACCAAACACACACCATAACGTGGCCAAGCATGCACGTTGGAAAAGTTTACCTAGGCATTGTGGGTAATTTTTTTTTCCAACCAAATTAGGAATGTCACACTTACCCCTTCACATGCACTATTTCAGCCAAATTTATCAAACCACCAAATACTGCATTAAGTTTATAAAATTTGTCTTCAAAGTAATCATTCAAAGAAGTTTAATTTAAAAATCACACACATGCATTCATCCATGGAAAGTTTCAGCCAATCAAATTGCATTTCTTGTCGCATAATACTCCCAAAAGTTTACCAATGCATTATGGGTGAGGATGGTTTTACAATGACACAATGTTAAAAAAAAAGTTACCTGGCATGCAATGTGAAAAAGTGGAAAATTTTTCCACCACGAGACAAAGATATTTTCATATTTTTAATTAATCTCGAGCAAAAGTTACCTCTACCTTTCAGTGTTGCTTTCCTGTTGCTTCCTCGGAAAAGTTATATTAATGTTTTCATAAAATAGTTACTGCCATGCAAGTTGGATGAGTATAAATACATTTTGGGGAGGTCAAGGATCATTGCTATTTTATGTAATGGAAATGGGTGAAAAAGGGAATAAATATACAAATGTGAGGCGTTCTCGCAAAATGAGGTGAAACTGGGCACAGGCCGAAGTGGAGAAAATTGAGGAGGAAAAAGGAATGGGTCGATTTTTTTTTCAATTTTCAGATTTGTTGATATTTGTAAACTTTGATCCGTCTACTACACATATTTTATAGAATTTGTTTTTTAAAATCTTGAATTAAAAGTCAGTGTTTTGAAGGGAAAATAATTGGCATCTTTCATTTTCACAACTGTAAAACTCTAAACTTTAAAGGCCTTTTCCTGACTTTTTGACATGTCGATAAATTTGAACTTTAAACAGCCGTAACTCGTCAACAGAATGCCCGATTGAAGTGCAACAAACGGCATGATTGTGAGATCGAATTTTGTTCTCTGTTCTAATACCCGCAAACCCTCGTTTCAACCTCTGTCCAGTTCTGTCTCATTTTGCCAGAGCACCTCACAAATGTTTGGGTAAATTTCAGCCAAATTAAACCACGCCCAATTCTAACTTTTCGGCCTTCAGCTTGGTAAAATGTTTACCAGTGCATTGTGGGTAAGCTTGGGTCATGAGACTCGCACACACGTGAACATACACGGACAAACTGTAAGGAAGCTCACAAAAAATTACATGCAAATTGCGCCACATGTGTAGCACATGTATTCAGCATGAAGTTCAGCCATTACTTAAAATTTCCTGTTGCATTGTGGGATGGTGTCGCATCTGCCAAAGCTAGAAAAGCATTGTCGCACCAAAATGGACCTTTCCAGATTCGGTCTTAAGCCCCGCCCACATTTTGTCAGTGCTTGTGACCAAGTTCTACCCTGCCACTGTACTGCGGTCAGCTGATCAAAAGTCGCAATCTGATTAGTCAATTTATATGCAAGAAGGGTCCATTATGCACAGCTGCACACACACAACTGCTGTTACATGTATGATGTTTTGTTTTACGTACAGCCACACCAACTGTTCATGCATGCAAAAGCGGAGCACACATTATTTATTAAACTCATTTGCGCCTTGGATAGAGGAAGGCCTAGAACTGGAAGCCAAATGGATCGTCGTTCTTTTCTCGGGAGCGGGACGGGGGTGAGATGGGGGGAGTGTCGGCCAGCTCAAAACACTTGAGGTTCTGGTAGGCGTTGGGTCCGCCACGATCCATGGGGGTCGGCTTGAGCTTTTCGTGACGTAACCTTTGATGAGCCAAGTACACACAAAAAAGAAGTCATTAATTAAACAAGAGAATTAAGATATAACATGTGATATAACATTTGCTATGAGAGACCCAGTATAGGAAGCAATGCCTTGTACAAGACTTGGACCTCTGTGATAATAATCAGAATATTAAGAAAAAATAATAGTACAACTCAATAATCATTGTTGCTGTGTTTTCCAGTTTATTTCAATTTTTTTAGTTTCTGACATTTGGCTTGCCCAAGATAAAGTGTGTTGGTTACAGACAGTTCATTTGATAACGAAACAGTATGTTTTGGAGCTATAAATGTTCCAAGTTTCATGTTTCTACACTTCAAAAAACAGCAAGTCCAGTTACAAGCAATATACACTGCATGACAATTTGGCTGGTAACCTGCTTTGGCTAAGCAAATAATGTTTGTGCTTAGCATCTTTCTGTGCTTAGCAGGGGCCAATTTCATGGCGCTGCTAAGCACAAAAATTTGCTTAGCACAAAAAAGTCTTTCTCTGCAAAAACAGGATTACCAACCAAATTTCCATGAGATATATATTGCTTGTGATTGGTACTCGGCTGTTGTTTGCTGAGCATGAAAATCACATGGAGTTTTGGCTGGTAACCTGCTTTTACTAAGCCACACTTTTTTGTGCTAAGCAAATTTTTGTGCTTAGCAGCGCCGTGAAATTGGCCCCTCAGCTCTCTAAGAAATCAGCCCTGCTGTACAGGGATAAAGCTTCCTACCTCTTGCCAGTTCCTTTGTTGAAGGGCTTCTGCTTGAGCTCCTCGGCGATCGTGTCGTCGTCGTACTGGAACTGGGTCCCAGTCATGAAGGTGCTCACACTGATGACGTCACTCTGAAAAACAATTACATTTACAACGCAATAATGTAATTTTTTAACAACATTTTTCTGAACATGGCTTTTGAGTGTGATACAGTTCTCATCAGTGACAGAAAAAGGCAGATATATATAAAAAAAACCAAGATGAGGCGTGCATAATTGAGGTTGATCGGTATGTTTGCAAACTTAGGACATTATTTATGGACACAAACACTAACAGTAAATGGATCTGGTACAAGGTACCCTGTGGAGACATGTGCACAATAGGGAACAAAAGATTGTATACGTCTCCACAGGGCAATTTCTATAGGTGAATACGTCTCCACAAGTTTATCACGAAATAGATATATGGATTTTACTCAAAAACTTGGAATTTCCAGGGTGTGTTGATCTGTCGCAATTGAAATATTTTATGTAAGGGGTATCAAGTACGACTTTCAGCCCAGGAAATTAATTCTGGTTAAAATAGAAGCATTTTGAAAGTACAATTTCAAACTTGAAAACTTTAGTACACGAGAACAAAGAAACGACTCCACAAGGATACAAATTTCAGTATGTGTGTACATGTACTTTGTGGCCACTTTCAAAAACCCCAGTAGCAGGGAAACGCAATGCATGGGAGTTCTGGTTTGTGGGTGTATAGCGTGAAGCACACACATTCAACTTGCACAAGCCCATGGCGTCTTTGTTTTGTCTCCCCCAACTAACCCTTTGTTAAGCCCCAGTCACACATTCACAGTTGGAGCCACGAATATCCACGGTTTACCAAGAATCAATCACTCAATCTCGATGAACCGTCGAGACTCGTGGAGAAATAAACTTTTTTAAGAGTGCACTACGGTTTCAGGACGGATAGCCACGACTGTCCTAAGGTTTTTCTACGAATACGCCATGGTTTGTCAAGAATACGGACGGATTGTTGAAGAATATCCATGGTATTACTAAGAATAATGATGTTAACGCCATAGTTGTCTGCGATTGGGCCACGGATGACCAAGGTTCTCCTACGAATGAAGCATACATATTCGTAGTACAACCAGAGCAGAAGAATCCTAGCATATCCGGGCATATCCGTAGCGAATTCGTAGAGATTTCTACCAGGAATGAGCTACGAATCTCCAAGAATATGTACGAATAGCCAAGAATAGTGCTACAAATTAGTACGGTTGTCCTACGGATGTCCCATGGTTGCACTACGGATTGATTTTCATGACGATTCACCACGGAAGTTTGGAACAGTAGCCCCTCCAAGAGTACCGAAGGAAGATGACGGATACTGCCACGGAGGTACTAAGGATGAATACGGTACTCCCACGGTTTATCACGAATTTTAAACTGTGGATATCCATAGCTCCAAACTGGGAACATTTGTGTGACTGGGGCTTTTACCGTTCAGGGGGTACTTAAGGTCAGTCAATCGGTAACTCGGACAGTCACAAGAGCTGTGGGCTGGCCCTTCCGATGCAGCAAAAATAATTTATTCACATATTCATACAGTTATATGGATTTAAAAAGGATCTAATTTTTAAGACCTTTTTCAGATAATCTGCATGGGCTTGAATCCTGCTTGAGTCCATATAGTTCTGTTTTCCGATCTAGCTTGATCTTGCAGGAACTTAATAATTTACCAACAGATTTTAATGGTCATTTTGCCTTTCACCGAACTTTTTTTTAATGAGCACTGTAGAAATACTGTATTCAGTGCTATCCAAGAGTTTGTGAGAAAAAGGTCATTAGTTCAATAACAATCTCTGCCCTCATGGATACCCATTTACTCAAGGCCCAATTTCACAATGCTGCTAAGCACAAAAGTTTGCTTAGCACAAAAAAAGTCTGGCTTATAAAAGTAGGTTACCATCCAAAAATCCAAGTGATTTTCATGCTCAGCAAACAACAGCTGAATACTAATCACGAGCAATATACATCCCGTGGAGTTTTGGCTGGTAACCTGCTTTTATAAGCCAGACTTTTTTTGTGCTAAGCAAATTTTTGTGCTTAGCAGTGCCATGAAATTGGCCCCTGCAGGTCAGGGAGAAGCAATTAGCGACAGAGTGCCTTACTCAGGGACACACTAACCACAACCCCAGGTTGGACTCGAACCCACAACCTGCAGAACTACCCACAGAACATGAGTTCAATACTCCAGACAACGAGGCCATGGCAATCCACAATGCAAGGATCTATGGACTATTCATTCTCATACCTTCCTCTCTTCTTTCTCCGCCTCTTTTTCGTTAGGCTCCTCCTCCCCCTCCTCCTCCTCCCCTTCCTGGTTATCGTCATCCTCTTCTTCTTCAAAGACTCCGTTGGACACTTTGAGGTCCAGCACTGGGTGGTCAGGCATGCTGACCGGATCCACCAGGACGTCGTAGGGGACCATGGGATGGGCGTAGGTGGAGGGGTTGTAGATGTCCCAGGGCTGCTGCTGGCCCAGGGTACCTGTAGTGGAAAGGGGGGGGGAGAGAATAAGTTGTGACATGCACACCGACCGACACCTAACTTAAGCCTTCCACACCAGCAGGCTGTGTGATGGCTTCTGCTTTATGATGTCCTGCCAAACACTTCTGTGGGACGCCAGCTGACTTGCTTCTGACAGTGAGATGTCTCTCGTTCTGCAGTCCATTCTAAGACAGTCCAGCTACAGGCAAATACATTGATTTCAAGGGGGGGGGGGTTGGCTTAAAACTTCAGACCAACTCACTAAAGCTCATAGTCACAATGGTTACATGTTTTGTTGGTCAACTTGTCTGTGTACCAACGTGTTTTTAAACTGTTTTCACAATATGGTACGTCTCAATTTTCAATTCAAGGGCATGTGTGGTCTAGTGGTGGAGCACAGGATTCATGATCGTGAGATTGTGGGTTCGAGCCCCGCCTTGGCCATTCATGTTGTGCCCTTGAGTAAGGCTCTTGACCTCAATTACTCCTCTCAACCCAGGTGTTAAATGGGTACCGGCATTATTCAATGCTGGGCAGGTAAGGTAACAGACTCGCTGTGGAGGAGGTGTGGCGATCCCCCCACAGCAGCATATAAGTCTGGCCCAATCGCTAGCGAAAGAGAGATGGGCACTCCGTTCCTGTGAACACAGGTTCGTCCCCTCTACTTTACTTTACAGTTTTCAATGTAATTTTCTTTAAATGTGAAATTGCGTTTTTCAGTGAGAAATGTCTACTTCTACTCAACAGTTGTTAGGGTTGCAAATTAGGCGAGTTACTTGACAAAAAGAGTGTTTCAAAAACGTGGACCTTTTCCTTTGGGGGGGGGGGTTGGCCACACACCCAGCGCACCCGTCTCCTAGGTACGATCCTGAATTAGACCTAGAGATAAAAATAATGTGAACATTACTGGAAGTTGAGGACATTTCTCACCCATGCTCAAATTTGAAAGCCAAGTATGAGCATAGTTTGACTATTTTCACTAGAACACAGTCTAGTTCACCATCTGTTATTGAACTCCAGGGCACCATTGAATTACTAGTTCTCAAAAGAAATTCGCGCAGAATGGTGACAACAGTATACTGTTACTGCAGTAATAGTGTCAGCAGCATGAAATTAAACCAATAGATAACATCACCCAAAATGTGATTACCAATATAATGGCCTTCCGTCGTCCATAACCGCACGGTGCAATCCAAGGAGGAGGTAAGGAGAATATTGTGAGACTGTACCAGGTTCATGCTAAAATAAACCAAAAACATGAGAGTTTATTTCACAAAGATGCATAGTTTGCATATTTCATGTTACTATAAACATTACACTTGTTTGTGCCCTACTAGAGCTTGGTATTGCAGCTTCCCCTTTTTGTGTGTGGAAACAAGCCAGATGACAGGGTTTTTTACAAATTCATATTTTAACCCGAACTCCCTAGCATAATTTACTAGGAACCGTACCCATCCTGGCAAATTCCAACACCCACATGGGAAATCGTAGACACACACTGTTGGACTTAGTTTCTGGAGGTATGCCAAACCCAGTGTAAAAGACCATCAGTTTAGGGCTACTGTACCCATCCTAACAGATTTCAACAAAACCTGCTGTTGGGCTTTGATGGGTTGAGTTCGGTTAGGGTTAAAGGTTGAAAGCTGACTTGAAGTTGACATTGCATTGCATTTAACAAATTGGATATCCCAAATTGGCATGATGTATTTCTTTAAGGTTTGAACTAAATCATTCTGGTGTTTATCTACCAAAAAATTAAAATAATATGAAAGTATAAAATTTGGGCAAGGCCAAAAACAAGTCTCCGGTTTCTGGCATGGAGCTTGGCCCAAAAGTGGTGCCCCACTTTTTTTTCTCTTCAAATGTCGACTGATGTTGCAGATGATGCTTCGATCCCCCTTAAAACTCTCCAAATATCCTTCAGAGTGCAGCTTGAGGTGACCTCAGTAAGGCCATAAGGCTCCAGAAGTATATTGAGCTAATTAAAAAGCATTAACAGGTTCCAGATACACGACCATCGCTCCGTCAGTCTGGCTTCCAGACGCGCAATTACAAAATTACAAAATCGTCTGCAAATGGTGCCCGACTAAATTTAGTGCAAAATATATGGGAGCCCAGAGAGGCCACATAAAGCTTATACTCGATCATTAATCTCATCTAAAACACGTTAAAATTGTGCAGCAGCAGGATTCCAGTCAAACCAGTGAGTTTGGCGGTTTTGAAACATCATCATACATTAAAAAAAAAACTTTTTAATTTTGACAACGCACATGGCTACGGCGAAGCACGCGCATACCAGAAACCGGAGACTTTTTTTTTTGGCCTAATGAATAAAGACAAATCTTATGCTTTCCGGTTTCCTGAGACTCAAATCTGTAAATGTTCAAAAGCAAAGTCGTTTGACTCATACCTTGTTATGCTCTCAATATGAGCCCTCCATGATCCTAGTACTGAAATGAAAAAGAAAAAGACAAATGTCAAAAAATATGCTGCTTTCCATAACAATATTGATAATAAGTTCAAGAATATTGATAATAAGTTCAGGTAAGTTTTTGATTTACATTACCCCTACACAAAATTCCATCTTATGAATAATTTAATTGTGGTATATGCTGCTATATGTACATCAGATTTGAACCAGCCAACTGATCACGGAAGCTCCGTGGTTGGGTGGTAAGACATCTGCGCTCGAAAGAAGGAAGTCGTGCATTCAAGTCCCACCCAAGTGATTTTTCTAACTTTCACTCGGGAGGTAACACACTGGGTATACAGTGTTTATATGTCGGTGAAGGGCAAAAACCTATTATTGATTAACATCATCCCGACGCATAATTACATCTTATGAATAAGAAAATATTTTAATTCTTAATTTCAAAAATATAAAAGTAGATTGTAAGTGGTAGACTTACACGCTGGTGGCTCCTCTTCTTTGCCAAATTGGCAGTAACCTTCTGTGTCCCAAGCTGTTACAAAACCTGCAATTAAAGACCATACAAATCAGTTGACTACATGTACAATACTGTAAAACACAAGTGTCCGAGTGAATCAAGTACCTATCCAAATTTACATACATACAAATGCAACATTCAAAATAAAGTTAACCAGTTCGCGCCGGTATTTTGACATTGACTGGACCCAGGCACGGGATTGTTTTTCATGAACCTCGATGCCAGACGGGTTCAGGCCGTCATCTGCGGGAAGCACACCCTGATATTTCTGGCCGCGCTCGCTGCGAGCGGGTTGCAGACAGGGATATTTCTGGCCTCGCTCGTCGCGTGTTTATCCGTCATCCGTTCCGAATACCACAAAGCCTTTGCGTGTATACAAGTCATCCGACGTGAACTGGTTAAGTTTGATATTTTGATGTAAACACCGAGTATGGTCTCTAAATGCATACATGACATGAAAACAGATTTCTTGCTTTACTTTTTTTTTTGTATTTTCCATTTTGTTTTAAAGGTAGATCCGGAATTGCAGATATAAACAGCATAATGCGCGATCTTCACTTTCTTCTGAGCCTCAGAACAGTTCAATTCTCCAATATCTTGGGAAAGTGATAACTTTTCATTTTCTTTTTTTTAATATTTTTAGCGTTGCCGTAAGCACGCACTAACCTCTTGCATCTCCAGCAAACAGCGTGGAATCATCGTCTGTGAGTTGCATTGTGGTGACTGGAGCACTACTGTTTTTAGACTGAAGCAGACAAGAGCAAAAGGTTTATTCCACAGAGTGACTCAAGACAAACAAAAATAAGTCAAATATTTGGTACTCGGGGAATAGTTTAGTTACTTCAATGCAGATGAGTCAAAACTTAACTCTAACTGATATTAATTTCTTAAGTTAAACAAAATTGACTGGAGCGGGGTTTGAATCTACAACCTCCGGATTGCCGTTCCAGTGCTCTAGCAACTGAGCTATCCAGCCCTATGTTTGTGGTTCCCCCATTTCATCAATGTCTTTGTTCGAGGAGCGCTAGTCAGAAGCCATAAAGCCATGCCATGTAGCCAGGGATCATGCACAAAGTCACGATGCTAGCAACATTAGCAATGCTGCAAACCTGGGAAATGGCAATCACTATTAAAGGGACACTAGGTCCTGGAACAGCCCAATTGGGCTACAAAACGCGCTTTGAACGAGATTATGTTAATCGGAAAGAACATTAAAAACTAGGATATAAACATCCACACAACTATCCTTTAAAAACTGGACGTTTTTTCGTTATTCCTGTATTATGCGTGCGAGAACGAATTTCGGGGTCCACTTTTGCGACCCCATAAATTCGAGCCGTTTGGATGGTAGTTGTGATTTCATTCGTACGCGTAAAGTGTTCGCCTTTTGCGGACGTTGAAGAAACCACACTTTTTGCATTGGTGATTTGTCACCGCTGTTCCCAAGAACAACACGAAAAACGTATTCGTACCCTGTCATGTCCAATGCAAACAACCAGGCTTTTTTTCGTCTTTTCTCGGGAACGGTAAGACATTAGGTTGGTTTTCTTTCAACCACATGTTTGAAATAGGCTAAGTAAACAATCCAAAACATGAAATTTTCGGGGATTTCAGGACCTAGTGCCCCTTTAAGTAAAATTACAATGTAAAGATTCTGGGAAGAAACAATGCTTTTAATTTACATTTCAAACTAGTAAAGTAGGCAGGCAGATGTTAATGCCAACTTTGGAGGAAAACTACAGTCAAATTTCAGATGCTAAACTTTTTAAAAACTTTAACAATTCCCAAGGCGAAATAAAGGAAGCTTACCGAGCTAAATTGTGAGAAGAGCACTCCACCATTGTAAACATTCCAAAAGTGGATAGAGCCTGAAAGGAAGTCAAAATTGTACACAAATGAACCCAAAAGTTTGATAACAAATAAATAATGAAATCCAGTCGAAAAGCTTTTATCATAAAAAAACTTTTTGGCAATCCGAAATCAAATATTTTTAAAATTGGCAGGACATTTGACAATAAAAAAATGAACTAAATAAACTACCGTAAATTGACCAAAATTTCAACGATTGTTACTGGCTTTTGTGGGCATTGCCTGTCCTCATTTAGATGAGGTTGTGACCTCTAATGACCTCATTTACATGAGGTCATGACCTCCTGTGACCCTTACCTCTGGGGCCGGAGGCGATGAGTTGAGCAGCATTTTTGTTGTCTTTTCTGGTGCACAGGAAGAGGAGCTTGCAGATGCTGTTGTCTCCATCCACTAAAATTCAATGAAATTTTTGTTTTTCTTAAACGGGTCTAGAAGATGCCAGTTATATTGTTTTCATACAAGTTAAATGATAATATATACACTGCCTAAGTAACCTGTAGTGAAAACAACATTATTCCATCGATCATTTTCAAGCAAAGTGAATATTTCGATCTAAGACATGAAAGGGTTTTGAAGTAAACCAATTAACTGTTTTTCGTCTGAAGTGGAGTGCCGTGGCCTAGTGGTCTGGAGCATTAAAATCGTGAACTGCGGGTAATTCTGCAGGTTGTGGGTTCGAGTCCAGCCTGGGGTCATGGTGCGTGTGCCCTTGGGCAAGGCGCTTTGTCACTCATTGCTTTTCTCCACCCAGGAGTAAATGGGTACCTGTGAGGGCAGTGTTGGTGACTGTGAGAGGTTGATTACGGCCAAGAGCGCCAAAAAGGCTGCCTACCGGCCGTGTATGCTCCTCAGGGAGTTGAGAAGGTTTCAGGAGTGTTTGCCCGTTGAAACAGTGAAAATAATAATTGTAAAACACTTTGATACCCAGTTGTGGCGTAAAATCTAAATGCCGGCTATTATACGTACGTGTAAAGGTACCACTACGGAGACACGTACGTTATCGTATTTTCTTCGCACGATGGGAGACATCGGTCATTAGGGAACATTTTCATGTCTCCCTAATGTCACAGCCCCCCTTTAGAGGCAAAATTTTACTGTCGCAATTAGATCATATTTGTTGCTCGTGGTCTAATTAGTAAACATATCGAAATTCGTGGAAAAAGGACGAGGGAATATTGGGTTAGGGCACATTTAAGTTTGAAAAATTTTGTGCACAAGTCTATGGGGATGTCTCCCAAATGTCCAATCCAGGGTAATTATTATTATTATTCCCAAAGAAATAATTATTATAACAAATACTATGACTTACGTTCTCGCGCAACATAATTCTCCGGTACCGGTGACCTGAGATGGCAGTAGATGTGACCTGATATAAGATTCCATACGATGACCTCGCCGTCGTAGCTAGAGGTCGCCAGTAAGCTGGGTAGGCAGACTGCCACCGATAGAATGTCCTCCTTATGCCCGTCTCTCTGCCAAAATAGAAGAATGACAATAGAATTATCATGCTGCAACCATTTCAATCAAGTTCCCTGTATCCAATTAACAGTACTGAAGGATACTTGGGTGCTGTGGTCCAATGGTTACGGTGCCGTGGTACATGGGTTCGAATTCTGACCGTGGGAACACGGTGCTTGTGCTCTTGAGCAAGGCACTTTACCATTATTGCTTCGTCCTTCGGATGGGATGTAAAGCCGTAGGTCCCGTGTGTTGTGTAATGCACGTTAAAGAACCCAGTAACACTTATCGCTAAGAGAAGGGTTTGCCCCAGTGTTTTTGGCAGTGGCTGCAATATGCGCCGCAGCATCTTGTAAACCCGTATAAGGTGCTACATAATGGGTCTCATATTTCTCATAGACTTTATTTATCTTTCTTTAATAACAGACATAATGTCCAGCGCCTCGAGTACCTACTTGTTGGTAGATACGTGCACTGTAAGACTCCGGTATTTTTTATTATTATTAGAATGGTTTCTGTGCAAAATGAAACCAGACTATTTTTCTTTCCAGCCTCGCTTTGGTTACGTTGATTTGAATGGGAAAACATTACGATGGCCGCAACATGATGATGGTCTATAACCATTGCACAATCCAACATTTGCTCTTCAGGAAATGTTATGACCCCTGTACGTCAGGCTCACTGAACAGGCCAAAGACCATCTCAGCTCTTTGGGAAGTAGACAGCTCGATGCTGCCATATCAGTGCAAATTGTACACTCAAACACAACACCCATCTATGCCCTCACAGGTACCCATTTACGTAAAATGTCTTGCCCAAGAACACATTCATCTTTATCCACTGGGTGGATTCAAACCACTTTGTAGAATTACAAACAAACTTCATAATTTCATTTCTTTAACCTTTAACCCCTTGGGTATATTTACTAGAAAGTATCCTGAATCAATGGCCAGTGAGTAGATCCATCAGAATCCACCAGTTAGGCGGGAGTAAATCTGTTGTGATCCTGAATCCATCAAAGTCCCCCAGTTGCTCAATATGGAGGTATCCTGAATCCATCAAAATCCTGCAGTACCGCTAGGCTTCATGTCCTGAATCCATCAAAATCCCCCAACTTTTTCACTAGGGAGATATCCTGAATCCGCCGAAATCCCCCGAAACAGGGGCGTGGATTTTGATGGATTCAGGTACGTTAGGGTTAACATACTGTGCATGTAGTTTCTGTTGCCCTGTTGGCACGCAAAGGCCACAACAGTGGACACTGGATAAAATGCCTCTTACTGTTTGATCAGTCACAGACAAGTCAGATATTCAGTCTAATTCCCCTCCCATAACTTATACATAGGCTAGTCACCAACAGTCAGGTCATATTCCAATATCCACAGTGATACGTCAAATTCCATCAACAGAAAAGAGCAGGTATCAATCTTCTACAGTCACAGCATAGGCAGGGAGCACTCAACTGTTAAAAAACAGTCACTCAATTGATTTTGACTGCTGGTATGACTTTCTTGAATTTGCCAGCTAGAGTTTATATACAAATTTACATGGTTAAAAAAAATGAAAAGATCCACAAAATATTTTTTTTAAATGAGCTGTGGAAATTGAAAGCAACAGACCAATCCATTGAGACCTGCCCCATGATGTTTTGACCAATCAGCAGTGACGTGTCCATCTGATGCATGCAGTGTGACATATTGGAGAGGCACACATGTCATACTTACCAAGTCATCGGCCCATTTGGGCAGCGGGTGCTGTATGTGCCTGAAGTCCTCTGAGTTATCAGTGTACATATTGATGTGACGATCCCAGCCCACCGAGATGATGAACCGGTTCTTGTTCATCTCGATGTAGGTCACGTCCGTGATCTCGTCAAAATCATCCTCTGTCAGATCAATTCAACACAAAAGAAAATCAATCAATGCTTCTTCAAACTGACTAACAAGGCTTAGGTAAAGTCAGTTCTGATCTTGACTTTCAAAATAGTTTGCTCACTGCATCCGTGTTTCAATACATGCAACTGGTTTAAATGGTGCTCGCTATGGCTAATGAGCCAATATTTGGATTCAATTCACAAAAGCAAATTAATTCCGTACTTTAAAGAGTTAAACTAATACTCAAATTCATGTTGATGTCAACCTTGAACTGTGTTGCATTTTTTATTCGAATTGAACTTGGTTCGTGCTTGTTTAGTTTTCATGTTTTGTTTAGTTTTTGTGTTTTGTTTTAATATTTTAACGCGATTGTGGATTTTTATATGGGTTATGTAACCTTTTCCACAACCCGTGACAGAAATGTCGAAGTGAATAAATAAATACTGCATTCGCAGGTTTTCTAAAAATCATTTTTTATTAAACTGAATTAAAATGGTCAGTTTTCTTACTCTAAATTCAGGCTCACACATTAAGAAAAATGGAAAATCATACAAGAGAAATGGGTTTGCTGAATTTGCCACAAATGTGGAATGCTTTGAATTGAAGCCTTGACTATAATTATATACTGCATTCATTAACATTGTGTTAGAACTGTGTAAAAAGGTAACTGTCTTGAAATTGTATTTGAAAACAGAATATTGCTATTTCATCCCAAAAATTGTAAGGCCAAAACTGTACCTTTGCGTTGAACAGAAATTTTTGTTTAACCATTGGCATACCTCTTTCTAGTCGCTTCAAGCAGTGGCCGTTGTTGTAGTTCCATATCTTCAGCTTGCCATCCCGCCCTCCCGTGATTAGTCTCCGGTTGGAAGTGTCAAAGGTCATGGCTGTGATGGCGTTATTGTCATGGGCTTGCGAGAACTCAAAGACAGCATTGCCAGTTTCGAAATCCCAAATCTTGACAACCTAAGGAGAAAAAAAGGCAAGGGGAATTTTTTAGAAATGAAAAGGAAAACTTGCATTGTTTGTGATTTTTTTTTATGGAAATTTGCATCGGGAGAGTCAAATTTCAGTACTGGGTCTGCCCCTTCACCATGTGGCTTTATAAGCGCTGAATACACAGTCCAAGAAACTGTTAGAAGCTTGCTCAGGATGGGACACAAACATCCTGTCTACTAGTGCGGCTACGGTGCGTCCTGCGAATATTCCATGAAACATATCAGTGCTATGCGTTGTATGTGTATTTATAGTATACTTTGGTGACTGCATGTTTCATGTATTTATTCTAAGCACAGTAAACAGTTGTCTGGTATTCAACAAATGGTTTTGGATGTTCTCTCGAAATGTTTTTATAAACGTAAAACAAAATGGTGGACGGATGATGCAGTTTTTAAACGAAAACAGACTTGTGGAGGACAGTTAGCTATTTACAAAATATCAACTGTAATATCAGAGGCGGATCCAGGAATTTGTGTGTGTGTGTGGGGGGGGGGGGGTGGTCAGGCCCGTCAGATCTCTTTTAATCAGCAAATCAGTGCTGAAATGTAGACAGTTTTTTTTCTCCGGATATTTGGTCTCAGTAAATTAAAAAAAAGGGGGGAAAAAGGGGGGGGGGGGGCTGGTACCATCTTCCAATGGGGGCGCTGTTCAAATCCGACAATGTTTTTTTTTGTGAGAGCAGGGGTTTCGACATCCCCCCCCCCTCAGATCCGCACCTGAATATCCAATCTAGTTATAAATTCGCATACATTGTCTCGAGTTTATGGCCTTGTTTCGGTTTTTTTCACTGGCTTAAAAGTTTTAGGATAATCTAAAGACACCTTGTTACTTAATATGTAGGTAGCTAGAACATGGACGTTTCTCAGCGTTCCATTTCTGATCCCCTCCCCTTCCCTGCCATGACAACACCTAGTGACTCGGGCAATGAACCGGTTTCCAAGAAGCTTTTATTGGTTGATTGGGACATCAAAAAACTTGCAGTGTCTGAACACAAAAGGAAGCTTATTCCAAGCAGATTAACACTGACAGGATAAAGGCAGGGGGCGAAACCACCCTCCAAACAAAAAAATAATGGGGCAGATGATAGCGTTCAGTTGCCCAATCAATACAGCTTAATGGGATTTGGGATGGGAATCGCTTGAGAAAGAACAAGATAAAAAACAAAAACACGATCAGATCAATCATGATCTGTGATCCTCCCGAGTTATAAAAGGATATCCCTATACTCATGGGATGGGTGTAGCTGCCAGGATTGGTCAGGTACAGGACATTGTATCGATCGTTTCCTATTTATATGTCCGAACAAATTTTGTACTGTACAAAAAGCATCTTAAGTGCATATGGCAGCTACTGGTTGGTCATTTTTGTCAAAGCAGTTTTTCGGAGGGTTGTATAATTTCACCTTTTCGTGACCATTTTCAAATATTTGTCTGAAAACTTTTTGTACCGTTCAAAGAGCAAACTGAGTGCATGTGGCTGCAGAAATTGATTGGGCTAGGTCATTTTTGTCAAAGCAATTTTTAAGCCTGATTTCACTGTCATAATGGATGTGTGCTGGTAACATTGTTTCTTTAGGATATTTACACAAAAATTACAGTTAAAAGTTAACCGTCAACACTTAACTCTTCATGGACATTGTGTATATACCGGTAGATGCTTGACGTAAACATTTACTGAGATCAAACAAGGATCCTTACACATTACCAGTCAAATTGTAAAGGTAATATCATTTGCCTGATGAAGGTTTAGCTCAGTGTATGCTGTACATTGTGTATATTCCGAGAAAACAATATTTAATGATCTAGATTTCAATTCAAAATTTGCCGAGTCGTGTTTTCAATTGCGCCGGAAATCGGCGTCTGGGACACGTTCTCCTTCAGCTGACTGCAGCTACTCGATGTCATGCACTGAACCGATGAATTATAGCAACTGCAAGCGTGTGCGTCGTTTTAATGCTTGCACGCACCCATTCACAGCTTCGCCGAATTAAAAATGAACTACTAACGGAAATTTCAAAAAATGCGTCTTTAGACGCATCTTTGGAAATGACCTTCTTTTATTGTTTTCTTCAAAATGACAGCATACCAGAAAGAATAGTTTCACAGGGAGTTTATTGCCATTACTATCTTTAAACCAAGTATGCTTTTTAACAATAATTTCGTCAGTTACTTTTTTGATAGCTACAAATGATATACTCTACCTTTAAATGCTGTGCTTGTACATGTATAAAATGATTTGTGACTAGTTTAATTAAAAGTTTGCTTGGCAGACGTTTCTTGCTATAAAGCAAATCTGATAAAAAAAAAAGACCTTAAGTCCAAAAAAAAAAAGTCTCCGGTTTCTGGTAGGGCCTATGCGCGCGCGTCGCCGTAGCCATGCGCATCGGCAAAATGAAAAAGTTTTTTTTTCTGTGAAAGATGATGTCTCTAAACCGCCAAACTCACTGGTTTGACTGGGATCCTGCTGCTGCACAATTTTAATGTGTTTTAATATGGGGTTATGATCGAGAATAAGCTTTATGTGGCTTCTCTGAACTCCCATATATTTGCACTAAGTTTAGTCGGGCACCATTTGCAGTCATCAGCCGACATTTGAAGCAAAAAAAAAACAGGTTAAAAAAAAAAAAAACCACGTCGCCGCACCACTTTTTGGGCAAGCTCCATACCAGAAACCGGAGACTTTTTTTTTTTGGCCTAAGTTCATGTAGATGATAAAACGAGAACTTAAATAGATGGAATGGGGAAGAGGGTGTAGGGTGTGGCAGTGTGCGGGTGTAGGGGTTGGGGTGGAGGGGGTGTGGGAGTGGGGAGTGGGGCTTACCGATCCATCCGAGCAGCTGACAATGTGCTTGAAGCTGGGGTTGTATTTGGCACAGTGGACTGGTTCCTTGTGTGAGTAGGCAACTTCTCCATTCTGTTGTATACGACTGCAGGGAAGAAACAGGACGGGACCATACTTTTCCAATTTTAACCACCAGGCCTTTAACTATTCGTGAATTTACTTTTCCTTAATTGTTGTACTGGTTGAATATTTTTCAAACATCACCATGATTACTATTTTTGTTAACTGTTTGAAACTTCCATTCAACATTTCTAGAGAAGACACAAGACAGAAATCCTGAATTGATTTCAAACCTCACTGCTAAAAGCTTTCATCTGTGAAGAGAGTATACGATAACCAACAAAATACCATCACTGACAATAGTCAGATACTTATTTCGTATATGAATTCAAATACAAGGGAAAAAATTCTGTAATATGAAGCAAGGCACAATTTAAAGTAAAACACAATTTAGTTTCCAGAAAACTTTGCCAATGGCATTCAAGAGTCACGCCAAATTGAATTATTCTGAAAGTAAGTTTAACGTTTGAAACAATTAGGTGCAACTACACGCAAAAAAATTGACTGTTGAAGTCACTCAAAATGACTCCAGAGTCCAGTCAATGAAAAATTAGTACATAAAGTTTGCCCCTCTAAAACAAAATTGTATGTGGTTCAATAGAGTTGCTCTAAATTGCATTCTGGTGTAGTGCATATATCTAAAATGCCAATCTGAAGTGTAAAATTATATAAAGTACCGGTAAGATATGTGACACGTTACCACAAAATGAGCTTAAAGTAAGATTTTTGAAGAATTGAGATATCTGTATTTCTGGATTCTGCTTATAATAGAAGCTTTCAAATGCCCCGGTAGTATTTAACATTTGGTGGCTCTGAGTGCAGGAAAGGAAATTTGAAGCACCAACTTTAACTTGTAAAACTAATTTTTGAGAAAGTAGGATATAAAATCCCGCTGTTGTGTGACCTTTACGGTGAATGAACAGTCGAGAAATGAAACGGTATGAAAACAGGTTTTAATGCATCATAGAACGGGGAAAAAATGGGGAAGATTGAGCAAGACTTACAAATTAAGTTTCATCTGAAAACAAAGCAAAATGACCACCGCTTGAATTTGCTATGCCCCACTGTACTGCAAAATGGCAATTTGCAACTTGAAGCTCATTTTTGTGGTGACGGGTTACAAATTTGAATGAGCTTACTTTGATCTGTGACTGAGTAGAGCCATCTGATCTGTTGCGATGGCGAATCCCTTGGCAACCTTGTTGTAGTGACAGGCCTGTAGGTCCCCTCGCACTTTGTGGGTCTTGGGGCGGATGGTCAGCATACACACCTGGTCCTTGATGTCCCAAACCTGATGGACAAAAAAATGGGTGGGACAAAGGGAAAATGGCAAACAATTAACATTGTGGTCCCCATGATCTGCAACAAAATTTGTTTTGTTTTCTTTTAATAATTGTTCAACTTGTATGTTTTATTCCAACCTCAAAAACCTTGTTTTTTTTCAGGTTTTTGTTTTTAACGTCTTCAGCCCTTGCTTTGAGAGCAGACTGGCTCCCGGTCCACACATAATCGATACTGATTGTGGGGCGGGAACCAGACTACCCCACGGGAACAGAATTATTGTTTGGCATCCAATAATTTGAAATTGTAAAGTAATAATTCAATATTCACTAAACTCGGGCCAATTTTTTTCTGTCGATTTCTCATTCAAACTCAAAGGTGAATAGCTTTTGTATTGCAAAAAAAAATAGAGTTTTGGAATCTATTTTTCAGGATGAAACTCGAAAATAGAATGGGCACCATGCATCTTTAACTAAAGTTGCCTGAGCAACTAAAACTTAAAAGCCAGTTTGTATCTACAAAGCCCTATGTTGGAGTATAAACAGCTAGAGACAGTCAAGTCCAGGGAAAGTATTTTAAAAAATGGTAAAAAAAATATAAACAAGATGGAAACAGATTTTTTTCTGAAAATTACAAAAATACTGTTTTATTATCTTTTTGCAAAACTGTAAGGTTTACAAATTCCAAAACAAATGTGCAAAATTTGGAAGTTGATTTTGTAATTAGGAATACAAAACAACCCCTTAAAATCTTAACTTTGACACTTAAGAAAAACAGGTCGTTTCATTGAGTATTTACTTGTTTCTCTTGAAGATTTGTTAAAAATAAAAATCACACATAATAAGCAAGTCCACAAGGATGAGTTACAAAAGCTTTCCAGCCCCATTTAATTCCACTACCAATTAGCATGACACACTGACAAAAACCACACTAATGGATCCCATTACCAGTGGTCAAGTCAATCCCATTTTACCCAATGTTGACCGTGCAATTAGGATCAATTACTAAGGTGTCAAACCACAGATTAAGCAGCAGTCAATTAAGTTTGTGTTGACTGTCAAGTTTTTATGGTTGCAGACCAGTAAACAGGTCTAAAATTGCTGGCACTTGCCAGCAAAACACGATGTGGATAGGGGCCTACCGTCAATTTCTCCATGCACTCGTTTTGGGTGATTTGGCAGATAAGATATGTGTACCAAAATCAAAATTCGCTAACACCAGTGCTGGATTTTAACGGATTTGTTCCTGAAGCATTATGTGAAGCAGAGTCAGTGATGGATTTTGACGGACTTGGTCCTCTACTTAATAAAAATAAGTAGGGAGTTATTAATAGAGAGTTTTGTGGCCTTTACTCTTGAGCGTTGGTAGAAATGACATGGTCTTTGAATCGAGTTTCTGTAAAATTTGGGAAGAAATTCAAACTTTTTTTATGGCTGCAGATCCATAATCCAGGTTATAAAAAAAAAAAAAAAAAAGGCCGAACAGAGAAAAAACAAAGTGCTTGAAATGGATCAGTTTGCCAGCTTACCTTAATGGTCTTGTCCTGTGATATGCTGTAGACTCTGTTCTCATCGGGAGCAATGTATAGAGAGAAGATGGGAGCATTGTGGCCTCTCAACATACCAGTCGGCTTGCTGAAAATACAAAGCAGCATTATCAATAAAAAGCTTTATGACTGGTTGTTAAAGCCACATACCAGTAGGATCATTTGCAATTCGGGCGATTCACAATGCAGTGCACCACCAAGAGTTTGCCATGGAGAGTCAACTTTTCAAGTTGATGGTCGACAAAACATGACCCATTTGGAGGAGTGTCAGTAGACAATTTGAGCTAATTTGTTATAGATTTAGGCATAGCGCTCTGCCACCTAACCAAAAATCACCATATTGATAAAAAGAAAAGAAAAGGGCAAACATATCCTCGAATCATAGGCTTATGAAACTACGGACCGGAAAAACGAACAATTTCAAATGTCCCGCGCTGCGAATTTGTCGACCATCTCCCACAATGCACAGGAAAAAATGAACTCTCTGTGGCAAACTCTTGGTGGCGCACTGCATTGTGAATCGCCCGAATTACCCGGAAGAGCACCTACCCATTTTATGACAAAAACCTTGCACAAAGTGAAGATAGGACTGGTATCAAATACCCTGTGAAAATATTCCATCTGACATTGCATCGTTTGCAAGAAAACTAACAGTGAAGGTGTTTTGAAATAGGGTGCCTACTGGCACTGTTTTTTTACGTGCACTACCAAGTGCCAACAGAATCAAGTTACGAGGTCCAAAACATTGTGCATACGTTTTTCCTGTTTTATCAAAATTCATAGTATCAACTGAGCTACAACTTCAATAGATTTTGGTTGTTATGCACCCTACTTTGAACAATTTGGTTGCTTCAGATAAAACAAATGCACAAAAACAAAATGATCAATATGTTTAAAAAGATTGCATTGTTACTCTTCACTGATATGAAAACGAGAAAGTTTGCCAAAGGCATTCAAACTTGTCATAAAACTCTGCAAATTACACATAAATCTCCAACACAGCCTGAGATCCTCATAATGGAGTAAAAAGTAAAGAACAAACTAACAAACTAAAACCAAACACACACAAGTATAACACAACCACTAGCAGACCTATACATAATTCACTTCACTTCACATACAATACCAGTGAAGCAGACTTTGCAATTCTAGTATTTTGATACCAAACTTAAAACAGTAAAAACCCAAATTACCTGCATTGTGAGAAAATTAATCATCATGTCTGGCCAAAAGCAATAAAGCATTACAATCAAAGTAAATCCGAGCGAAAACTTTTTAGAAAGCTACAAAACAGACACTTGGCCATGCCGGAACTGTGACAACCATACGTATCTAGGATAACTTAAAAAAGAAATTGCGCTTATTGCACAAGGACTGGGTCATACCATTTTTCAAAGGGGATAATCAATTTTTATTAGATGGGGAAAACAATTTTCTGAAAAAAAAAAAAATTTATTTTCCAACCGACTTGATAGTGTGTCCATTGGAAGAAAAGATAGGTTTCATGAATAATGTAAATGGTGAGTTTACAGGCATTTTTGTTGAGAAATAAGCACATGAGAAACGAAACTAGATTAAATTCACCCCTTCTCCGGTTTGTCTAAGTCCAAGGAAAGACACCAAGACACATTTATCGGTGCATGTGCAACAAGCCCCATCAATAACGCATCAATTATGGAACAAGAGTCCAGAACCGTCAGCCTAAATTGATTCCTTTGTGGTCCGCACGGTTTATTGATTTTTTTCTAGTCCCGTCTTTCTCTTTGTGTCGATATCAGATCCGTTCTTAAGACAAGTTGCCTAGATACGAGTTAAGACGCCACACCGTGACGAAGAGATCACTCGACGATGCCGTGAAGATTATTGGATTTTGGCGGAGGAGACACGCTGGGCAACAAAAAAAGAACATCATGCTGAGATGCCAATTAAACTTTTAAGCCCGGGCGGCAAAAAAACGAAGAAGAAAAAAAAGTCGAATGGCCCGGCTTGGCTGAACGCAACAAAGGCGTGTAAAGTGCTGTAAGCTGGTTATAAGAAGACAAGCTTAGATAAGGTTCAACGGATAAGCTTATAAATGGTGCTGCATCAGTGTTTTGTATCCATGCAATGCGTGCTCTGCTAAACAGATCAATTGGCTAGCCTCCACCAGTTCTACTCTGACTAGAGAGGGCGATATTGATCTAAAACCTAGAGCTCTCATGATAGGGTTACTTGGTACTCGTTAGAAAGTCCTCCTGAATTCTCCGCCAGGAAGATTAACAAGGAGGCTTGTTAATCAGGAGAGTGGTAACAAATTTGATTTTGATTTTGAGTAGTTGCCTAAAGATGTTACTAAAAACTGCTGGTGAGGACATGTCAATAACATTCTGACGAGGATCGTTCCATACCTTGATGGTTCTCGGAAAGAAACGAGTGTTCAAGTGCTGACAGTGAGATATGGGTTCTCTCAAATTGTTTTTGTTGCCCCTCCTTGACCCCCAGTTTTTGGATTCAGGATGTGACTAGAATCTATTGTGATGATGCACATAGTTTTGCACATTTTGCTAATGTTGAAACGTAACGGCCTATCTTTCAAGGTTATTCAGATCATTTTGGAATTGCTTTTCATCCACAGCAGATGTTATGTTCCTGTAGATTAAGCAGTTGTCTTCCACCAGCCTGGTAAATATGGGCAAGTTTGATAGTAAACTATGATTAACCTTTGTTGGACTAACTCTAAATGAAGGCATGCTAGTCAACAACGGTAGTACTAGTCTTGTCATACCTTCACAGAAATCCTCAAATTTGGCGAGCAGATCCCAGAAATACAGGACCCAATTTGCAAACTGTGAGTTCTGTTAGTTCTATTGTCAAACATTTCAGAAAACATGTAGATTGATTTTAATAGTTTTTCACTTAAAACTTTTGCGCTGTTTAAGGCAAATACTGGTTTATGGCTTTCTTCTTCCTTGAACAAAAACAATGACAATTTTTTTCCCCTAAACTGAGGCTTTTGGGTCAAGCTTGACTGAGTAAGCTTGATCTTGTTTTCAAAAATTATTATTATTATTATCATTATTAATTATTTCTGGTAATGAAACAAGGATTCCTCAAAAGTGCCCAATTAAGGCACTGTAGCTCGCAAGCCTGAAGAAACCTGCAGAGAGAAGACAATGAGAAGAAATTACAGTTTCAGAGTTCAATCTCACCTCGGCACATAAGGATTCCACATGCGCACGATCCGGTCCATTCCTCCCGTGATGATCAGGTTCTTCTCCTTGCAGAAGTCAAACACTTTCACACCTTTGTGGATCCGGAATGTGGTCTGGTCCGCGTCCAGCCGTCGCTTGGCGTGGGCGTAGTTCTGCTGCGCCAGTTTCAGTTTCTTGTCGGCTGCGTCGGGAAAGTTGGAATGCTCCTTGATCTCTTTGAGTTGGGCTTCGACGTGCGTGCTGCCGGTTGTGCAACCTGAAAAGTGACAAAAAGAATTCTTCATCTATGTTTCATATCCACAATAATGCAACACATGAAAACAGAATATTCAGTACACACTTTACTGAGATTAAACCTCTTCATTGCTGAGCAAATGTATGTGCTTTTGCTATATGGAGCCGTCCATAAAGTACGGTACATTTGCAAGAAATGCCAACTTTTTAGACCCCCTCTCCCCCACCCCTGTACGCATGGCATACGCAGTGGTTCCAACCCCCTCCCCCTGTATGCAAACACATTCCATATTTCTCTTGATTTTTTAAAGACTTTTATGACATTTTATGTTAAACTAAGCCTGCTGTAGTAGTATGATTCGCATTGTTATATCGATTTTTGATGCAAAAAAGCTGGTCCTGGTAGATATAAAATATGTAAAAGTACACTTATTTCATGACAATTTAATAAAAGCAAATTATCGCTCTGCATATGTACGCATTGGTTTGGACCCCCCCTCCCCAAATTGTATGCATGGTGAGCGCCATGTTAACGCCTCCCACCCCCCTGCTTTGTGTGTACATACTTTTTCATGCATACATACTTCATGGACGGCCCTATACCCATTTTTCCAAGTTAACACATAAGTCTCGTACCACCCCGAACTGCCCTGCCTATTATAACCTGTAGTACCAGAAAATGCCTAAAACACAACTAGTGCACTTTACGCAATGTAGTGCAGTTGCTAAAGCAATTTGCCTGTGCTCAACAGCTCCAGGCAACTTTGTGGATATGTTGGCGAATCCAATAAGCCTTGCCCCATGGTGTTTTGACCAGAGTTGTTACGAGTCACTGAATTTTGTGACTCGACTTGAGTCGAGTCATTTCTCGAGTCTAGTCATTTGCTCTCAGTGACTCGAGTCAAGTCGAGTCAGTTACCCGGTGGGTGTGACTTAAGTCAAGTCGAGTCACCAAAAATTGTGACTGGAGTCGGACTCGAGTCAAGTCATTTCAAGTTTGATTTTGACCAATCCCAGCTGTAATTAATCCAACATGCATTGATACAAACATGTGTGAAGGTGGGTATGACGCGTGCAGCTGGAACATACAGTGTGGTAATGGAGAGGCGCACATGTTGTTGACTTTGTGCGCAGTGGGCGGGTCCTAATGGATATGTCTATTCAATTAGAACCATCTGCATTACCTATGACCAGAGCTGTACTCTCGTTGTTGGAGCAGGACATGATGGACCGAATCTCCTCGTAGTATCGGAGCTCGGCCACCCAGTCATTGTGGACCTTCCACCTGACGAAGCGGGTCAGCGGCGAGTGGGCCACCTTCTCCAGGGTCACGCTGGCGATGCCTTCCGTCTTGGGCATCTTCTTCCATGTTCTGCAAAGAAATCCGGGAGATCATGTTGTTTTATTGTGTTCTTGGGCAAGACACTTTACTACAATTGCCTCTATGATCAAGAGTATATAGTGGAACGTCGCTATAACGAACATCGTGGGATCCACAGAAATTCTTCATTATAGCGATCGTTCGGTATAGCGATTTTCACACATTAGTGGCGCCATCTTTTACTCATTGTTATTAGTTACAAACTACGCGCGGAGTTGCCAAACTTGTCCATTAATACATTGTATTTTCAATTCCGTAGCAGAACTTCACGAAGTAAGCCCTGGTAGTTATTAGAAGACGACTTCGAACCCGTGCGACTATTGAACCATGTAATTACACAGTTTTTAATAAAAGCCATTTGTCGCTCTTCTGTTGACATTTCCAACCACAATGTTCGGTATGTTTTGTACACAATTGGGAGCCAAGGCTGATGTTCGCCATAGCCGAATGTTCAGTGTTTGGTATAGCGACGTTCCACTGTACATGGGTACTTGTAAGCATACAGAACAGATCGCACTGATCTTAAAATCATGCTTGTGTTCTTTGGCAAGACACTTTACTACAATAGCCTGATTTGCCTCTATGATCAGCAGTATAAAATAGTACTTGTAAGGGTACAGAACAGATTGCACTGATCTTAAAATCATGCTTGTGATCTAAATGGCAATACACTTTTCTACAATTGCCTCTGTGATCAAGGGTATAAATGGGTACTTGTAAGGGAACAAAACAGATTGCACTGATTTAAAATCATGCTTGTGTTCTTGGGCAGGACACTAAACAGTAATTGCAACTCTCTCCATTCTAAATAAAAACATTGGACATCAGGACATCATTATCTTAACAATTTTGGGAAATGTCACTAGTTTTTGAACAGTCTAATTGATATTGAGGGATTAAAAAAAAGTTTTTGGAGGGAGTGTTGGCCGGCAGGTACTTTAAAAAAAAAAAGTTTGTTATTTTTTAAAGTAGTATCCAGGCATGCAACTTTTTCTTGGATCAGCTGATTCCCTTGTTTTTCAATTAAGACTTTTGCCATTTATAAAGATTGGTATTTCCTCGTTTTTTGTGTGTTAATTCCAAGTTGCATGCCTGAGTATCCTTTGGTATCCTTTTCAGTTTTGACCATCTGCAGTCCCATATCTCACCTAAGTGTTTCTCCCGTGCCGTTGATAATTATGATGTTGATGCAGCCTTCGGAGTCTCCATACATGATCAGACATTCATCATAGCCGGTGGCACTGAGAAAGATTACATCAACATGAAATCAATTACAAAAAAAATCACGTGCTTCAGGTTTTTAAATTAATTTAAAAAAAAAAAATTTAAGAGCACCTGGGGCCAAGTTTCAATAAGATGCTTGGCGCGTATTTGCTAATTTCAGCATTTTGCTCATGACAGAAAAACAACTTTCCTGCCACTTATTCTGATTTTAACTTTTAAAAGGCTTGGCGCTAAATATTATTAAGCGTGTAAGGTCACATTATTGTCAACCAAAAGGGGTATATTAGAGATCTGAAGCAAGATGAAAGCTGCGTGCTGTTAGTTTTCTCTTCAATTGTTGGGAGAAACATTCCTTTAATTGGAAAATTTCTGTTTCAATTCGTAAGCAATTTCATTGCTTCAATTTATTTTCTGTTTTAATTTTTTTGGTATACAACAAACTACAATATTGGGACAGGGAAAATAGCACAATCACTAAAAATACACTTCAATTTTTGTTAATGGCAATGTTGTTTGAAGTGTTAAGAGTCAACAAAATTAATCAGGTTTACCAATATGCTATTTTCAGTGGGGTGGTCTCCAGGCCAGTGACCTGACAATAGGGTTCAAAGGTCGACAACTCGTAAAACTGGATTTCCCGATCGCTGCAAATCAAGAACAATATATATTGTCAGTCATATTCCAGCTTGTATTGGATCTTTCCTCATTGGATATGATCAATTTGGGCTTGTTAGCCTTGAGCTCAAATCCATGGACAGAAATTTAGTTCATAATGATGAGCTTGTTTACAAAGTGAGGGGGCACTTGTGAACAGAGCATATAGCCGAGTTCTTTCAATGGTGATAATTCATGGGCATTTATAAAAGAATGATTTGTGTCAATCCTGTAATCATTACCAAAGCCATGCTATTACATGCTACAACTCCCTAGGCCTGTTTGCTAGGATGTAGCCTCAATCCTGCAAAATCCTCCAATTGGCCTCATGGAAAAATAGCATATAGCCCCAATCCTGCAAATTCTTCTGCTATTTCTTGAATATGGTCCATGGAGGGGTGACCACTGCCTGAATCCTGCAAAATCCTCCGGCTATGACTGTCAATAGGCTGAGGCAGAGGCAGTGACATCCTGGAGCAGTGCAGAGGATGTCAAGTATAATCAAGGACTAAATTTATGCACGGCTGAGCATAAACAACACAAGGTCCGGCCCAAGACCTTGACACAGTGGATACTCCGAAATCAGCAACCCACTTTTGCCATGTAACCTCAATCCTGCAAATTCCTCCAATTTGCAAAAAAGGTTTTGGAGGATTCAGGGCGGTTAGGGCTAATTAGTGAATTTGTTCTGAACTCACCCTGTGCATAAGATGAGTTTGTTGTACTGCGGCATCAACACAAAATCGGTCACCCACTTGGGCTTCTGTCTTGTCGCATTTTGCTCCGTCTGAAATTCAAAAAAAAATTGGCGAAAACAATTATGAAATTTTTTGTTTGTGTTGTCGATCAGCCTAGGACCCTTACAAATTAGATTTCATCACTGCCAAGCAAACTTTCCGGAAAAAAAATACAAAGAAATGCATCTAGATGTTGACTGTGGCAATTCTATGCCAGAATGGGATAGTATTGATATTACGAGTAGGACTTTGTCATGAGTACGAGTACAAGGCAATTTTTTCCATGAATACGAGTACGAGTACCAAAATAATGTACTCGAGTACGAGTACTTTCCACAAATAGGAGTAGATTTCAATGTGTGCGTGTTTTCAAGGGGTTTTTGCTGTCAAACTAGGCATTAAACAAATGCAGCGAAGCCTCCCAAACAGTAGAAAACTGGTGTTCCTGCATGTAGCTCTTAATTCTTTTTTAAATTTTTGTGGGAGAACATTTGCAAGAGTACAAGTACGAGTACTCTGTTATGAATACGAGTAAGGCAAAAAAAAAAAAATAGTCGGTCTCTGGTCAGCAGGCACGTCGATTTTAACCGTGCGCGTCAATCTTTTTTTTTCCAAAATTTTCCGCGGTAGCTCCAACAGCCGCACCTCCTCAAATTTTTTTTTTACCAAAGAGCACCAAGGAATGGGAAATTGCACCAAGGCAAATGATTGGGGGCACTAAGGCAAATTATGCAGGACACCAATGTACATGAGGACACCAAAAAAAAAGCAAAATAGTACCCCACCTTGTCTGTACAATCCAAGCTTGGAAAAAAAAAAAAAAAAAAAAAAAAAAAAAAAAAAGCCGTGTCGCCGCATCAATTCCGGAACTTTGGTCTGACCAGTGACCAAATATTTTTTTATTTTTGGCCTAAGCCTGGGAAATTTTTTTCATGCGAGTACGAGTACGAGTACGAATACACTTTCATGGGTACGAAAAATGTACTCCAGTACGAGTAACACAACACTGGTAGGTCGGAGTCCGAACAGAATCATGACTTCAGATAGAAATGCTTGAGCACCCTAGCCTACTAAAAAAGAGGTAATTTTGAGGAAAACCCAAACAGTAAAGTTGAACCCAATCAAGCAAAGACAAAAGTAAAAAAAATAAAGTCCAGGAATACAATAGCTAACAATCATTGACAGTGCATCAATTTTTTCTCCAGACAGACATCTACATCAAAAAAGGAATAATTTTAAATTCATTTTCATCTCTTACCATGACAGATCTTGTTCTCTTCAGTTCCAAACTTCCATTCCAGAAGGATATTGTGCCATCCTGAAAACGGGGGGAAAAATCAGGAACAACAGATCAGACCATAATTTTATAGGCCTACAAAAAAATCTAAGGAACCCTGCTTTTTCCTATGACAAAAAAGCAAAAACATGTATCACTTCAGCATTCTCAAAAGCACACGTCCTATTCTTAGTCTTTTTGCAAATTCTTGGACATTTATGACCTGTTCTGTCAAAATCAGACTTTTCTGGGCAAAAGGTCGAAAATGATATTTTTACATATTGTTAACATATGTTCTTTTTCCTTTTAAAAGGTGGTTTAATTTTTGAAACGGTCATTCCTGGGCAGAGTTATGCTATTTTGAAGCTCATTGTGTCGAAAAGTAGAAAATGGAGAAAATGGCCACGGACGTCACAAAACAGTTATTTTTTTAACTGATATACCTTATCAAAATCATCAAAAATAGTATATGTAGAGTTCAAATTAGGGTTTCAAACTTTTATATTATATTTTAAACATGTTCAGGATTACAAATATGCAAAATTTTGAAAATCGATAAAAATCACCCCCCACAGCGTTTTTGGCCCTATCTCAATTTCAACCTCTGCCCAGAAGCGTATGCTTTTGACAGAACAGGTCACATTTTTGGCATACTTTATTCATAATGTAAAGCCGAAATGCTTGTGCTGTCTAATTTTCAAGTTTAATTCGTTCTGTAACAGCTTATATTTCAGTTTCCATATATCGTCGGTGGCACCACGAACCGATGTATCGCATTTTTTTGTGTTTCGAGAAAAACCGATTTAAAGTTGGTCATTATTTTGTAGGCTCATTTCATATACTCCCTGTGTAAGAATTCAAGCTGTTTCGTTTATGCTAGTAAATTATAGATTAAACTTTATTGTATGCAATCCGTGTGCATCTGAGTTGCTTAGTTTTTGAGAAATTCAGTTCCAAATAGTTATTCGTCACTTCGGGAAACAGATTTTTATCATGTTTATCGTATGTCATACAACGCGCGTAATACTGGCTTTGTGCCAGATACGGAGATACGTCGGTTTGTGAAACGCTAAATTTCATTTTTTCATGTCGACGCTCCTTTGTGACGTCATAGCACTATGGGAATTACCGTGTAAAGCGGCGTATCGGGATACGCCGCTTCCTGGTGCAGCATTTTTTATTTTTTAGAGATACGCCGCACAGTCTAATTAGTGTTCTTAGTTAATTAGAACTCCGATTGTAATAAAACTTTCTGAGAATGAGCACTTTGATGAAATAATAACGTTAATGACAAAAACTCAATTTGGCAAAAAATCAAGATACGCCGGTTCGTGGTGCGACCGACGATATGTACCATTTTGTACCTATTTAAATTATATAAGGCTCAGTTAAAAAAATGTTTTGTAGATACCATGAAGTAGCATGAGACATACCTGACTTGTTGCCACGAATGTCCCATCGGACATGTTGGTGATGCGTAGTACCGGCTCCCTGTGGGGCATGTATTCTATGTTGGCCGGGGTGTGCATGTCCACGTCCTTCTGTCGCCGGTACGCGTCCTCCTTCTCTTCGTACTCCAGCTGCATGTAAGTGCAGAACTGGTCCTGTTGTACAGAAAAAAAACTGAGTGTAGAACAACCATGTCCGAAATGGGCATTGTCATCTATTGCGATGGATGAATGAATTTGAATCTTTTTTTTTTTAATAGACAGCAAGTTTTCTTCCATAATTTGCTTGCAAACAGGGATGAAAATGAATTTAAAAACTGCACTGAAAAGCTAAAACTGCGCTATTGAAGCAGAACCCACTGCAATATCAGATCCGAACCAGCCAGCCGACGCCATCAAGCTTGATCGTCGAGTGGCAAGATGTTTGCATTAGTAAGCAGGAGGTCGTGGGTTCTAGTCCCACCGAGCAAGCTTGTGAATTTTTCTTGCAAGCCCTTGGACAACACTGAGTATATAATGATTATAAAAATACTTTGGTGAAGGGCAAAACCCATTACTAAAATCTGCAACATTCCATTTACAGCCTGCATGTTGATCTCCACATAAAAGAGGTTTTGTGGTGTTCAGTTAATGGGAGACACTGTAATAAGCGTCACAAGCCGAGACGTTTACTGCGTAGGTGATATAAACACCATCACATATCGCAAAGCTTGATTTTGTCTGTCATCATCTTCCAATTTTCAGGGACACAACAAAATTCAGAATTCAGAAGGAGCAATTGGGATACCTGTAGTCACAAGTTAAATTAAAAGAATGGGAGTAATGAATCCTACACTGTTTTCATGCTGTATACAGGCCACTGATATGGAACAATTTCTGGAAAGGAATTTGCTTCAAGCAAGGCTGATTTGAAATTTGAGTATGAAACAGTCATTATGTATCGGCAACTCACCCATTCTATAAAGCCTTCCGAGTTGGAGTCAATCTTCATAAATAATGCTGTAATCTGTTCATCATTCTGGGGGAAAAGAAAGAAAAATTCAAAACATTTAGAATAAGCTGCTGAGAAAAAAAGTGTTAATGTTGAGGCATATGAAGACAAAGGTTTAGATGAAAAAGAATGGAAAAAAAAAAAAAACAGAGACCAAAAGGAAAAAAAAGGTGGAACAATTACAACAGCTGTTCCAAATTATACATAATCTAAAAACAGCATGAAAATTGAGACAGGTTTATTGAGGGTCTCCTAGCTGAATGATGCAGGATTGAATAGAATGATACCGATAGCCTAGCCATTAGGCCTTACTTGTGCTTCCACAAATAATGAAGATCCATTCTTTAATTCTGTATTTTTTTGAAATTACAACTCACCCTTCCTCTCAAAGCCAAGGAACTGCGGATGACGCTTTTGAACTGCTCAAGGGTCAGAGTTCCTGAATTCTCTGAGTCTGCAGTCTGCAGAATATAAGAAAAAAGACACAACAATCGGTCAAATTAATACTTCTGTTTTTCCCGTAGTAAAGAATGAATGCCATTATACAATGCGATGTTGTAGTTGGGCCCTCAAAAGTCCTTACAAGTCCTGCACATGCCATTCACAAGTCTTCCAGTCCTAAGTCAAGTTTAATATAAGCTATTGCAATAAACTATGATAAGGGCATTCCTTACTCATGACAGAACCTGTAAATTTGTGATTGGACTTGAGAATTGACTTGTAATGTACGTGTGACAGAGATGTAGTCGAGTCCATCACAAGTCCCTGGAAGTCCATCACAAGTCCTCCAGTCCCAATTCTACTCACAAGAGCTTTGACAAAGGCATTCCTTTGTTATTGTTCATCCACTGTTTCTTGTGACTGGACTTGTGACTAGACTTGTAATATACTTGTGACTGGACTTGTGATGGACTCGAATACAGCCCTGACTTGTGACTGGACTTGTGACTGGACTTGTGACTGGACTTGTGACTGGACTTGTGACTGGACTTGTGACTGGACTTGTGACTGGACTTGTGACTGGACTTGTGACTGGACTTGTGACTGGACTTGTGACTGGACTTGTGACTGGACTTGTGACTGGACTTGTGACTGGATTGACTTGACTACAATCCCGTTACAATGCCAACAATTGCGACTCACCTCAAATGAGTGCTTCAGCTTGTGCAGATGTTCCAGATTAATACGTTCCTCTATCTGCAGACAAAAAAGAAGAAGAAAGAAAATGTTACTCCAAAGTTACAAAAAGCTCATGAACACTTCATTTGGTTGTCTTGCAAATATGTACATCCATCCAACTGGAGAGCTGAAATTAACTCCACCTTGTTAAAGTACACTTCTGTGAATAAAACAGCATTCATAAATACCTGTGACAGTTTACCTATTCCTATTGGTCGAACACCTATCAAGTGGGTGGTCTTAAACCGCCATTTAAACAACGGTCATCGATGTTTAAAACCTGTGGCGAGACGCTGCACTCCATAGCACATGCCGTATGCGCCACGCACGCCAACTACGTACAACGGACTGCTTGAGAACCACTGATATAATCTCCATACAAGGAGAATGATATGTCAAGCAAATTTAACCACGCATGCGACGCGCACCATAAACGTGGCCTGAACATGAAGTAAAATTGTTGGAAAAACAATTGTTGGAATTTTGTCAATTTTTCGGCGACCAGACGTTTAAAACTGCTCTACCACACATAGCATTAATTCTCACCCGCGTTTCACCACCATAATGGTGCTTTCTGAGTGGCATCCTGCGACTGAGCGACTAGTAAAAGAAATAATACTCGCAATTACAGCTAATGGAGTTGTCTCGAGTTACGCTGCTATCCGGACTGCCCAACGCAAATACGCTTTAATGAACGGTTGGCTCTGGCACGGCCGTAACTGGTGGCGGCTGCAAACTGACGCTTCTATTTGTACCGCAAACACGACATAGGCATTTAAAAATAGTATTCACATTGTAAAAATCCTATCAAATTATGGTGCGCAGCGTGCTAAATTTCCTGTTGCTGTGGTTATGTTTTACAGCTTTTGGTACGATCCTTTTGTAACGGTGGTAAGGTGGTACGAATGTCCATGTCTGGGGAAATTAACTTCGGTTTTTATTTCCCCCTGGTGGGTTATCACCCATGGAACGCAGTTTTATTGATTTCTGGGGATCTCTTCATAAAACTTTCCGGTGGCATAAAAGGACGGAAATTAAACAACACAGTTATTCTGTTTTTCTTCTCTTTTTTTTTCTTTTAATATTGCAATCTGTGGAGGAAATTGCAACATCTGCTTTGACATCAAAGTGGTGTCGCCGTGGCAACCAGAGGCGACTTTAACAACAAATTGGCGACAGGGTTGACGACGGCAGCTGTTTAAATGTGTAAACTGCTTGACACTTTGTGTGGTTATGGAGAGAAACCTCGGACCAATGACTACCATAGAAAATAACATGTAAAAAAATAAAGGAGATTAAAAAAAAAAAAAAAAAATTCCAATAAACTGCTGTTGGACTAAAAAAACATAGGCCCTAAAATTTCAACTACCGGCACGTGGAAACAATTAGTCCAACTTGACAAAATATATTCAGTAGCATGTTGTCTTTAAATGTTCAGTACGATTCTCCCCATCCTGTGCAGAATAATTCCTCATGCTATAGACAAAAGGCACATAGGGTCATTTCCTTTTTGTGATTTTTATGTGTTTGAAAATTGCTCAAAATCTTAAGAAGGGTGCATATATCACAACTAACTTGTTGAAAGTTTCAGCTCAGTGGATACAACACATTGTGAGAAAAGATCAGAGAAAATGTATGCACATATTTGGTGTCTTGTTGTGGATTACGTTGCTAATGCATGCACTTTCTTAAACCACCTTCAATGACTGTTTTCTTCCAAAATGATACCATTTCAAGGTGATGCTACGATGCATTTGGACAGCAGACACAAGTGCTTCACACTTTGCAACTTTACTGACAGCCATTTAACACATGGCACAAAAGTGAAGGCAAACGCAAATTTGTTACGTCACAGCAAACATAAAAGTGTCTTCATGTTCCCATTCGCTTGAAATAAGAACTGAACGTGGTAAGGCTGGTTCACACTAAACGCAAATCTGTGCAGTCTTAATAATTGTGTGAACACATTAAGTCCAACAACTTTCATAGCGAATGTTTCTTGACATCAAATTCAATTCTTATAATTATTACTTTTGCACCTGCCTTCAGTCTGCACACCAATTTAAAAAAAATGACTGTCTGCCTCTGAATTTCAGAATCGGTTGGTACTCACCAACTCATTGAGTGCTACCAGGCCTGCCGTGTCAGTCTCACTCACGTCCATCATAGAAATATATCAAGCACAATACTGATACTACAACATACCAGTGGTACGGCATGAATTTTAAGTACAAAATCTTACAACCAGTTCCAACTCAGTGTGAAGGCGAACATAAATTTGTGACATCACCAATGAGCAATTTTCCCACTGCAAATTAGCAAAAGTTGAACACATTTTCAACTGTTCAGAAGATGATGTAAACTCAATAATGGGTTTTGCCCTTCACTGAAGTATTTTTATAAACACTGTATATACTCAGTAATGTCCAAAGTGCTTGTGAGAAAAATTCACAAACAATTTGGGTGGGAATCGAACCCACAACCTCCTGCTCACTAGAGTAGACTCGGCAGTCGAGTGGTAAGTACGTCTGCACTAGTAAGCAGGAGGTTGTGGGTTTGAGTCCCACCCGAGAAGTGAATTTTTCTCACACTCACTTTGGACAACGATGAGTATACAGTGTTTATAAAATGCATCAATGAAGGGCAAAACGCAATGTTGAATTCACATTTTCAGCCCCGGCGAGTTTCGCAGCGAACGTGTCGTGATGTCATATTCAATTCGCATTCGCATGAAGTATGAACTGCCATTTGGCATCATAAAAACACGACCCAGAATATTCACCTCACAGAGACAATGGCAAATCTGCAGACTGGCCAAAAATACTCAGCTTTTATATCTCTCACGGAAATGGTTCCTATAGGGGGATAATTTGCGATCTATTAAACCATTAACCGAGGAAGATTTAATTAACTTATTTAACCGAGGGTTCTGATGATGATCGATGTCCATGCTGCACTCACGCAATTTGCTGTGCGACTCGCGCCGGCGACCGATCTCCTCGAATCGGTGCTCGAGACACTTTATTAATTGGTCCAGCTTTACAGGTGCTGATGTCAACGGTGTTTAACTTTGGCCGGTTCGTGTAAGAGGTTTTCTCGTCAAGAACTTTTCAATAATTTACCAAACCCAGAGAGACTGTACATCTTGTTGAAGTTTTTGAGTAAATATATCTGTAGGGAACTGTAGTATGGCTGTTTTTTTTGTGACAGACATCAGGACTTCTCTCCCATTTTCAATTAAATTCCAAAAGGGAGAAGGAAATAATGTGTTTTTGAACATTCACAAACAGAAGAGAAATAAATCTATGAAATGACATGATTCAAACCCTATGGGTCCATCCCACCACTGCGCTACAGCCATTGCTAAAATAGAAGAATCAATACCCAGTAGAATTTTGAAAAAGTCAATTTCGTCTCCCTCTCTTTAACTTCTACATGTAAGTTCAACAAATCATCGACCAATAAACAGAATCAGTTTTAAAACAACAAACTCTTAAAGCCTTTTAAAAAATGTATTCATAATAGAACCTGTATGATAACTATAACAACTTGAAATCAAGTTAACAGGGCAAGAAGAATACAGCTTAAAAATTATTTTATTTCAGGGATTTTTTTGTCGTTGTCTGGGATTTTTTATTAAAGCCTTTTTTAATATTTGTTGGTTTATTTATTCAATTGGTACTTTATTTTAAGATATAATAAGGTAAGCTGATCATATAAACACTTTTAAATGTTAAATAAACCAAATAAATAAATAAATAAATTCAAAAGCATGTGTACTTGTAATTTCCATCAAGCATATTATTTTCCTGTTTAAAAAAAAGGCTTTTAAATTTTGTGTTAACATAGGTACAGTACATCCGGAAAAGTAGCAAAATGTATATTCAATCAAATTCACGAACGGTTTTTTTTATGGATAAAAGAACCAAAACAAGTGTTCCTATTTTAGGGAAACTCAGTAATCTCCCGGATAAAATAGCTGCTTCATTATACAGGGTGAGTAAAAAGAACGAAACCCAAATGGCAGGACTAATTTTTGAATGAAGTTTTGCCTGTAGCACTTTCAAAATCTAGAGAATGAAAGCCCAGTTATTAAGCTTTCTTTTAGTACAAGAATCATTCGAATCACTCATGTACTTTTCAAGTTGAGGAATTTTGAACACAAACACCGTTTTAAAGTTCTGTCCACGGATCACAAAAAAAGTGAGTGTTCTTTCAGCAAAACGAAAACAATTCTCATAGGGATGCATGTGAAATGTTATCGTTTTGCTGAAAGAACACCCACCTTTTTTGTGATCCGTGGACAGAACTTTAAAACGGTGTTTGCGTTCAAAATTCAATAATTTGAAAAGTACATGAGTGATTGAATGACTCTTGTACTAAAAGACAGCTGATGAATTGGGCTTTCATATCCTAGATTTTGAAAGTGCTACAGGCAAAAATGTATTCAAAAATTGGTCCTGCCATTTGGGTTCCGTTTTTTTTTTACTCACCCTGTATTTTGTGTGCAACTGGTTTGAACACCAGTTTTGGCACTTTGTTTGTATTTTCTTTTTTGTGTGTGGACAATTTCTATGAAGACTATCAACAGTTTACACTACGCAAACATTCGGCCACAGTTGACTCAACAAGCTGAAGGGGGAAATCAATATATCTACCTCAACAAAGGTCAACTAGAAACACAGACATCAAAAACAAGAATGAGTGGGAATAAAACGTGTTGACTGTTGAAATTTTACACCAATTTGGCAAAGTCCTTCATATCAAATGGCATTGAATGGGAATTATTTAAAGTACACGATGTGCCTGTAGGCAGTATGGGCTCTGTCGTTACATTCACACTACCAAAAGGACTGTGCCGAATATATTTATAATGAATATATCCTAAATTTGTGATCATCCGCCGAATATCCAAATAGCATGTTAAATAATGAAAGGTTTGTGGAAACACCATGTGCGAATAATTTCTCAACTACCCCGGTAAGAGAATGGTTCTGAAAAGAACCAGAGGTATAAACTCGACGTTCCGGTCAGTATGCTCTGACCGTCTTCAGGAGAATTTCTCCTGAAGACGGTCAGAGCATACTGACCGGAACGTCGAGTTTATACCTCTGGTTCTTTTCAGAACCATTCTCTTACGTCTTCAGGAGAATTCTCCTGAAGACGGTCAGAGCATACTGACCGGAACGTCGAGTTTATACCTCTGGTTCTTTTCAGAACCATTCTCTTAGTTGAGAAATTATTTGCACATGGTGTTTCCGCAAACCTTTCATTATTTAGTATCTCCACCATGCAAGGCCTCAAATCTTACTTAAATAGCATGTTGTTAAATAGAAATTTGGAAAATGCAAGCAGTCTCGCGATGACAAAAAACGTCCATGATTGAACTTTATTTGTACATAAGTTGAGTGGTTTTATTTTCAGAGTTGTAATGACTTGAGTCAAATGACTCAACTCCAGTCCGACTCGAGTCACAATTTTTGGTGACTCGCCTCGACTCAAGTCCCTGCTAAGTAAATGACTCGACTTGACTCGAGTCACTGCGAGCAAATGACTCAACTCGACTTGAGTCCCTCGTCAGAAGACTCGACTCGACTTCAGCTAAGGCTAATAAGACTCGAGTCCCAACAATAAACTCAAAACTTTGCAACAAGTATTTGCAATGACTTATGGTGCAAAAGCTTTTGTTCACGTCACTTTGCGATACAGTACGGTAGGCCTATAGCAGCGGTTTGTCATTTACGAACATACAACGTGTCACAGACTCCCACCTCATGGTTCTAGAACGCACAAAATACTATCCAAGAACAGGATTTTAAACACATTTTCCAATTGGTTGTTTCATCACTGGCTTTGTGCGATTTCTTATAAAGCTCTTGGATTCGAATCGAACGCTGGCTAAATTGATGCCTTCCTTTAATAAATTTTGGTATACTGTATAGTGTTCAAATATTTGTGACTTGAATTGACTCTAGATAAATATCTGACTCGACTTGACTCGAGTCGACCTTCTTGACCTAATGACTCGACTCGAGTCACTTCTTTAAAATGACTCAACTCGAGTCACAAAAATCAGTGACTCGTTACAACTCTGTTTATTCTTTGTCAAATGCCAGGTTTTTGTGAACCACAACTTTACGTGCATTTTTTAAAAGCTTCAGTCTGTCAAACATCAACTAGTCAGCTATCTCGAATAAATATATCACTACATACACTATAATTATTCATAATTCGTTTTACCTCAATGACAATGTTTGAATATTCAAATATTCATTCAAATCCAAGTTCAAAAAATCAAATACTCTCACTAAATTATTCAAAAATGCACAGCATAGAACAAATACATGTACATTCATCAAGAGACAAGTCTAAAGAAAGAGAATCATTACAGCGCGAATGGGTTTCAGGTGGTTGGGGTGGAGGGGGGGGGGGGCTCTGAATAGTCCCTTCCCTCCCATTTTGTGTGATTAATACAGTACAATTTACACTTGTGCATATTTGGTTATATCCCCCTCTTTCCCCCAGACTTTAATCTGTGTGGTTTCATTATTCTCTCTGCATTTAGAGTGCCACAGATTATCGTTGGGCAAATAAAAAAAAGCAGGAAGGCATTATCTGTTCCAGATCACCTTTTCAATATTTGCTCAATCAATTATTGTTTAGCCAGTTTTTATGGCATCTATTTATACACAGATTTATGTATGCGTACTTTGCTCTGTACACATACAGCTCTACTCAAGTATAAACACTCAGTTATATTCAAATTGAACACGATGCAAGTGTGCGGAGTTGCAGAGATTCTAGCTGTTTGTGTTTTAAACTGATTTAATTTTATCCATGCATATATTTTTTTTAACTACAAAATAAACACTGTTTCTGTCTCGCTGATAAGACCAACGTCCTTGAAAACACACCCGAAAAGTTTCATAAATTATTTACTTAAACTAGGTAGGGTAGGCCTACATCACTAATGTTGTCATTTGGGCATTTGTTTCGTTTGAAGTCATCAAAACAAGCTCAAAATCTAAAGAAGGGTGCTTAACAATTAACCTGGTGAAATTTTAGCTCAGCGAGTGATGTAGGCCCTATATTCTGAGAAAACATTATTCTAGGATCTCGATTTCAATTCAAAAGTTGCAGAGTCATGTTTTGAATTGCGCCCGAAATCAGCATCCCGGACACATTCTCATTCAGCCGATTGTAGCTACGCGATGTCGCGCACTGAACCGACGAATAACAGCAACCGCGCACAATACACTATTCAACTCTACAGCATGAAGATCTCGCTCAGTCAAAAATGTGACCTACTGAGGCAAACTGAGGAATGTCCCCCAAAACCTTGTTTTGAGTAATCGACGCCTGAAGTCCGATATATACATGTAGTAGAAAAATCATGTCAAAAGTGATATTGGTTGTTTTGTATTTTTGATTAGTCAAGGTATCCAAGATTCACACTTTGCATTTAAGTTGGGAAAAAAATACCCCAAAAAGTGGAAAAACTGAAGAATGTTTTATCACTGCCGTTGGCGGCGCAATGCGTATCTTTTTTTCAAAGCCGTTTTTCTCGAAATGAGGTTGGCGAAGATTGGCGGGACACTGTTGATGTTCCTGCGGCATATCTTTGGAAAAAATTCAACTACAGAAATAAATTTGGTATCATTGGAAAGCCAATGGTTTGCCCTTTAACATGATGCAGGATAACTTGAAAGGTCAAAGGTGGGGGTTATTCCTTATTATGCTATGGCAGGTCACAAACGTCTTGAGGGTTACAAGATCGATACTTTCTTTTAGTCATAACATGTAGATCTGCCTTATCTGAAACCATGTTGAATGAATCAGGTTTTTTAGTAACAAATTTAATCAAAATAGGTTTTGCCCTTCACCGACGTATAAGCCATCTTATGACCAAATTTAACACTGACTTACTATACAGATCGAGAACACGTCTCGGGCAAACGACCTCCTCCCCATGTTGCTTCCAAACTGCCGTTTGTATATTTCAAAGCAAGACCCATCAAACGTACATGGTTGCTATGTACTCCAAGAAATTATGCACACTGACAAATCAAGTTACTCCACAGGAGCCTCACTATTCAATGAAACGGTCGCTTGTTAACGCAGCGGCACTTCACAGACGGCTCGCACCATCCTTTCAACTAAATTGGCAACACAACAATTATCCAGTTTGGCAAAACACCGTGTCGCGGCCCAGTGAATGACAAAAAAGTTCCCGTGAGATCCTTCAGTTTCATTATAAAGACGGATTAAAAAGGAAGGAAAAAAAAAAGCTAGGTTTGGCTAGATGGGTTTTTGATGTGAGGACAATATGTGAGCAGTTTCGCCGTAGTGTATGGACCCTTTTTAACGGATGCCGTTTTTGACAAAAGTTGACTCGATTTAGGGGGATCTGTTGTCACGCTGCTACTGGCTCTTAATGGGAACTAGTCAAGCATCCTAAGTGTTCAACCCATGGGGTGAAGGCGAGCACTTCTAATTGGACATGTTCACCCACTGGGTGTGTTTTGTAGTTAAACAATAAAAGGGGGTTTAAATGAAAGTCAGGCGTGAGAATGTTTTTACAATCAGTTGTTGTATCTTGAGTGCATGAACTTTGATTGGGTCTGTGGAAAGATTTCCATATACGAAGTTCACTCAACATCCTGTGTACAAACCCTATGAGATTGGACTGAAAAATTCTAAGTGTTTTCTAAGAAAATGCTTGTATTTTCTCACTGCTCAAATTGACTTTGATGACATGAAATTGCTATCTGGGGGCTTGTTAGTCAACACAGAGGAAAATTAGTGAACTTCGTATATATGGAAATCTTTCCCTAAGGGTTAAAAAATATTTCTGTAAAAAAAAAAAGTGATTGAAAGTTGGGTTCACAACTATTTCTCAATAGTAATAAAAGAAAAATATTACGGGAATAACATATATGCTTGGCCGGTATAAAACGGTACATTTAAAACCAGCTAGGGGCCTGGTCACATATAATGACACCTGCAAGACCCATTCATAAATACCTTTATGTAAAAAATAAAACAAGTCCAATATTCACAAATTTCCAACAATTTTGTTCAAAAATTTGACCTCAGGTTTTGTTACACACCCCTCTGGCTATATCTATGGTACATATTATGTGCTTCGCGCATACATTTGGAAATTGGTGCGTCACTACAGAATGCAGGTTTAAAACCACCATGTGACAGGCTTTCAACCACTAGGAATGGACAAACTGCCTCAGATGAATGTATTTTAAATGTATGAATGTATCAACTTAAAGGTACAGTCCATCATTTGTAATTTGTATATTTTGTTCGTAAGAAGCAACAAAGGTGCTCAAAATATAAAGAACGGTGCTAAACGACCAACCTGAGCTCAGCTTCAGCTGTATATTTCGAGAAAAACAACATTCAAGGATCTTGATTTCAAATCAAAAGTTGCTGAATCTTGAACGAATTGGGCCTGAGTTCAGCGTCCGAGATATGCTCTCACTGAGCCGATTGCAGCTACGTGATGTCGCGCACTGATCCAACGAATTATAGCAACCATGCTGGCGTGTACGTCGTGTCAACGCTTTCACGCGCTTAACCGAATAAAAAGAACGAACGGAAATTTCCAACGTTGCGTCTTTAGACGCAGAGTTGGAAAGGCCTTCTTTCGTTGATTTCTTCAAAATAACAGCATGCCAGAAAGAATAATTTCACAGGGAGTTTACTTCCCTTAGTATCTTTCAACCAAGTAAGTTTTTTTACAATAATTACGTCAGTTACTTTTTGGATAGCTGCAAATGATGGACTGTAGCTTTAACAAGAACATACCTTTGTAACAGGTGCAGAATGTGCCGTGTGCCTGGACCTCGTGATGACCGAATCGGCCCTCTCCGCCAGCCCGTCCACGGCTCCGACGGTCAGCCTCCTGACCTGGGTCTCAATTTTAGGGATGTCATCATTCACTCTGCTACCCCAGGCTGTGGTGGCGGTCTGATGATGATGGCCCACCTGTGGGTAAGCAGGTTTAGATTAGCAACCCTCTATCTCTTTTTTTAAGTTCTAATATGTCTTCTAAAACCTCAGGCAATCTACATCAACCTCATCCCCAGTGCTAACTTTATTTCCAACATAGTAAGCCCTGGATAGGAAACTTTCTTCCTGTATCCTGATTCGATATCGCAATTGGCTAGTAATGGATTTTTATCGTGTACTTGGTGTTGTTTTTCAAAACGTGCAGTACGTGTTTTTGCGATCATTTGTCCACGCCTTCTCGAAAATACTCAATTCTTTTCCAATTTGTTCATATTATTATATGAAATGTGATACTGCATGTTGTCTCGAAAAGATCGTGACAGTTTAATTAAATAAATCGTGTTTTCGTAACTCACGCTGTGCTCGCACTGTGACGAATTGACTCTGTTTTTACCCCAGACACCGCATTCAAAAATGAACGATAATGTAACGCACATGCAGGCACCAGACTATTCCTCATTTGCATACGTGTTCAAAAATCTTGCACATGCAAATGATCCGATACCAGGGTGAGAGAGCAGGTAGTGATGGGCGCGTACTGCTCGACACCCTGGAGTCGAGGTTGAATCTACATTTCCCCCTAATTCTGCTAGAAATCTTAACCAGTTTGCGCCGGAATTATTTTGACATTGACAGGACCCAGACGCGGGATTGTTTTTTACGCACCTCGATGTCAGACGGGTTCAGGCCGTCATCTGCGGGTGGCACACCCTGATATTTCCGGCCTCGCTTGCTGAGACCGGGTCACAGACAGATATTTCCAGCCTCGCTTACTGCGTGTTTAACCATCAACTGTTCCCAATACCACAAAACCTTTGGTTGTATACACGTCATCCAACGTGAACTGGTTAATAGTATTTTGGCGGAAAATGTGATTTTCTAACCAATTTTCTGGTTGATGTTGCACGAATCAATGCAGTTTTGTGAATTTACTATGCATCTTGTGAGACTTTTCATGTTGTGTACAATTGTTGTAATTGATGTAATTTTACCCCTTAGTTTCCCTCAAAATTCAAAACCCTGCCCTCTCTAGACATTCCTACTGCCTTTGAACATTGCCAGCTTTTTTGGTGAGTCCAATAACATTAAAATGGATTTTCATTGTCTAAAAGGAATGGGTAACTGAACAACATTTTTACTTGGGCCAAATTTCATGGCGCTGCTAAGCATACAATTTTCTGCTAGCAAAGTCTACGCCTATTTCACGGAGACGGTGGTAGTGAGCACAGCAAAAGGCACGCTAACCTCAGACTTCAGAGGAATATTTCTTCACCGTTTTGAAAAATCGAGTTTTGAGAAAATCGCGTTTGAAGTTGGTCGATTTTGCAAATCACTTATCGTATTTTTTATTTCTCCTCCAAAATTGACAAATAACTGTTGCCATAGCCCAGCAGTTAAACATCCCAAACAATTTGTTTTCATAAAATCACGTTTCATTAGGAGACATAATTTAATGAACTACTGAAGATATTCGTCACTTCGTTAAAACGAAAATTCTACTTCATCACATATAATATAGCATACGTTTGTACACAGCGTGTGCGTACAATGTATGTAAAATTGTAGATTCGTCACTGAAGTCATCAAAATGCAAAATAAATATGGCACACAATGCCACACATGTAAAATCAAAGAAAATAAGTGACGAATAGAGATTCGTCACTTCGTCAAAACGGAAAGCTGAGTGTGTCTTACATTAATTACCTTGTGAGGCTTGTGTAATTAACGTAATTAACAAATGATTTGGTATTAATCATGTAGAGTTGTGTCTCGAAATTTGGTATATATCTAGGCCTAATCATATAGAGGACATCATAACATGGTAGAATATCCAAAAATCTCAAATTGCTTAAAATCTCGGTTTTGGACGGATACATCACTTCATCAAAACGTTCGATCCGTCTTGAAATAGTAACAAAATTCCCTGATTTTAGGTGTTTTACCCAAATTCCCTGAGTTTTCCCCGACTTTAAAAAGTGGAAAGTCATTTTTCAAGGTTTTCCCTGATTTCCAGAGTGGCTGGGACCCGTGTCCTGGTTAAATGGCTCACCTGTCCGCGGGAGCCCGGCGGTGTAAAGCCCGGGTGGCCCACCCCGCCCCGCGTACCGGCCGCCGCCGTGGCCGGACGGGTCTCCTCCAGCACGCTGGGCGTGCCTCGGGACTGCAGCTTGGCCTGGGCCGAGGTGGGCCGGATCGGCTTCCCCATCCGCCGGCCCGGCGTCACGGTCCTCTTCCTGGCATCGTCCTCGTTTTCCACGGCCTCCAAGAGCTGCTTCTCGCTCGTCGTGGGGCGACAGTGGGGCATGCTGCCTACAAAACCCGATGACCCCCAATTTCCGGAACTAAAAACACCGCCGAAGAAGCGATTGCTCAACTCTTGATATTTCTCGGTGCTGAGCAACCTAATTTAACACGATTTACACAAAATGGTGGACGATCAGCAACATTATAAATCACCAGCACGAACAGTAATCCCAAGGCTACATACAATAAGGATTGGGCTTACGGTAAGTTAGCCAACAAAATATAGAACCTGCCATAAAGTTAGCTTGAACAATGCAAATTTGCCGGAGTCGCACAGTGACAATTGAACCCATCGTGACCTCCTGGCTTGGTGTTGTTATGGCAGCCGTCTGCCACCTGATGATTGCTGTTCGCTGGTTCCCCCAGAATTAAACATTATGTGTGAGCCAATGTACACGGGACCCGTTTTACTTCACGCATAGACCAACTCAAGATGGCGCTATACACCTGTTACAGTCTCCAAAATTGATTGGTTGGTCAAGTGCTTCGATCATGAAAATCCAACTTTGCGCAGAAAGCCACATCCTGTTCAGTTCCCCCACCAAAAAAACTTTTTCAAACATTTTTTTCGAAGAAATAAAAGTTAAGGACAATATATAAAACAATAACCGGAAAAGTTATTAACAAATCCGTATCTTGTCTGTGGCTCATAATTGTATGATGTCTTCAACAAAGAAAAATCTGAAGAACATTGTGTGAAACTTCTCTATTAGTGTGAAGTTTTATATCTACCTTCTGTTTAATCTTCTGTTGTGCCAGACCATCGCCCATTTCTGATCCCGCCCATCACTTTGAAAAACAAGACAAACCGTCAAATGTTGCATGAATTATAACTAAGATCAGAAACCTGGTTAACGAGGGAACAATCGTTGAAATAACTGTCCGACAACAGAAAAGTACATTTTTTTCTTCCTAAACAATGCAAAATGCATACAAATATTGGTAACAGACAGTAACTATCTAAGTGCCTACTCTTTGAAAGATATACTGTTTAATATAAGTATTATATGTAAAGATCCTACTGACTTAAAATTTCTTTCTTTTTCCCCAAAATATATCGTTCGTACCCATATTATTTAATCAATCCATTAATATATCTTAATCATTGTATTGTCTTTAGTAGTCCAATTATGTTTTGTAATTTCTATTTTTTATTATTATTGTCCTATTTAATCCTCGGGTAAATCATCTTGTTTTCAGTCTAGACTTTTTTGTTTGATTGTTGTGTCTTTTAAAAAAAATCCGGAAAAAAATTGAAATTAATCAATGAAGTTGAAATAAAATAATTTTGAAACATCACACTATTACGGTACCGGAGATCGTGCCAGGACGATTGTGGGGTCGTCCACGCAAGCGTCCGTGCCGCGGTCACAACGGCTACCGCGCCCTTCATCCGCTGCTTGGCCGTGGACTGCCGCCGTTTGCCGGCCTGCTGCCCGGTCAGGCTGGCCCTGCTGCTGTGCTGAGATTTACAGACGCTGTTCGCAGCAGAGATGATAGAAATAGCGAGTGAATCGGTGTCGAGTGTGGCCATAATTTCCCAAGCGGGCGAGGGGTGTTGTTACTTTGTCTCTAGAAATTGCCGGAGAATATTGTACTTTCCTCACTATCTTCGTCTTGTTCCAATAGATGGTTGTTTTACTAACAATAAAAAAAAGAAATTTTAGTCTTTGTTTACATAACTGCGATTGTTTTAGTCATGACAACTTTAATGTTAACAAACTTTCTCATTTGCATAACTTGGTAGAATCCATCCCTGGCCCTCGTCACTGCTCACAGCGTTAATAGTAAGGACACTGTGACCGACGAGCACCAGCGTTTGCTTTGTGACGTCAGAATTCTATTGTTTGATGGAAAAAGCGCGCGTTGAAAGTTTTGACACGCGGCGAACTTTTTTCCATAGTCGGCGCATGCGCATTTCCAAATGATTGTGACGATAGAATCTGCAGAGCAGACGACGAAAAGTGACCGTTTTGGCAACGCAAACATTGACCGGAACTTGGGAAAAAAATGACGGAGTTGCGATAAATAAAGAGCGTTCTGAAGCTACGAGGCTTCAAAGGTAGGCTCTTTTGTATTTCCTACTGCAAAATTTTGGAAGAGTATTTCTGGGAACGTGTGTTTTTATGTCCAGAAACTACTTACAAATTGTCAACTGGAATAAAATTGTTTTCATGTCGAGATGAACACAAACATAGACATACAACCTTCATGACCTTACGGGTAGGCCTAAAAAGAAATGCGCAGTGCTAGTGATACATTTACCAAAACAAACTAATTTTCAGACAAATTAAATTGTCATTTATTTATCTGCTCATAATAATTATATAATATATACTTAAACATTAATTAGCATGTTATGTAGACCCACGAACTGGGGCGCTAGAAGTAACTCTTGGGTACTATAACTTTTTTCCTTCGAAAATGCGAGGGAAAAAAGAGAGTTTTAGCGCCCCAGTTAGTGGGTCTACATGTATTGTTAATTCAAAGCAACATGCTTAAACAATAAGGTGTCAACTGTCATGAGCTGAAAGCTTAAACCAAATATTGAACTTATTTCTATAGATGTATTTTTTATGACAATAACAAGTAGTCAATCCCTACAACATGTCTATGGTTACCACAGTTTCTCAAAAATATGTAGATTAATATCTAATAACCATTGCAAGATTTCTTATACAAATCTCATTCAACTAGTGAGAGTTGTGCAATAGGCCTACTCTGATTATTTTCCCCCAATAAACATTTAGACTAAAATATTGCAACTGAATTAAAGTGCCACTGTGTGGAACATGAAGCTTAATTACAATGTAATTTAAGTTAGGATAAATTTGCCTGCTGACTTCAAGACTACCCATCCACATTTCGCAGTTCATTTTCAGATGGAAATGCTTTGTGAAGATATTTGTTTTGCTAATTAATAAGTATTTTTGTAACTTTCTTTGTTCTCATAATGAACGTGTATCACAAGAGTTAAACTCTTTTATAATGCAAGACTGGAAATAATGAATCAGTTCCAAAAAATGCAAAGAACGTTGACAAAATTACTTGGAGTTTGATCTTGATCTCTTTTGTGTATTTTAATAAGCCTCTTAAGTCTTTTTAACTAAATAACAATCACGGAAGACTAGTTATGTATTACTACTACACAGGTGAGTGACACTGAATTTTATGACTCATCATCATATGTGAAAGCACTCCATTACTAAGAATCCCTCCTTGAAATTTTACGGCAAAAACGTGTATTCTGAAGGACACCCGGTATTAACTAGTAATTGGTAATCTATCAAAGCATCTATCAAAATTGTATCTTAAAATATCCCCGAGATCTATCTCAATCACTTTTCCGGGAAATGTGTGCCATAACACCGTTCTGCGCAATCTCCGTTCAGCCGTGAGTGTTGAAAAACAGTGGGTGAATTCAGATTGGCATTTTAATAACCACACCGCGAATCCAGTGAATCCTCTTATGGATCCCGCAATGACATAGCTGAGGTTGCATTTTCATCGCGTTGCCATGGAAATCTGCTCAGGGGGATTCGACATCGAGCTTTGGGGAGATCTACACTTCCCACCGCAGAATTTCACCGATCTTATGACTTCACTGTGTCACAGCACTTAAAAAAAATCTTGTCACTTTCCCTTAAGATTGTGGAGGATTGAAGGGAGATGGAAAGTCATTAATAAGAAAGCATCAGACGGAGTAACCTGAGCATAACGAGTGTCTAAATTTACAGATCTTTTTTCAGAATCACAGCAAGAGTTGGCATTAATTGTCTTTGAGTGTGAATTCTTTGGCTCAATCCACCTGTTCATTGCATGAATTCCAATGTTAAAACACTGCAATCATTTGATTGAACACAGCACAATGACAAAACAAATTTAACCACTAAAATAAATAATTTCAAGAATGTAACACTTAATAACAATTATATATGACGCGAGAAAAATGTAAGATATATTATTAATTGCATTGCAAGTTGTTAATTTGGCAAAAAAAATAAAAAAATTTAAAGGACATATTCACACATGTAATTAATAGCTTAACATTGATATTAAAAGCTCTAACATGGATTCAGTGTTTCGTTAGTTCTAAGAAACTTATTTTTTGAAACTTAATATTTTATCAAGCACTCACACCTGTCACTTCTGCTGAAGTAAAACGTGTCAGTTTATTGTGAACAAGACAGCGTCACATTCTCTATTGAATGTTGTTGAAATGATTGTCAAGGGGATACAGTGTATCTTTTTGGTTGCAACAACTTTGGATCATGCTTTATATCAACTGTCCAATAGAAATAAAATTTTAATAAAAATTACAGTTTTGTCCAATTATAGTACACAACACCACATGTACGATACCTGTAAGCACCGTAGATATATCGATATTACCCGATTATTCGATATAATTTTGATATCGATATCGCCGACAGCAATTTTTTTAATCATATCCAAATATCGAAATTTTCCATATTGAAAAAATGATATTGAAAATATTGAAATGCAGATTGTCATCAAAATAAATCTCCTGTATGTGCAATAAGGCCAAAAAAAAATAAGTCGGTCTCTGGTCAGTGCGCGCGTCGATTTGAATCATGCGCGTCGATCTTTTTTTTTCTCCAAAATGTTCCGCGGTAGCTCCAACAGCGCCCTCTATTTCTGCACCTCCTCAATTTTCTTTTACCAAAGAGCACCAAGGAATGGGAAATTGCACCAAGGCAAATGATCGAAAGCACCAAGGCAAATTATGGAGGACACCAATGTACATGAGGACACCAAAAAAGCAAAAAGTACCCACCTTGTCTGTACAATCCAAGCTTGAAGAAAAAAAAAAAAAAAAGCCGCATGGCCGCGTCAATTCTGGAACTTTGGTCTGACCAGAGACCGAATATTTTTTTTTTGGCCTAACGTATGCTGTATAATGAAATAAAAGTCCTGACTCAAAAGTTGTGACTCAAAATGCAAACATCGCGGAATACCAAGTGGCATCACTTTGTGCTCTGCATTCGCTGGAATTCGCGGTCTCTCCCAATATAAAACCTGAAAAGCAACCGCCCATTTTGGACAAACTCTCAATGCTGAGATTTGTTATAAAAAAGTTTGAGCAAAATGCTCCAGAGAAAGCCGTGGATAATTGGGACTTAAGATTCTCCTTTTTCTTAATCAAAGTGTCATCTTAATTCATGGTCTTTAACTTTTACATGGGATAATTGATATATCGAATATTTTCGATATTGGATTTCCGATACAGTGAAATCTCGATAAGTCAAAACCCGTTAACTTCAGAAACCCTTCTTACTCAAAGTAAAAACTTATTCCCGTCAATTGTTGTTGAACAGAAAATCCATTGGATAACTCAAAACTCTGCTTAACTCAAAATTTGAGCCAATACCCCAGAGGTTTGACTTATCAAGTGTCCACTGTATATCGATGATGGAAAATTCTGATTTTGACGGAGCTTAGATACCCGTGAGTGTCGAACTCAGGAAGCATTGACCTATTTGTCAAGGGTATACTGTGTATCTTTTTGGTTGCAACAACTTTGGTTCATGCTTTCTCAACTGTCAGTTGGACATAAATTCTACATTTTGTCCTTTTAGAAGTACCACATGTGTCTGTGAGCGTCAAAGTTCCATACGCACGACCCACTTTAAGTCGAGCACACACAGCGTAATATTAATTGGTAGATATTGGTGTAGCAGGTGTTAGTAGCTCGGAGATAGGAGCTAGCGGTTTGATGGGACTAGACGCAGGTGGAGCCCAGACAAGGCGTGTCACTCGATGTGGGGCTCGGACAGTTTCTATGAAGCTCTACTGTTGTTGTGACAGGAGGTAGAATACCTGATAATGAATAAGAAGGGAAATGTAGAAATGGTTTAAAGATAGTATTGCCATTTTTGTCTTGACACCATTTTGTGTGAAGTCAAGTAGTGACAATTTTAAACCTAAAGCTAGTATGTTAATATCCGGTTCATTTCTGTCAATCCTTCCCATTTGGTCTTGCTAATCATAAACCTTGTGATATATGCTCAAAGCATTTTGCTCAACTTAAAAAAATAAAAATAAATATAACATTTGTGATGTGATCAAACTAAATGAGTCGTTTGTCGGGAATTTTCATTTGGAGATACAGGCCAAAATAGGGCCACTTCATCACATCACTTTATCACATCTCTTGATGTTCCAACTTCCATAATTTTTTAACTGAAGATGGTATCGGCATGCGGTTTCACAGCAGTAATACTGAGATGGTGCTCTTTTCAAATCTGTAATACATTTTTATTTTACCAGGGTCAACAAACAACTCATGTAGCTTGATCGCATCACATTTGTGAAATGTAAGGCCTGCACAGCGAAGAAGCTCCATCAGCTACATGTATTCTAGTTTTCTCTATTCCAAATTAAAAATATTCTACCGAGCTTGGTTGATGTTAAATCTTAGATTTAACGGGCTATGGTGTGTAGTGTTGACTGAAAATCCATACCTTCTGAACTTGATGAGCCGTTTCTACTCTCGTCTGATCTGCTTCCTTCTGACTGCGCATCCTCGGTGACAGCCAAGACACGCACGCTCTGTTGTGTGTTTGACGGCCATCGCGTGAGATGGGACGTCCGTAGACTTGACGTTCGGATGTGGGAATCCTCTCCTTCCATGTTGGAATTGAATATGATTTGGCCTAATTCGAAGACGTAAAGCGCCTCTTCACTCGCACGCATTGTCAGCTGATTCTGTAGATGAAAGAGACGGTGTGAGAATGGGAGTTTCTGCAATAATTTCTTCTGACGAATAATATTCTAACTCTTTGAACAATGTCCCAAAAAATTTCAGTTTTCAAGTATGTTGTTGAGTTTTTAAGCGCCTCTTTACTTGCACACATTGTCAGCTGATTCCGTAGATTAAAGTGATAGTATGAGAATGGAAGTTGCTGAAAAAAAATATTCTTACGAATAATATTTTAACTCTTTGAACAATGTCGCATAGTTTTACTTGTCCTGCATTTTATTAGTTTTCAAGTATGCTGTTGAATTTTTTTCCCAAGTATGTTGTCGATTTTCTAATCTACATGTACATGTCCAATAATAAGTTAAAAATGTGTGCATTTCATGACATTGGAATTTAAGTGAAATGCCAAATGATTGAAATCGGAGAATGCATCCAATTGACAAGCAGTGACCCAAATATTTTGCGCCCGGGAACTAATATCCTTCACACACAGACATGGTGCCTGCATTATTTCGCTAAATGGTGCAGGTGGAGAGTATGAAGGACGGGCCGCTTAATCAAGCATGCCTACATGCAGGTATGGCTCAGGAATGTAGGTTGATATCACACTGTGTATCCTTGCAACGACTAAGCCGTTTGGCCCAAAACGAGGTCAATATGGTAAAGTGGCACTTTTATCACCACTTGAATATGTTAATGGCTTATCTGCTGGGACGATATTTCTGAAGGTTTTCCTATTTTATGTGCTGATGCATAACATAATTGGCATGTTCTACACTAATGGCCCATTTTGAAGATCACTTTTTGTGTGTAACTGTTACTAAATAAAAGACAAAACTGTTTAAGCAGTTAGCACCTATGCTATATTTAACAATTGTTGACTGCTGTGATGTGGGATATGACGTTTTTAACACCTGCGGGGCGCATATTGTATTTTTCACTTAAGAATCCATAAATTCATTAGAGTGCTCAAGTTTCTGGCACTACAGGGAGTAATAGGCAAGGCAGTTTGGGGGAGTACAAGGACTAGTACTAGGTTCAACTCTACAAAGCAATATAATTCAAGGCAACTCATTCACCTGTAAGGAATGGTCAAATGAAACCTGTTATCCTTGATCGACAGCATTTTGGAGTTACTCATGTGTTCAGAAACAATCAATTTGTGTGAGTGCTCACCCCATATCCAAGAGCCTTCAGGATGTTCAGCTTACACATCGGACACGTCCTGTGCTCTATTAACCACTGATCCACACAATATTTGTGGTAATAATGCCTGACGAAGACAAACACAGAAATAATTTTGTAATTAAACATATTCTTCAGTCGAAAGGAAACAGTCATTTTATATCTCAATCATTGAAATGATAAAGTGATTCAGGCTCAGACTCCGCTACACTCATTTTAACAGTATTTTTTAACCAATTCTAAGTTGCCGAAAACAAATTCCGGTTATTTCTGCGCCAATGTTACATTTTCTTTTCAAAATAAGTTGGTGGAAATAAAATTTGTCAGATTTAATCTGACTTGATTCCAATGGTAATGACAATGATCCCAATGATCCAATTGATTCCAATGATAATGATTGCTAAAATTATCAAAATATTAAATACACTTGCATCTAATGATCCATATTAATTTAATAATTCTGCTAAGATTGAGAGGTACGGTGGTAATCTTTTGCCAAAACTTACTTGCATGGGAGAACCCGAACTAAATCCGATGCCTTGTAACCCTCCAGACAAACTGGGCAAGTTTCACTGTCTACCAACTCCTGTAGTAGTGAGAATAACAACAGACAAATTTGAAAATCCATTACTCAACGAAATGACTGTAAATTGTTCAAGTAAACATGTTGTAATTGTGTTTCTTTATTCATTAGTGCGAGGGGCTAGTTCTGTGGACCTAGAATTGTGTGCTATGTTTATACATGGGTTCAAGTCGTGACAAGGAACATGGCGCTTGTGTTCTTGGGCAAGACACATTACTTCAACTGCCTCTCTCCCCCACAAGTAAAGCGGTACAGGTCTGTTAACCCTTACTCTCTGAGGGTAGTTTACTGCATGTCAGTTGGTTATGCCAATGCCCTCCAGCTGCAGTTTATTGGAGGAAACTTTGATGTAGCAGTGAAGGCTCCAATTGGCAGGAGTTGGAGGCCCTGGAGGGTGCCTGATACTGACCAGCTGGGGGCACTCACTTTGTTATTAGAGGACTCTCATTGTTCTCTGTGGCATGTATTGGAGTGCCTGTCCAGTTACCCTTGAAATGACATGGCAGATATTGGAGGGCCATGCAAAAAACATAGGAGATTTTCTTGAGGCACATATTGGCATGCGTTGGAGGGTCTAGTAGGGTAAGGGTTAATGTGTACATTGTACCTGTGAGGGTAGAGACCAGTTTGTACTGATCTTGATCTGCTGTAGAAAACTGGACTCTGATGGCCTGATGAACAGGGGTAATAATTGTGAAGCACTAATAGACTTTTGTATAAAAAGATACATTCCAAGCACGTCATCATTATAATTATTACTATGTTAAACCTTGTACAGGTTTTTGTACACCTACGTCATATACATGTACATGTATGTCTACATATGATGTAGACAGACTGTACTTACATCATCACCTTCTTTGAGATGTTTGGCTGGGAGTTTAGCGATAGCTTTCTTGGCTGCTCGACTCAGTCGTTTCTGTGAAGAAGAAAAAAAAATGATACTTAGTAACAGAATCAAATTAAGATACACAGTGTTTCCCATATCAGAGCCATTCCTGAAAAGCAAGATGATATCCTGTACACAACTCCTGTACAGAATTAATGGTACATGTATAATTAGCAGGTCTTCATATCCCAAGAATGACCTCAGGCTTTACTTGTGTGGACACAATAGCAAGATAGCATACATACACAAGAACGTATGCAATTCACCATGTTGTACTACATGTAGGTAATATGTGCATTATTTTTGTTATTATGACAGTTAATCATGCAAAAACTGTTATGAGCTTAAAGGGAAGATAAAGACATTTGCAAACATCAAAAACTAAATGATCAAATTATAACGAAATATCTTACTGGACTGTTAGTGAATTACAATCTAAAGCATCCTGTAAAATCGTGGCTCCTGGTGTGTTGACATTTTCAAGAAAACTTGTATTTTTCCTACACTGGTCGGCCGACCATCGTTGGAGAAAACTGGCTTTTTTCAAAAAAAACTGCTCCTATTTTTTCATATGCAGTCATTTCGCATTTTCTTTGCAATTGCTCACACAATTCATCTGTGAAGGGGTACAAGCCTGCTAGACTGATTCTCTGACCTTACAATCCTCAAAGTCTACAAATTGCAACGTCTCATCTTAGGTGGGGTCAGGGAACCAGACTACAAGAACATGGTTGGTTTTCTTTGATTTTCCAGCATCTCCGAACCAAAACGTGAAACAAGCTAGTTTAACAATATTTTCCATAGCACACTAATCCTCCAAATCCATTATTTCTGAAAATTGCAGCAAAAGCAAATGTTGTATATTCCCTATAATCACAAAATACAACATGTACAGACAAAGTTGGAATATAATCTACACTTAACTGCACATAATTTCTGGGAAAAAAAAAAGTAACATTCATTTAATGCAGGGTTTAATACCGGTAGGGCCTGTTCAGTATTTTTGTACACATGCTTTCTATCAGAAAAATCACTAGCAGAAGTCTTAAAAATCAAATGCCAGTGCATGACAGACAAAATTGTTCCTTTGGATGAATGCCATGGAGAAAAGGAAAAGATTTATTGAAATCCATAAGCACCAGGATCTACGCAGATCAATTTGTGCACCTGACGCTCTCTACACTTAGTGCATGATGCAGAACCCACTGTTCTCTCCAAGGCAATTCATTTCGACATTTCCCAGGGGAATTCGGTATACCATCACATCATGCACTGTGAAGAACATCTACATGCGGGGCAAAAGCCTCACTTGCAATAATGGAGAGGTGTTTTTGTGTGATTGGGAGTACTTGATCCTTTCAGAGAAAAAAATATATCCACCGTACAGACTGAAAATAAACATGTCATCACGAAATTGATTTTTTTTTTTACACACATGTAATCAGATTTGTAGGCAGCATACAAAATTATGAAGATAATTTTAAAATCAACAGATCAACAAATTAAAACAAGCAAAATTAATCCAAGTGCACATGATTTTTTTTGATAGGGAGAGTGAACATTGTCTCAATTTGTATTGGGTTCGGAGATGCTGGAAAATCTAAGAAAACCAACCATGTTTTTGTAGTATGGTTCCCTGACGCCACGTAAGATGAAACGGAGCAATTAATATTGTCAGAGAACAGTATAAAAGGCTTGTACCCCTTTCACAGGTGTGTAAACAATTGCAAAGAAAATGTGGAATAACTAAATATGAAAATTTATGAACACTTTTTGAATAAAAGTCAGTTTTCTCCAACGCTGGAAAAAATTCAAGCTACATGTCAGTGGTGAATAACATTTCAGAATAACAGCCCTCTTTAAAGGGGACATTTGCAATCATCAAAAAAAAAAAAAAAAACTACCAAATTATTATGAAATACAGTACCTTACTGGACTGTGACAGTCTAAAGCATCCTGTAAAATCATGGCACCTGGTGTGTTGACATTTTCAAGAAAGGTGGAATTTTTGTATCACTTTCCAACGATGGTTGGCAGACCATTGTTGGAAAAACTGCATTATTTTTTTTTTATACTGCCCACCAATTTACCAAATTTAAATAGTGACATTTTGTTTGCAATTGGTTACACATCTGTGAACGGGTACAAGCCTGAGCTAGACTGGTTCCCTGAACTTACAGTTCCCCGACATCTATAAATTGCTCCATTTTATCTGAAGTGGGGTCAGGGAACCAGACTACAAGAACATGTTTTTTTTCTTGAGTTTTCCAGGATCTACGAACACAAAACTTTAAACAGGTCAGGGTAACAATATTTTCTATAAAACACTTACCCCCAACTCCATCTGTTTCTGAATATTACAGCAAAAGCAAATGTTGTACACGTATATGTTCCCTTTAAAGGGAATATACAACATTTGCAAACATCGAAAAATAAAACTACCACGTTTTTACGAAATACCTTACTAGGATGTTGGTAAATGACAGTCTCAAGCATCTTGTAAAATTATGGCACCTGGTGTGAAGTCATTTTCAAGAAAATTGTATTTTTGTAAACATTTCCAACGGTGATTGGCCGACCACCGTTGGAAAAACCTAACTATTTTTCAACTACTGCTCCAAATTTACCATTTTTTCAGTCCAAATTGTGTTTGCTATTGGTTACATGTTCATGAACGGGTGCAGGCCAGCTAGACTGGTTCCCTTGCCTTACAATTTTCCATCATCTATAAATTGATCTATTTTATCTTTTGTGGAGTCAGGGAACCAGACTACTTGAACATTTTTGTTTTTCTTGGTGTTTCCAACCTTTTCGAACACAAAACTTCAAAAGTGTCAGTGTAACAATATTTGATCTATTATACTAACCTCTCAAATAGTTCATTTCTGAAAATTACAGCAAAATCCAATGATGTACATTCCCTTTAAATACTGGCTGATAGTTTCTATACAGCTGCCTATCAAATCAGCTAGGATGAGGAAACTCATGAGAAAATTCATTTCTATCCCTGTACTTACATTTGTACTCTTGAGATTACTCATGTGTGATATGAAAATTAATTTCTATGTCTTGGGTACTTGCCAACACACTGTTCACTGTTGACAGTACGGGTACATGTACAGTAGTTTTAGGAAGTTCATCAATTTTCAATTTAATGTACCCGGTACGTACCGTGCATATGGACTACACTAACATTTTACACTACCATAGCATGCTCACCTACATGTAATTTGATTTCAGGGATAAGAAATACATGTAGATGTATGCACCAGTATCTTCCATAGGAAACTAAAAACCCTAACTGAAAATGGTAAATTTTTCAATGCACATTTCCCTCACATTGAGACATATATCACTGAATTATTAATGTGGAGTCTTACAAGGAGCTACTGTGATCTTTATTTTCTGTTCCTATCTTCCTATAGCCTATCATGTATCTGCTGTGCACTATCAAATTTTCTTCAGCACATAGCACAACACAGTATTAATTACAAACCCTTTGACATTTCCGACTATGCTGGTTTAAGCAGAGTACATGTAGGTTTGAGCATGTTCAAGCAGACGTGTATGTAAGTTTCATCATGTGAAAATAATTGCATCTAATGGTCAAAGTGGCACTTTACTCAATCAAAATATTTCATCATATTATCATATTTAATTAAATAGTCTTCTCTTTAATCAAAACAAAAATAATCTAAGGAAATTAAAATTCTTCCTTTATAAAATAAAATTTACAGAAATTGAAGTGAATTTCACAATATACATGTATTATCATTCAATTCTTTTTTTTTTTTATCTTACCAACCATGAAAAAAAGAGAGTTAAATCGAGTTGCAATTTCTTGTACAGCAATAAAGCAATTAAACTTAATCCACATGTTGTTCTCATTATAATCGTCTTAAAAAATAATGACAATAACACCCAGAGGTAATGAGCATTGAGCACAAGGGTGACCATTTTAAATTATATTTTTCTGAAAATGAATTTTCGTTTCCTGTGTACAGTGCACTGCCATATGGTCAGGCAGTCGTGCGGTTGAAATGGATCAAAACACTGTCGCATTCAACTCGCAAATTATGAGATTTCAGGAGTGAAGACGAGACATCCCAGTCTACTCAGTGTCATAAATCACTCGGGACATAAAGGCGATGTATGGATGCACCTGGCATAATTGATTCCACAGCGAAAAGCTTGCGGTTTCCTGTGGCAAGCCGGCAAGGAAAGAATCCTGTGCATTTTGCTAATTTGAAATTGAGCTTCAGGTCAATACACATTTTCTCAATGATGCTGCAATCAACCAGCTTTGTATACAATCAATATTTGAATAATGTTACTTCGCCTACACGTGTTTTTTTTTAATACTGACCAGTCAATATGTTAATAAGTGATAAGAGGATACATCACTAGGCAATTCAAATAGTTGTCCAGAACGATAACAAAAAGTCACAAATGATGAAATAAACATAAATTTTGCTTACTTAAAAGATCATGCTTACTTAAAAGATATTAAAAACACTGAAAATAAAAATAATTTTAACAGGGGGAACCTCTCTCATTTTGAACGTTTTCCCTAACACCCTAGGCTTTTTTGCTAGGATGTTGCCTACAAAATCCTGCAATTGGCCTCATGGAAAAATAGCTACATGTGTAGTATAGCCTCAATCTTGCAAATTCCTCCATTATTCTGGAGCAGTACAGAGGATTTCAAGCATAATCCAGGCCTACATTTATGCATGGCTTAGCAAAAACAAAACTAGGTCCGGCCCAAGACCTTGACAAAGGGCATCCTACGAAATCAGTAATGCACTTTTGCCATGTAACCTCAGTCCTCTAAATTCCTCCACTTTGGCAAAGAGGATTTTGAAGGGTTCAGGGCAGTTAGGGTTAATAGATTTTTGTGCAAGCGAATCTGTACGCAACCATCCGCACATTTAACATACAAGTTCAGTGTAAATGCCATAGTGCCAAAAGAAGACACTATTTTTTTTTCTTCTGCTCTTTGGCCGACTGAAGTTGACTTCCTCCCGACACTTGTGAAGGGAGTTCAAATTAATATCATACAGGAACTCCCACACAGTACCAAAAAAAATCAATATCCTGAAGCACTTGTGGGACTCCTGCCATTTCCCGATGATATTAAGTGTTGGGGACTCGCGAAATCAGGGTTCAGTGAACGTAGACATTCCCCATCCTCACAACATCAAGGTGTTGATTAACAAATGAGGACTGAAAACTGCTTGTCGAGCAGTCGTGTTTCAGTGTAATGTGCCTGCACAATAGCTGTCTGGTAATTTGCTAGCTCAAAGGTTAGTTTCCTCTTTAATCGAGATCTAATCTTGTTTCAGACAGCGCACTTTGACACACAAGTGTTACACTCGGCTTACCCATACCCAATCAGAAGAGCTGTGATTCTGCACGCAGTGAATGATACAGACCCATTAGTCCCTTGTACCGCCCCGACCTTATATCGCCCCAGCACGCTATTGTATGATGGATTTATCCACGAGGAAATACAGTGTAAATACTGTGTAATACAAATGCTAAAGGGTTACATATCGGCAAGACAAGACAGTTTGGCCAAAATTGAATTATCGTAATTTCTTTTGACAATCTGAGCTACAGGGCGAGTCAAAAAAGCGGATGCCAAACCCCAAAAATTACATTTTCATATTTAAAAAAATATGTAGCACCAAAAATAATAATGACTGGAAAGCCAATTTCATAAGCTACTTCTAGATGAAAAATACTGAAATTGCACAATCCGTTCAAGGAATATCACCGATGAAACACAATGACCCTAAAACCTCTTTTGTCTAAAAATGCATTTTCAAGAATCTTCGTCACAATTATCTTCAAACATCACCAGCGATAAAACCCTCAGTTTAAAAGTTAAAAAATATTCAACAAAGTCCTTTTGAAGGCCCGTCTTATTAAAAAAAGTGAATTTTTTTGTTTGCCTAACCAGGGTTGTTAATAAAGATATTGTGTACTACAGTTGTTGAACAAGTATTCTGTGTCATTTTTTTTGTTGTTCCAAACAGTCAAAACACAAGAGACAGGTTTTAGGGTCATTGCGTTTAAATGGTGATATTCTTTGAACGGATTGAGCAATTTCAGTAATTTTTTTCATCTAAAAGTAGCTATGAAATTGGCTTTCCAGTCATTATTATTTTTGGTGCTACATATTTTTTTAAATATGAAATATATTTTTGGGGGTTTGGGTTCCGCTTTTTTTTGGGGACTCACCCGGTATCTTATGCAAAGTGTTAACGTATTTCACAACCTTCAGATTACATATATATGAACATGTACCCGGTAACTTGTAGTACAGTGCAAAGTTTGACCAAACAACTCCAGTTTTGTTTGGTCAAATGGTCAGAAAAGGTGCAATGTCTGACTGAAAGGAGTTTGAAGTGTGGGTGCTATTAACTCTCTATGCACAAGTGTGGACGCAAAAGTTGAAGTGTTTTGAGGACCTATATCGAGGTGTAAAAGACTAGGAAGGTTAAAAGGTCATACCTGTGTTCTGTCTCTGGCCTGTGCATACCGGAAGCGCTGAATATAATAAAACACCAGCCAGGCCAGCGAAATGATCATCAACACGATGAATGCCACCGACACAAAGAGGACCGAGGATTTCTTGAATTGGACGCTCTTGATGATTGTTTTGCCCACCTCAAAATGAAGCGTGACGCTGGTTCCATTTTCAACCAACGCCACAATGCGCTGCCCGTTTTCAGCACTAATAAGTACAGCTGGAATTTTGCCTGAAAAATAAATGGGACAAAAGTGGACCGGATCAGTTGAAAATGATAGTATTGTTACATCTTTCCATGAACATATATGTTCAGTCAACTCCCATTAACTAATACAAAACTCAGCCTCACCGAGCCAAAAAGTTTATCAGAATTTTATATTAAGAGGAATGTCAGTCCCACTCGTTGTGCATATAACAGGCATGCAACTGGGAATTTAGAAAAAAAAACAAAGGAAATTCCAAACCACACAAGATTCTGTAGTGTTTTTCAAGTTGTAATGGCTTTCCTGAGAACTAAAAGACAAGGAAATCAGTGGATCCGAGGAAAAGTTGCATGCCTGATATAAATGCACAGATGGGACCAGGGCTTTACGTTTACTACAACCAGAGTTTGTATTAACTAGTGCAGTGCCCGTCTAAAATCTGCATGTTCGGGAAACGCAAATTGCTTTGCCGCTGGTATAGGTTGCATACTTGCAGAGTTTTGGAGAACTGCTCGTGCAAACAACGCACGCGATTCAATGGTGTTGTTTTCACAGGTTGAACGCACACTTTTGCGTCAAAGTTTTTGCCAAGTTTGAAGTTCGACCACCTACAATGGTCGCTCAGTCGACTGCAAAAATAATGTGCCCGTGTACATACGAAAACATGGTATACAGTGCTACTCACCCATTGCCATTAGTATTCACCCGTACTGGACAATGTATCGCCCTGCAAAGCACGTGCACGTGCCCGTCCTTTTTGCATTGTTTGCGTCATATTGAGCACGCGCGCTTTAGCTTAAACGTGACGTAAACAATTGAAAAGAACGGCAGTGCGTACGTGCGAATGTTATGTTCTAAGCTATATACTGCCACGTTTGCCTCAGAAAATACTGCTTTTTGCAGCTTTTTCGAGAACCGCTGGTCCAAACAACTTCAAACTTTGCACTGCACATTCTGTTGTCCCGAAAAATATATCCACAGATTTTCAACCACATACGGTGCCCGGTTCTGGAGATAATCGACGGACAGACAGACAGACAGAGATTCCTTGAATTGTAGTATAGATAAGAGTCGGCTGTATCAGGCCAAAAAATAAATAGTTCTGCTTCCGGTTACCCTGCCCCTACCTTATTTTTTGGGGGGAAAAATGAGGAAAAAAATCGAAAACCATCAATTACTACCTTTTACTTTTGACTACACGCAGGCACCTCCATATGATCGTACACAAAAAAATTGCCCCCCCCCCCAAAAAAATTTCCTTACCTACCCTATTTTCAAATGCCATGTAATCGGAGGCAGAACTATTTTTGGGGGCCTAACTTTAATCTTTCAATTACAAAAGAAGTAAGGCTTGTTATTTCTGTTTGTACATGTTTCCTCGTCCCAACTTTAGTAGGATTTCGTCCAACTGTACTGGGAACATATGTCGTACAAAAAAGCAATCACTACAGGAACCATTTCAGGAAGTATATAAGCACGAACCACTCACATGCTTTTTGCTCAACGTGACACAAGTTCCACAACGAAATGTAGGGATGTTTGAGTCTAAAGAGTCTAAAATGAATTACCTTTTGAAGTATAGTACGTGCACCTTATACTAGTTGTAAAGGGTACATAACACCATCATTCATAGATGCTTCCAACATAATCAATGAGACGTGATTCATCTCACAAGGGTCCATCTTACACCTGTCGCAAGTGTCAGCAGGCGCAGGGGTGCTAAAAACTAATAGAGTAGAGCTACCAGCTTAATGACCAAGGGACTTTAGTTTAGGCCAAAAAAAATAAAGTCTCCGGTTTCTGGTATGGAGCTTGCCCCAAAAGTGGTGCGGCGACGCGGCTTTTTTTTTTTTTTACCTGTTTTTTTTTTTTGGCTTCAAATGTCGGCTGATGACTGCAAATGGTGCCCGACTAAACTTAGTGCAAATATATGGGAGTCCAGAGAGGCCACATAAATCTTATTCTCGATCATAACCCCTTCTAAAAACACGTTAAAATTGTGCAGCAGCAGAATTCCAGTCAAACCAGTGAGTTTGGCGGTTTTGAAACATCGTCTTGTATTGAAAAAAAAACTTTTTCATTTTGCCGACGCGCATGGCTACGGCGACGTGCGCGCATACCAGAAACCGGAGACTTTTTTTTTTTGGCCTTAAAGAACTAGGATATTAAACAGATTTTGGTGAGTTTTTGGATGCCCACTCAGTGACTCTATGCATACAGTTATAAATTGTACAGTTTTATACCATAATTATTTAGTACATAATGATATGCAGAATGACACTAACTTTTTATACCATAATTCATAAACTTTATGATGATCAGCCATAACAAACATGCATTCATTAATTTTGATCACTGCACTGCAAACCGTTTTCAGCAGATAGAATTTCGTGAAGCTTGTTTGTACCTTTATTTTGTATTGTATACAGCTCACTGCCCGGTTTGTTGTCAAACACGACAACACCAGACGCATTATATTTTTCAGCCAGCTTAATCTTTTCTGTGTCTGTACAATTTCCCCTCTTAACGAGGGCAATCCACTGCACTCCTTTCCGCAATTGCATGGGTAAAAGCTTGGGTCGGTAGGGCACACATCCTTGGGAGTGAACTCCGCGGCGATAGACCAGAACGCCGCTGGCCGGGTTGGCGGGGCCGGAGCTAAATCTCCCGGCGTCGGTCTGCTTCTCCGTGGTCTCATTTCCCGTGGCGGGGTCCTTGTACGTGATGCTCACGGTCGCCGTAGTCCACGTATCCGATTGACTGCTGTAAAAATCGTAAGCGTCTGTAACTGATGATCGGACGATACAGACGAAGATAATCCACGCAAAACTCTGAGTGTACGAATGTGAGATTTGGTGCCATGTTTCTCCAGTTACCGACACCAAACGGAGCTTGTTGTTGACAGCGGCCATGGTGCCGGTGCCGTGTGAAGTGTATTCACGGCCGTGCCACACTCAAGTCGAACACGCTAGGTCTGTTCGCGGTAGTTAACTACGGTCACATCCCGTGTGCTTGTAGTTGAGGCGATTTCCTTTTTCCTGGCATTATCATCTCAACTGGGTAATGGAAGCTCACATTTAATTGTAAACATAACCTGATCATCGTGATGGGCCGATTCACAGAATAAGATCTATTTCTGCCCCGCGACTTTCCAAAAATAACACTGCTAAGGGCCGTACGTCTCGTACGGTCACGCCAGGGTGACCGTAAGGCCAGAGCCAAATTCTGCTAAATGCACATCAAAAATCTGTCACATTTATCAAAAATCTGCCAAATTCCCCAGAATTACCCAACATACACTATCAACAATGAAAATCACATGCAGACTGATACTTTTGCCTTAATTAAGGTTTAAATTACATTATAAACAATCTGTAGTCTCATAAAGATGATGTGAAATTATCGCGTAAATTTACGGCAAAGCACGGATCTGGCCAAGACATTTGAAGTGTGTTTCCCAGTGAACCTCAGCACCTAGACCAGCCAACCTGTCCCTTTACGCAAGGGTTTGTTTGAAAAGGATTGAAGCTTTCTTAAACAAATGTACTTTTTTTGTTCAAATTTGCTGTTTTTGTGTCAAATAACCATTTTTGCAGAATTCTGCCAGAAATCTGCCAAAAAAATCCATTCTGTCAAATTTTCTGTCAAACTCGTTTTTTTTACAAAAATTCTGTCAAAGTTAGCCGAAAATCGGCTAAAACGGTCACCCTGACGAACGCGCACGCGTGCACAACGTACTCTAGCCGATCGCGCACAGCACATTCGGGGCGCATGCGTTAAAAAAAAAAATCGGTGATTTGACTCGTACGGAATCGATACCGAAATTATGTTTCCGAATCATTGAAGAATCGAAGTGTCGAGAGTGTAAAGTTCTGACCAGCGCGCGCCTAGGAAAACATTTCACTTTATAAATTCCATTTTTCCCATACAAATCTATACACCTGATTAGTGATTCCACAAAACTTACAACCAAGGCTTACCCAATGAGAAATCAGCCATTGCAAATAAAGCCTGGCGCGTTTCCAGAACCCTTTATTAGGAAAGTCAACGCCGTGCATGTAATATATGCAAACATTCCAAATTTGCAATTATATTTGGTATAGAAATTACCCCCCAAAAGGGCCTTTGTTCAATAGCATATCAATTGCCGGACGCGAAAGAGAAATATCGTGTCAAAAATGGACCTCTCATTCCCCAAAATCTAAAGTATGTGTGGTCTAGTGCAACTCGATGTACTAGTACATCGGATGGAAAATTAATTTTGTGGCATTTGGTAACAACATAAAGTTAAATAGAAGACCAATTTTTTTTTGTAGGGTTTACATTTTAAAAAAACTTACTGGACTCATTGGCATTTACGAAAAAGAAAATCTAAAGTGGCGCTTCATGCTAAGGACTGCAGTCAAGCCAGCCTTACTAACTTCTAGATTCCATCGGCTGTAGGTAGGTAACTAAATCTTCATGGCTTGGGTAGGGATAATACGCAAGTATAATTATTTAGCTATATTTTATTTGCTCACTTAGACATTCACAAGGCCATACGAGAGCTGTCACGGTTCAGTTGTAGTTGATTTGTTGTGTGATATTTACCTAGTAAAATATTTGAACGAATCGTTGTTTCAGTTTTTCAAGCGCTCGGATGATTCAGCCGTTTAATATGCGTTTTGTTGCAGCAGTAGTGCTACCCGTACCTCTGTGCCCTAGTCGCTTCCTACTCGAAAGAATCGATTCTTTCTGTGGATCCGTTTGAAAAATAATCGATAACGATCTGGTATCGTCTGGTTTTAGGCATGGGCGGTGTGATTAACCAGTTGGGGGGGGGGGGGGAAATAGATTATTTTGTGTTTTTTTTTGTGACGCGACTGGTAAGGCGCTAATATGAAACTGTGACTTAGGGAAATAACATGCATTCCTAACAACACTATACCTTTTGTTATTAACCTCGAGAAGTCATTTTACTTTTTCTTGTTGAAATTCAATTCATTTGTGTTTTAATGCCGAATAAATAATAATAATAATAACCCAATACATACAAACAGAGGATTGATATAATCAATATCGGACAAACGAAAGGTCATTACACTAGTAATAGATATACATGTACACGCGTACAGTACATGCACAAAGAACTTGTGGATAAAAAAAATGGGCAAAATGAATGGTTGACCGACACGAACAAGTTTAGACTTTGTACAAGCAGCATGCGAAATCACATGACACGATGTAGTCTGGAAGCCGCGTGCAATTCTTAGCGGAATTAAAATGCGAAAGACTGGTTTACGCCTCTGCTATCAAGGGTAACGGAACGTATAATCAAGCGTACGTACGTACTGTGCATGCAGCATGCATAGCATAGCAGCCAGCCGGCCCTCGATTCGCTTGTCATTCTGCGAACGTGTGTCACATCCTTATGCTCCTGTTTCATCAATTTCGATGTTTTGCTTCGGAATTCATTATAAAAGAAGCCCTTCTTCATTTGCAAGGTATTGTAGAATAGGTCTAGTTGTTTCACGTAATTGGTTGTGATAATGCTGGCGAGAAAGTCGGATGATGGGGAAGCGATTTTGGCAAGTCTGCAAAATTTGCCAAAGTGCAAAGTCATGAAACTAGGCATGAAAGTGGGAGGGACGAAATTAATGACATGAAATGATTGTACACGTGAACATTTTCAAACAGTACAGGTCAGGTAGGCCAGGAAATTGTGTATCCCAATTTGGAAGAATGTGGTATGAAAACGTGATTTTATAATTTGTGTTTTTTATATTATTAACAGCTGTTGTTCATTTGGGAAAATTTGGTCAGGCTGAATAATTTAAGTTAGTTTGGTCAAAATGATTTAGACAGTCACAAATGTTTTGCAGAACTCCATTTTATGATGTATAATTTGGTAAAAAAAATTAAATAACTGCATAATACTTAATAGGATAGTCCGACTCCGAGTAACTTGGACCCAACTTATCGCCTTTTTTTAACATTTGGACATGGTCTGGCGATAGTAAGGTCCTAGCCCCATAAATGTGGCCTAATTACTGGACTGCCTCCGTAAACATAGGCCACACGTCCACATGTACAAAAATCGTGTCGACTTTGCCAAATTTTGATTTTCACATTTAGGCTTAGTTTGTAGGATTTTTTTGCTTTAGAAGCATACTCACCCACTTTATAGGCTAGTCAGAAAGTGCTGCCTTTTTCAGATGTCCAATTTTTGTGAAATTTCATGTTGAAATTTTGATACGCAAACGTGTAAAAATGAATCTGGAAATTTCACGAAAAATATACATCTGAAAAAGGCAGCACTTTCTGATTAGCCTATAAAGAGGGTGAGTATGCTTCTAAAGCAAAAAAACCCTACAAACTAAGCCTTAATGTGAAAATCAAAATTTGGCAAAGTCGACACGATTTTTGTATGTGTGGCCTATGTTTACGGAGGCAGTCCAGTAAATAGGCCACATTTATGGGGCTAGTAAGGTCCAAGCTAATACCGCGACCTAGACAACACAGTCCCAAAAACCAACATTTTCCAACAAAAAACATCAGATTTCACCTTCAAAACGGCCTCCAAATTACTAGATATGCCACCTGAGGTACAAGTAGACATCGATAATTAAGATGGTTGTACTGAAGTTTACTTACGATCTGGAAAAAAGTGAAATTTTCCGTTCATTTCGGAGAGCTCCCCTCGCGATCTTGAACACGTTAAATTTCCGATCGTGTTTAATGTTTGAACGACGGGATTTCTTCTACATGCCCAGCGTACATTCGATGGTCCCCGTAATTTCGTTACCGAGCGCGCGCGATGCATCGATTATGATAATGAGTCGCATTTGTAAACATACATGTGCATTTCGAACTGTAAAAGGGAATCGGGAACGCTAGTTCCCGACTCCCTATTATCGTTTGAAATGCACATGTGTTTACAAACGTGATCCAGTCTACTCATTATCATAATCGATGCATCGCGTGCGCTCGGTAACGGAATCGCACTCGGGATACGGGGACCATCGAATGTACGCTGGGCATGTAGAAGAAATCCCGTCGTTCAAACATTAAACACGATCGGAAATTTAACGTGTTCAAGATCGCGAGGGGAGCTCTCCGAAATAAACGGAAAATTTCACTTTTTTCCGGATCGTAAGTAAACTTCAGTACAACCATCTTAATTATCGATGTCTACTTGTACCTCAGGTGGCATATCTAGTAATTTGGAGGCCGTTTTGAAGGTGAAATCTGATGTTTTTTGTTGGAAAATGTTGGTTTTTGAGACTGTGTTGTCTAGGTCGCGGTATTAGCTTGGACCTTACTATCGCCAGACCATGTCCAAATGTTAAAAAAGGCGATAAGTTGGGTCCAAGTTACTCGGACTATTAATAGGACTACATAGTACATTCTCACTGTTTCCTCAAGTTAATTTTGATCATCTTTTTTTGTCCTTGGGTATTTTTGTTCACCTTATTCAACAATTTTTGTTTTTTTCACTTGACAGAGTCTTGAGTAGTACCCCTCCAGACCGAATCATAGAAAGACTTGAACATGAGTGTTGATGTTCTGTGCAGGAAATGCTGAGAAAGTTTGATGATCTGGAATTGACCAAGTACCAGTCGAAAATGTCCAACAGATCCATCCTGCTTAAAGTCGTCATCCTGGGCGACGGAGGGGTGGGGAAAAGCTCGCTCATGAACCGCTTCATCAGCAACAAATTTGACAGTCAGTCATTCCACACCATCGGCGTGGAGTTTCTGAACAAAGACATCGCAGTGGACGGCGAGAACTACACGATCCAAATATGGGACACGGCAGGCCAGGAGCGCTTCAAGAGTCTACGCACCCCGTTCTACCGGGGTTCGGACTGCTGCATGCTGACGTTTGCCGTAGACGACCTGCAGAGCTTCAACAACCTGAACATGTGGAAGAGGGAGTTCCTGTACTACGCCGACGTGGCGGACTCGGACAGCTTCCCCTTTGTCGTGCTCGGCAACAAGGTTGACGTGGACGAGGACGAGAGACAGGTGACCATGGAGGCCGCCATGGAGTGGTGCAAGGCCAACGGAAGTATCCCGTACTTCGAGACCAGCGCCAAGACGGCGGTGCGAGTCGACGAGGCCTTCACGGCCGCCGTGCAGCGGGTCGTTGAACTGGACAGGAGGCAGGATATGAAATCTTCGCCCACGACGGACTCCATCGTGCTCAGCAAGAAGCCGAGCAACAAACCCCAGAGCTCCTGCTGTTAATAATATCATTCATGTCCAATAGAAATGTTGAGAACAAAAAGTTAAGCATCTCATGACAATCTTCCGACAAGTACCTCCTCAGTGTCTACAAAGGGAGAGTTGGTGGAGACCACTGGGAGGGACATTTGTAACGCATTGCAGACGATGTCTGATGCTCATGCAAGTGTCCACTATGGCTATGTGAACATGCATGCAGACTAAATTTAGTTGAGCATTCTTCACATCATATGCGCACGAACCAGTATGTGGTGTGTCCCATCCATCCATCCACTGGGGTCTTGAAAGTGCCATCTGCCTGTACTGTTGGTGCATGGGGTCTATTTTTGTCCCCAAAGCTGGCTCGGGCTCCTAATTAACCCTAACCTTCCCAACTCCATCAAAATCCATCCCCCATTTTGGGGGATTTCGGCAGATAAGCCATGTGTACCAAGTCAATCAAAATGGTGGATTTCAGTGGATTTGGTCCTGCATGAAGCATTATGTGAAACAGAATCAGTAATGGATTTTGGCGGACTTGGCCCTCGACCATAGAGCTCTATTAAGTTACTAGAGCACTAACTCCTCCTTCTTACGTGTGGTGATACTTTGAATCCTTCCTGCGCATTAGAATTCATGTGCATGGTTGTATCTACAACAAAATGAAGTTAGATGGAGTGAATTTTGAAAGTGTACTCTAAAATGCAATGCGCAAGTACAACATAGGCAAACGACTTAAGCACGTCATGACGGTTAAAATCGTCACGGCAAAAATCATCCGCAGCGAATGCGTAAATTTACGTTTGCATTGTTTGAGCAGTGCAAAATTAAACGCTGTTTTACTGATTGTTTCGGTTTTGGGCATCTCGGCTTCGATAACGCTCTGTATAGAATAGAAACGCAGATATGCAAATAGCCATGCAGAAGCCATACAAAGTTTGAGTTGTCAATAGGTTTGTGCACAAACATTGATGCGTCCAGCAGGAATCACTTTGTACATCGAGTCAGCGTTCTAGTAATTTAATGTAGCTCTATGTCTTCGAATTAGTAAAACTAAGTAGGGAGTTAGGTTTTTTAACCCTTACTCTCTGAGGGTAGTTTACTGCATGTCAGTTGGTTATGCCAATGCCCTCCAGCTGCAGTTTATTGGCAGATAGTTTGTCTTAACAGTGAAGGCTCCAATTGGCAGGAGTTGGAGGCCCTGGAGGGTGCCTGATACTGACCAGCTGGGGGCACTCACTTTGTTATCAGAGGACTCTCATTGTTCTCTGTGGCATGTATTGGAGTGCCTGTCCAGTTACCCTTGAAATGACATGGCAGATATTGGAGGGCCATGCAAAAAACATAGGAGATTTTCTTGAGGCACATATTGGCATGCGTTGGAGGGTCTAGTAGGGTAAGTGTTAATAACCAACCAGCCCATCCCACCGGTTGATGACGTCATAGTTTCATCTTTGTGTACATGGTTGTGTCTTGTACATTTCTTTACAAAATTTGTGTATCGATGGACATACATGTAGTCAGAGACAATTTACTAACCTTGTTAAATTGTGTTCTAAGTGTAAGTGGCAGCTAAAAATTTAATGTGCAACGTACTGAATGAACTAAGCATTTCTAGTTGCTAATTCCACCCTCTGCAATGCTAACATTATATAAGGCTATCTCTTGAACTATTGCTAACCCCAATTTTTTTTGTAAATGCCGCACCCAATGCAATTTTTGGGCCAATTAATCAAGCCTTTCAACTGCAGTTGCTTCATAACTTGTTCAAACCAATTTTCAAAGTTGAACAAAGAAATGGACTGGAGGGGGGTTTGAGCCTAGGACCCACGGATTGCTGTTCCAGTGCTCTACCAACTGAGCTATCCAGCCCTATGTTGGTCGTTCCACAACTTGTCAAGGTTTTTGTTCAAGGAGTGCTAGTCAGAAGCCATAAACAAGTAAATGCCATACTTTAACCCTAACTCCATAGCATGATTTCCTAGGAACCATACCCATCCTGGCAAATTCCAACACCATGGGAAACTGCAGTAGTGCACACATATATTTCTGACTTTGATTCTGGAGGTGTGCCCAACCCAATGTAAAAGACTGGCGGTTTTAGGGGTACTGTACCCATCCTGACAGATTCCAACAAAACATGCTGTTGGGGTTTGATGGGTTGAGTTCTGTTAAGGTTAATAGTATCCTATAGCCCGGGTTCATGCCCAAAGTCACGATGCTAGCAACATTGGCAATGCTGGAAACCCGGGAATAGTAAATGGGAATCACTTGGAGACAATACAGCTCCTGTCAATTTCTTTGTTCGTTTCACCTTAGAAAATTGTTATAATGAACCCCAGGTCCTTTCACTTTATAGTGGGTTATTTTTAAAATTGTTCAAACCAAGTTAAGTTAACTGTACATGAAGCTTGCTATTGTGATGTACATGTTTATCATGTCTGTGATTGACTGTGAAACAGTTGTTCAGCTGATATGTACACGTACATGTATATGTACATTGTACATTGCGCAACTATGAGGAATAAGTGGAGGTTTTTTTGGCGAGAATACTCAAAGTTGTGTTTGTATTTTGGTTTACCCGATTTACCGTACATGTAACTGTTCAATCAAAGAAGATTCTGTGGAATCAAAGCATCTCCTTTGAGTTAGGGTTGACATGCTTTGAATTCAAACTATTCAAGCAGTTTTCCACTGAAATTCCTTTCAAATCAAATCATGTGTATCAAAAGAACGGTGATTTGTTTATCTTGATGCAAGTGTAGTTACATTTTTGGGGGCGTTTGTCTTAGCTAGGAATTCCTTCATAAACCAAATTCCAGCCAAATTTGTCCTATGGCTTATTCTGATAAGCGACCCGCAAGAAAAGTCACAAAGTTTGTAGTTCCTGTTCCACACTCGTTTGATTTGTCTTGGTGTGCCGTGGCTGCATTGTGTACATTTGACATTGTACATGTACCTGCACCTATTGATCAATTGTGGCCAGTTATTCTGAAAAATATTGTCGGCCATTTCCTGGAGACTGTGTACCTCCCTATGCAAACACCATACGTGTACGCATCGTGTTCCATTTGAAAGTACATATGTACACTGTAGTTCATGGAGCATTGAAAATGAAAGTGAGAAAGACATGCAGCTAATTGAGCAGGCAGTTTTGGAAAATGGAAGCAATTCACGTTTTGGTTTATGTGTTTTCTGACTATAATTCATATTTTCGTTAGTTTGCTAGCCCAGGTCCAAGGCATTAGTAAAAATGGCATTTTGATAAGATGCATTTTTAGTTGGTCAGTAAATGTTTTTCTACAAGCCTCAGTGATTTACCTTTTGGGAGACAACATACATGTAGAAATGCATGTAGATGCAAATAATTTACTTTTTTCACATATTTTATTCAAAGCCATTACTTTTGGGGCTTGCACTTCTATCCAAATAGCGCAGTGGATAAATGCCATGTTTTGTACTTTGAACTTTTGACATTGTCTGGTGTGAATGATGAAAAAAAAAAAAAGCAACGTGACAGTGAAACAGCTGATACTGATGGGCTCTTGTCAATTCCAAAGTCCAGATTGGTACATGTAGTTCTGGCAATATGGAGACTCCATTTTGTCCATGCTGAAATAGAAGCTGCATTTGTATGGCGATGTACATGTACATTTCTGTTTACTTGTAAAAGATCATAGATGTCAGTACATGAGACTTGAGGGTTTGCATGGTGGACATGATCAATGAATGGGAGGTTTCGTTAAAGGGAAATTACAACATTTGCAAGCATCGAAAAATAAAACTACCAAGTTTTTACGAAATACCTTACAGGATGTTGGTAAATGACAGTCTAAAGCATGCTGTAAAATTATGGCACCTGGTGTGAAGTAATTTTCAAGTAAATGGTATTTTTGTATACATTTCCAACGGTGGTCGGCTGACCACCGTTGGAAACACCTAACTATTTTGCAACTGCTGCTCCAAACTTACCATTTTTTCTTCAGTCCAAATTTTGTTTCCTATTGGTTGCATGGTCATGAATGGGGGCAGGCCAGCTAGACTGGTTCCCTTACCGTACAATTTTCCGGCATCTATAAATTGATCCATTTAATTTTCAGTGGAGTCAGGGAACCAGACTACTTGAAAATTTTGTGTTTTTCTTGGTTTTTACAGCATTTTCGAACACAAAACTTCAAACATGTCAGTGTAACAATATTTGATCTATTATACTAACCCCTCAAATAGTTCGTTTCTCAAAATTAAAGCAAAAGCCAATGATGTACATTCCCTTTAACACCATGTGAATGATATCTCTTTGTGAGTTGTGTGGTGCTGAGAAGAACCAGTTGGTTTAACTGGATGTTTCGAACAGTATGCCCAGTTCGTCATCAGGACAGTATGACGAACAGAGCGTTGTAGTGTGGAGTGCTGTGGCCTCGTGGTCTGGAGTATTGAATTCGTGGTCTGCGGGTAATTCTGCAGGTTGTGGGTTCAAGTCCAGCCTGGGGTCATGGTGCGTGTGTCCTTGGGCAAGGCACTTTGTCACTCATTGCTTCTCTCCGGCCAGGAGTAAATGGGTACCTGTTGGGGCAGAGATGGTTATTGCGGTCGATTTAGCTGCTTTGTGCCGAAATGGCAGCATGGAGCTGTATACTCCCCAGGGAGCTGAGATGGTATTTGAAATGTTTCATTGGCCCAATGAGCAGGGTAATAAGCGCCTTGTATCCTTTGACAATTTGGCGCTCTGTAAGTCCAGTTATTCTTCTTATTATTACTATTACTGTTCAAAATGTCAAGTTTAGAACCACCCAACTCACAAAGAGATATCAATCATTCACATGGTGTTAGCGCAAACCTCCCATTCATGTCTGTACGTGTATAAGTGTACATTTCAACCTAATTTATCAACTGACCAAAATCTCAACTTTGTACACAGGAACAAGGAAATATTTAACTTCAGTACATTGTATCTTAAAACAACACAGGAGGAATGTGCTGCCACATTTGTTTGCATGTACATAAAAGCCTGACTCACTAGGGTGTGTGAAATATATTAAAGTTGTGTTCCCCATGCCTTTCAACAAATTCATTTTTTTTTAAAATAAATTTTCAAATTTTTATGCCAACAAAAACACCCCCCCCCCCTTTTGGACATCTTCAACCTTCTGAAGTTTTCAAGCAGACTGGCTCCTTTTCCAAATGTTATCAATGCTGATTGTGTGGCGGGAACAAGCATACCCAGTGACAACCAGTGTTGTAGGTCTCGAGACCGGTCTCGGTCTCGAGACCGGTCTCGAGACCACTTTTTGCTGGTCTCGGTCTCGGTCTCGGTCTCGGAAGCTGTGGTCTCGGTCTTGGTCTCGGTCTCGGTCCCCTTTGGTCTCGATATTTTGGCTGGTCTCGGGTTGAGACTGGCAATATGTAGCTTTTTACAGCTCGATCGATTACTTTGTGTTCACTTCGTTCAGTACCGTTGTTATTTAAAACATTTGCTAGCCCCTAGATCAAGCTTGTTATATATTGCGGTCGGTTTGGACTCGACTGCACGTTGGAAAGTCCCCAAAGTACATGTAAAACTGCAGCAGTACCAGTCACTGAACGATTTGGAACAAGTTCGGCATTTATCTGTTGAGTCGGCCACATAAAGCAAAGTATAAACTTGTAACAATTTATGCAATAAGGGTCAACCATTTTCGGGGATTGTGTAGTTTAGCCCACCCCTGTGGGCGTAATCACTTGCATTTTATATTCTGATAATAAATGAGGTGCTTCAAATTAGTTATATTTTCGACCCCACACAATGTTCTCTTTAATTTGGGACAGTATTTTGAAGAAAAAGTAAATTTTTCCACCTGATTTTCCAGCTTTGAACTTACACACTCTTACCAGTTACCACTCACTGTTGCCATGAGAGTGTATGATGAGACCCCATTTTCTGGCTGTACCCCATTATTCCTCAAAAATTAAA